GAATTTTTTGTTTCTTCTTTCTGCTATTGAAAATTTTGCAATGTGTGATTGCGGTCACTGTCCTCGTCTAATTAGCGTAGCCACTCGTAGGCAATCGAGATCTGCATCTTCCAGCCACCTTCATATCGTTCATGCACACTGCAACAACAGCGCCAAATTTTCCGAGTTTTGGTAATGAGAAAGGGATAACCAGCCCCTGTTCAAGGTAGAAAAAATTCCAACATGGCGGTGTATATACCGCCATCTTCGACAGGAATGCGCTAGATCCCGGGTGGTGTATGGGAACAGCCGCCCGGTGGGTTCGCTTAAAGCCTCACCAGACTAAAGCTCCCACCTTCTGGACTAAGGGTTGTTGAAGATCTCGAAAACCTACCGGAGAATGATCTGAATGGGAGTGTTCCTTGGGTTGGGCCGTCTGCACCCTGGTGACTGTCAATGCAATGCGGTGGCATGCATGCGAAAGGAAAACCGAAGGCGTGGAACCACACAAGAGAAGAAATTGTTGTGGTTGTCCAAAAACATGGAAAAAATGCCAAAGGCTTGCTTTGCTTGGTCGTGGTGGCCAATGTGGTTTGATTGTACGGAACAACCATAATATAGAGCCATACCTTGGTGTTGAAAAAGGATTCAATTTCGGATAAGAAGTAATCCTAGGGAGAAGATTCAGAGGCCAAACCCCGTGGCAATCTCGACGCATCTGGGAGTCGACAGTCGGAGAATTCGAGACGCTGCTCGTCCCAACACAACGGGGGGCAACCTCATCGAAAACGTGTCAATCATTACTTTGGACGAAGTCTTGTGTAGCCCAATTCTTCTTGAGGTGCCACGGTAGACACGATGGCTGTTAGAGCAGACGCTGTCCTCGGTGGAGCTGCCTCTCAATGCGCACCTCGTAGCCAGAGATTTCAGGTCCAGATCGACGCCCGTGTGGAGTGACGCTGTCGAGCGGGGTATCGGTCTCCAGAATTGCAAAGTATTGCTCGGCCCGACGCTGGGCAATGTAGGTAGAGCATTCAATAGTCTGACAGACCAATAATCGAGGGTTTCATAGCATCGGCGGTTAGCCTCAGCGACGAGTACCTAGTGCAGGGCGACGACAAAAACATCCCGGCAGGTAGTATTGGCAACAGCCATGGCAATATTGCAGACAATGTCGATGACTGGATGTTCGTGTTCCGTTGCCAGTGGGTGGCGAGAGCTTTTTCTCCGCTGGCGCCAATGAGGTCTGGCCTCTTGTCCGAGGGCGCCAGCATCCAAACAGGGCCTGGAGCCCTTCATCGGCAAGTCGCACAGCCCAAAATCGAAGCGGTGGATGGATGGAGAAAGCCTCCAGTCGAGCTTATGCAGGCTTCTGCACCTCAAGAGCCCGCTGGCTGCATTAGACTGCTCCCAAGAAAAGGACTGTAACAGCTCCAGGAGCCACTGAAAGAGCCCATTGAAGGGGATTGAAATTGCACTGCCTTTTCACCGACTTTTGGGCAAAATGGCCGGCATCGAATAGCAGTGTGGTCTGTCTTTTGTCCGTCACTGATCCAAGATATGGCAGATTGCTTGTCTGTGTAATTTACAGCACGTCGTTCCATCGACGCTGCTTTTGACGCTGAAGACTCTCTGGTTCGTCGAGAAATGGGTCTTTGACCTTGTGGATGCCCTGGGATACCAGAACGATCCCTGGCCGAAACATCAGCAACGCGAAACCCTCGGTGGCACTTGTTTCAATGACCTTGGGATTATCCGAGATGATCCTCCCAGGTCTCAAACCCAGCATCTGCCAATAATTGCTTATCATTTCACGTGGTCATCCCCCTTGGTGTCCCTGGAACTCCATTGGATCTAGGTTTTCGTAAGCTAATGTCGCCTGGAGCAAGACTGCCGATCAGATAAACACGCCATTGCCGTTGCCAGGTTTTTGACAGCTCGTACTTGTATTCCGGGACCGGACATGCTGGGATCGAGCGCCCAGAACTTGAATGCTTGGAATCCCTTGGAAATTGATCGAAGCATAGGAGAACAACTTTTCTTCCTTGGGGCCGACTGGCTGAGCCTTTGCGATGCGAATGGTTGCAATCACATGACCTCAGCTCGTCGAGTTGTGGCTGCGAGGAATGGTACGGAATACGAGGAACGTCCTATGGCTCCGCCTTCCTTTGTCCTTGTAGAATGATGAGACATGACGGCGAATAGCTACATGTATACAGTGTTGACAAGCTGCAGAATGGCATCTTAGTTGTCTCCGGAAGCTGTGGAATCAGAATTCGAGCTCATGGGCGACGCTGAATCCATCCCAAAGCCCAGGACTCCCAAGTTTTGCGGGGTAAGATTGTACGACGAGTTTGAATGACCTGTTGCACTCGTAAGGTTGACTCAGCCAGGAGAGCATGGTGGTGATTGAGCAACAATCAATCATCAGGGCCACATGAGAGATTTTCATCCCCTTTCCCCTAAATGTCCAGGCCTAATGATCAGCTGTCCTTGAACTTGTCATCTCTTGAATACTGGTACAAAGGAGGGACTCCTGAACTCCCAAGGGCCGATTAGGACGAGTTGCGTGAGGTAGCTGTTGAGTGGCCCTATCACAAAGGAGATAGCCACGGGACTCGGGAGACGTGTTGAACAAGCATGTACCCGGATATGGCATCCAGAACGGGTGTCACCAGCATCGAGTTATGAAGGCAAAATGCATTCTTAATGACAAAGGGGATGGGAAGCCTTCGGGAGTTCGTGCTCCCCTCTACAACCGAGATTCGTAATTAGGGCATTCAGTAATTGTTCATTGCAAGGTGTCCTCTTTCTGCTTCTTGTCCTTGTGGTTATCATCCACTGTCGTGGTTACGTGTTCGCTGCCGGGCGGCGGCGTCATTTTCTGGTCAAGGCTCATGATGGCTGTGGCGTGACTATTGGTTGGAGGGAGACAAAGCGACGAGCCGAAAGCGGGTAGAGAGAATGGCACCTGGGGAAGGGTGGTTCAAAAGGAGAGCCTTTGTCTGGCATGCACCTGATCTGAACAAGCTGCCAATGGGTCTGGAATCTGAATGGCTTGGAGGCGTGGGAGGGTATGAGGGTACGAGGGTGGGAGGGATTGTCTTGTCTGAGACTGACTTTGAGCGCGTGTGAGACAAAAAAAGAGAGAGCGAAGTGGGTGGCGGCATTGCTTCGTCGAGCCATCGAAACCTTCAGGCGTAGAGATGAGCACGAGGACACACAGACAAAGCCAGCGAGGGCCAGAAGAAAAATGGGTCATGCGCTAGTAGGAAATTGCGACGTGCAGCTTGTGTAGAAGGCGCTAGGGTATAAGTGGATTAGCTTATGCAGCTGCCTTCCAACCGTGGGCCACCCTCGCAGGCGCAGGCACCGTGGCAGTGGCTCCACTCACTTGGACCTGATTTGTTCATGACTGGCCCTGCAGTTGCCGGCCGATTCCATTGACTTCGCTCGCCCAGTGGGTAACAAGGCCAGCGTCATTTGTTGGGGCAGGTCCATGAGAGGGCAGCTTTCTCGCCGTTGCCCGTAGCTCGTAGGCCGTAGCCCTCTGTTCAAGGTTAGGCTGCGAGGGCGGCCCATCAGAGTGGTGTGCCCACTGCTCGGTTGGCCCCAGAATGCACCATTCCCAGGGACCAGACACGGCCAAGCTGTCAGAGCCACCCGTCACCGCCAACTCGACCGCCTGCACCTCTTCTGCTTCATAACCATAACTCAGCCATCTTCGTCTCACTGTTTACCTTTGCCCCTACCACTCGACCTCCAGATCGACCACCCTGCAATGTGAAATCAAAAGCCCTCACGAGTGTTCGTTCTACTCTCCCTCTCACATACACAATTTAGCACCTGGTCGTGTCTCTCCTTCTCACTCTCCCCGTCTCGACGACGTTCCTCTGCTCGCCAGCATTCCTCGTTGTCGCCCAGCGACCTCGCACCCCCGCTGGTCCTCGAAGGCCCCCCACCACACCTGATAACTGAGGTCGAACTCACCCATCCCAACTGTACCTATAATCCTGTTATACCATTGAGCTCTTCCTCGATCTGCGTGGGATATTGAGGGCCATTTGAGCACTCCATCTGTCGAGTCTCGCCTGCCTTTCGGATTCGGCTTAGTTGGTGAATCATTGTTGTGGGTGTCACCTGGGTCATCAAAGTCGGGTCAAGTCACGCTCAGCCCACAACAGCACAATAAACTTCGGGACAAAGGGGTGACGGCATCTGCTTTGAGTCAAGACTGCACAAGCCGGATTCACTCTCTCGTCATCTTCTTGTCCGTTCACCAGCATCGTTCACCAGCATCGTTCGTGGCGACAAAAATTGTGGCTGCCTGTCGATAAGACATCCTCTGAGCTCGACGAAGCTGTGACCAAGCGGTACCCTCAACAGCCTTGGATTAGCTACACCATCAACTGACCAACTCTTCCACTCTCTCGAATCTCTACTATCTCTTTCGACTATCCTCAAACTCTTGCTCTTTCACTCGCAATCTTTTGGCTCTTCTGCCGGAACCAGTCCCACAATCCATTCGACCATGACACAATAACTTGACGCTCTTTACGCATCTGCTCGTTCGACTGGACAACGAGCCCGGCAGGCTCTGCGTCAGCGATCAGCTTTTTCCTTTTGTTTTACGTTACGACCTATATCACCTCTATGAGCCTCTGACCTTACACGAACAACAAGGAGTTCCGCGGTGTCCTTATCGACTGGGCGTTTTCTACACATGATAAGTGGAGGAGGTTGAAGAATTGAAGCTACAAGGCGGATCTATGTTTGGTGTCCGGGTTCCAGTTCCTATACTCGACGACGTTTCCTCGTGAGCGTATCTGCTCCTACACACTTGCGTCTGCATTGCAATCCCATTCCTGTCTATACTGTTGTACAAAGCCCTCCTGGATCATATTACCCGTCACTGTTCAGATAACAAAAGTTCTTGTCACTTGCGTCTAAAGGATTAGACTGCTGCTCGAAACATCAGAGAGTTATCGGCTCACACCACGCTTAGCCATCCAACTACGAAGATGGAGTGCATGAAGGATGAGTTCCACAAAGGCCAACTTCTAGACGGTCGTTTCAGAACCATTGCTCCTCTCAACCATGGTTCCTTTGGCATGGTCTTCCTCGCCGAAGATACCTTGACCCGACAGAATGTGGCCATCAAATGTTTGACCAAGCCTTCTGTGGCCAACAAGTCCGCACAGGTAACGACCCCGGATGAAGGGACAGAAGAGCTTGCCTGCCATGCAATTCTGAAGCACCACGACCACCTAGTGAACCTTGTTCATCATTTTGAGACCGACGCTCACACCTACCTGGTCCTGGAATACTGTTCTCAAGGTGACTTATATGAGGCAATCCGCCTCAATCGTGGTCCCATGCAGACAGAGCACGTCCGCCGTTTCATGCTGCAGCTGATCAGTGCGGTGCAACACATGCACGCCAACGGTCTTTACCATCGAGACATCAAGCCTGAGAACATCTTCTTGACCCAAGATGGTTCCGTCAAGCTCGGGGACTTCGGCCTAGCCACCAGGAGCCTCTGGTCCTACGAGTCCTGTGTTGGAAGCGACCGATACATGGCCCCAGAGCAGTATGATCCCGCTGGTACAGGCTATTCCCCGGCAAAGGCAGATATCTGGTCCATCGGTATCTGCTTGCTCAATGTCCTCTTTGCCAGGAATCCCTTTGTTACACCCACGGAATCGGACGTCCTCTTTGCCGACTATCGTCGAGACCGTCAATCATTGTTCGACATCTTCCCCAGCATGTCGCAGGACACCTTTGAGATCCTGTCCGTGGCCATGGCTTTGGACCCTTCCAAACGGGACCTGGGGCTTGTCAAGCAAGCTGTGCTTCGCGCCATTGCCTTCACCACCGAGGACGAATCCTTTGACGACTTTTTCTGTTCTGAGGAACGGGACGTTGTGCAAGCCAGTGCCAACCGCGAGCCTTTGCGGACCCCGTCAATTCAAAGCCCGCAGATGGATGGCGACTCCTTCCCCTGGGCCAAGGCATTGCATGCCAGTCCTCTGAAACAGCAGTTGGACTCCATTCCCGACCTCTACGAGGAGGATCTCTTCGACTCGGACAAGAGCCTCAAGCTGGGCGAGTCCTGGTACTCGGGCCATGGTACTACACCTTCTCTGACATCCATCTTCGATTCTGCTTATGGATCGTTCAAATCCATGACCCTCAGACGGTCTGCTGCCCGCAACCCGCCTAAGCCAGACCCTGTCCCCATCCCCAACTCGTTACCATCTCGCGCTTCCAGGCCCATTCCCACCATGTCGTCCGTGTTTGGCAAGAAACAGGATGACGTGGCCAAGAGCTGGAGTGATATGTTCGAAGAAGATGAGGAGGAGTCGGAACGGGAGGCAGAGCTGAAGTTGCGACGTGAACAGAATTCACGAAGCTGGAGTCAGGACAGCCAGAAGCGTCTTCCGGTACCTCCAGGAGTGCTCACCGAGTCCAAGAGTCGGTCCTCTAGCAACGCGCGTCGCAGCCGCACGCCGAAGCCCGTGTCGCCGATCAAGGCGAGCCACGGGGCGAACGAGAATGACCCCTTTGGCTGGCGTGGACGGACTCCTCGACATTCGCCCAAACAGGTTCCTGTAGACAAGTGGGCGGCGCTGGGCGACAAGAGGCGGAACTACCACACGGAGTCGGATCCGCAGACTTGGACTTTCAAGAAACGATCTATGACGACTGGAACACGCAGGAAACCTACGACTGTATTGGGACACGAGAGCCACCAACATCAACATACATGGCATCGCCGTGACAGCCGACAGAAGGCACGTCCGGCGTATCTGAATCAAGATTGGCGGCAACAACGGGTGACGGATTCATCCTCAGCCGATGAGGATGAGCTTGAGTGGGTTGGAGGTTGGCACAACTTCCATTTGTAATTCTTTGAGCATCACCTTCTTGTCAGCTTATTCGAACTTTTTGTGTGAACCAGGCGAGATAAAATCCCTGCCGGAAAGGGGGGGGGGGGGAATCGAATCTTGTGTTTTTTGTTTGGAGGGTCAGGTGGAAGACCACATTGCCATGCGTCTGAGAAAAAGGAGAGAGACCAAAAAAATACTCGCAACACCCTCGTTCTCGTCTTGATTGGAACCTTGACACTGATGACTTTGCAAACATGGGCTTGTTTATTGACGAGGTGTCACGGAGTGTACCAACAGCAATCAGAAATCCAAAATACCCGGACCAAGGCATTGGGAACAGCAGCGGCTTTGAGTATGTTTTTCTTTTGAGATGTTTATTTTACCGTGGGCTTTTGACCACGTCGGTCCGACAAGGACAGGACCACGTTTACAGGATATGGAAAGAAAAGCTTGGTGTGGGTGTGGTGTTTGCTGTGGGCGGCAAGGGAAACGGTTCACCAGTCAGGTTTGAAGTAAGGCCATTTGAAGTGGTTGAGACAGGGCGAGTGTGTGCTCTTCGAATTGCATCAATTCTCCTGGGACTCTGCGTGGAGTTACTTTTTTTTTCTTTTTTGTTGCTGGCTTGAAAGAGACGGAGCTGAGTGCTGGAGTCGGTGTGAGCTGGAGGCAGCTTGTCGTGGGAGAAGTAGCTAGATTGATACTTTGGCCTGGACAGGCAGTGATTGACAAGAGTCTTTCAAGAATGGAGAATTTCAACCCTCTCACCAGATGATCTGTGCTTTTGTGTACTTGTGTAGGATACCGAGTACTCGGTACTAGAGCGTCAAGAGTAAGGCTCGGTATACCAATTACTTCGTAGTTTGAGACAATAGTTACCCGGATCGGGTATAAGTAGCCCCGGCCCCTCGACGTCTCTCTCGTCCGGAAACGGAAGTCAACCGTAACCAAGTAGACAAATCGCCGGTGCGGGCACCCCTAGGGGCACTTTAGGCTCCCCTAAGCTTTTCCCTGGGCTTCCCCAGGCGCCCCCAAGGCCCCTTTCCCCAGGGCTCAGCATCCACATCATCCGGTGGAATTGAGTCGGGTCCAAGTCATTGTATGGCCGAGGCACAAAGTCGCCGTCTCCAACTCCCACTTCCCCAGATTCAGACTTACAGCCGAAACAAACAGCTACAAAACTGCGCCCTCCACGTTTTCCCATTGACTTGTCTCGATTTCCCGTTTGTTAAAGAGCCGAGGGTCTGGCAATCTGGCGGATATTGAGTACATATTTTGTCGAACTTCCTCCTCCGTCCATCCTTGGGTTTTCTCATCCTAATCCTCCATCACCAGCTCTACTACTTTTCGCCAGTGCACCATAACGAAGACCTACACACACTCCGAATTCCCCATTCAAGATGCCCGCCTCGGAGAACATCCCACCCGTTGTCGCTCCGTTTGTGTCAGAGAGGGCAAAGAAGCTGTTGGACTTGGTATTGTCTGCCCTTCTTTCTTTGCCTGGTGTTCACATGGAACCAATTGTCTAACCACCGCCACCACCTCCTCCACAGGTTGAGAAATTCGTCGACGAAGAATGCATTCCCGCCGATGTCGTCTACTCGTCACAGATCGGCTCGGGTGATGCCCGCTGGCACGGCCACCCCTCGGTCATGGACGACCTGAAGGCGAAAGCTCGCGCCTTGGGCATCTGGAACATGTTCTTGCCCAAGAACCATTTCAAGGACGGCCCTCAGTTCACCAACGTCGAGTATGGGCTCATGGCCGAGCAGTTGGGTAAGAGTATTACAGCCAGCGAGGTGTGTTTGTTCCTCTCTCCCTTACGTCTTCCCTCGCTAACGGAACCTGCACTCAACAGGCATGCAACTGCGCCGCTCCCGATACTGGCAATATGGAAGTCATCGCCCGCTATGGTTCTCCGGCCCAGAAGGAGAGGTGGCTCAAGCCCCTTCTCGCAGGCGAGATCCGCTCTGGTTTCCTCATGACTGAACCAGATATTGCCTCGTCGGATGGCAGCAACATCAGGCTCCGCATCGAGCGCAGGGGCGACCATTACCTCCTCAATGGATCCAAGTGGTGGTCTTCAGGTGCCGGGGATGACCGCTGCAAGATCTTCATCGTCATGGGCAAATCTGACCCTAACAACCCAGACAAATACCACCAGCAGAGTATGTTGCTCGTGCCGGCCGACACTCCAGGCATCAAAGTCCACCGTATGTTGTCGGTCTTTGGATACGATGACGCCCCTCACGGCCACGGCCACATCACATTCGATAACGTGAAGGTGCCCCTGGATGCACTCATTCTAGGTGAAGGCCGAGGCAACGAGATCATGCAAGGCCGTCTCGGCCCAGGACGAATCCACCACGCCATGAGAGCCGTCGGTGCCGCTGAACGGGCCCTCGAGTGGCTGATCAACCGGCTCAACGACGACAGGAAGATCCCCTTTGGAAAGCCTCTCCGCGAGCACGGCGTGTTGTTGGAGTGGGTCGCCAAAGCAAGGATCGAGATCGACGCCTCGAGATTGATCGTGCTCAACGCCGCCGTCAAGATTGACCAAAGGGACGCCAAGTTCGCGCTCAAGGAGATTGCCGAGGCCAAGGTCAAGGTGCCCCAAATGGCCCTGAAGGTCATCGATCGAGCCATCCAGGTCCATGGCGCCATGGGCGTGTGTCAGGATACACCACTGGCTCACATGTGGGCACACTTGAGGACGTTGAGAATCGCCGACGGCCCAGATGAGGGTGAGTTGTTGTTTTTTGTCTCTGTTTTCCATTTGGGGGGGCAAGTCCCCTTCTCTGGAGAATCGTTTCCCTTTTTGTTGCTCGGTCCTTTTTACTAACTCGCTCTCCCAGCCCATCTCAGCCAACTCGGACGCCGCGAGAACAGGCAGCGCGCAGAGGAGATCCGGGCCCGGATCGCCCGTCAACAGGCCAAGACCGAGGAGATTTTCCGGTCCAAGGGTCTGGATCGCAATGAGCTGGGCTCGGCCAAGTTCAAGGCCAGACTCTGAACGGATTAATCAATCACGTCGACATTTTTTGGGGGTTTTCTTTGCCGTTTCCACTCGAGCGAGCGTACCTATATCTGTGTGCGAGAGTCTCCAATCCGAGCAGGAGGCTGTCAACGTACTTACTACACACGGAGGCAACCAACCGGAGAACTATGATGCGTGTGTGTAGGGTAGGTGGTGGTCGATGAGGTTGCAGTTTGGAGGTAGTGGGGAGAAAAAGGGACGATGAATGAAAAAAGTACCTTTTGACTATGACAAATAGCATAGTGGGTTAGTAGCATAGTATCGACGAGGTACATTGCCAGATTGCACGGTGTCTACCTCGTACAGTGTCTACAATACCCCAGTGAGCAAGTGAGCAAGTGAGCAAGTGAGCAAGGAAGGACTGTAGATACATACGTCCATACATACACCATACCTTATACCTACATCATACATCCATACATACGAATCTACGCAGAGCTTGAAACACAGATCGACGAGAAAAGTCATCAATCAAGTACGGAAGCAGAAGCGTTTCATTTGTTGTGGCATCACGAGTACTTGTCAATACCAATCAATAGCTTTTGTTTCATTTTTCAATTGGCCTCATACCCTTTCGCTTTTCCCTTTTCCTTGCCGCTTCTCCCTTTCCATTTCCATTTCCTTCTGCATGTTTGGTCACATACATGTACGTACGTATGAGACGTCCATACCAACAAAGGTACCTCGTATGCAGCGCGCAGTCGCTGTGCTATTCATGGAGCAAGGTCTCCAGAGGAAAAGAAGAAGAAGAGGAGGGAGACATTTTCAATGGGTCCGCCTTGCTTGCTCAAAGTGTTGTTTTTGGCTCTTTGCAAACTCCTCAAATTACCAGCCAGGTACTCTTGCACGAACAAGGCTTGATGAACAAGGAGGAAGGCGTCCGTAGCCATGTTTATGTATTGCACAGATCGATCGATAGATTGTTGGACCGGCCTTCCCTTGAATGCTCCCCAGCACAACGTGGAACACCCTCAGTCACTGTCGCTCAGAACCAGTGCGTCGTCCGCGCTGTTGCCAGGTGCGCTGCTGGTGGCCCGGCTGAGCTGCGGATTCGTCAGAGGCGTTTCGGCGTCGTCAAATTCATCCTGTCGCGCTTGGAGATATGCAGGATAGTTGTATTGCCTGTCTTCTTCGTCTCCTTCATCCGACTCATCGTCCTCGAGCTGGTCGTTGGTGTCCTCCCCCATCTCATCTTCCTCGTCCTCGTGTTCCTCCTCCCCGCTTCCTTGCCCAAGATGATATCCATTTTCTTCCTCCTCTTCCGACACATCTTCAACTTCATCGCTGGTATAAGTGCCGTTGCGTGCATCTGCCGGATACCCGTTCTCGGAAACGCTCTCGTCGTCATCGTACAGTTCGTCCTGATCTTGGTCGTCTCCGTCGCTTTCCAAATCCCCCTCCTGATCGTCAGACTGAGGTGACTGAAGCGAACCAAAAGGATTGATGCCTTGGTTTCTGGGAAAATGGTTTGATCTCGAGGAGTTGGTAGTGCGGTTTGTGGTCTTATGCGGTGCCGCTCGAGGTCGTTTGGAGGCAGGATGAGATTCAGAGGTCCGATCCGTTCCCCTATCATTCGACGCTGAATCCACATCATGGTGCGCCCGTTTTCTCCCTGGGCTCGAGATATTGGAACCCTGAGAGTAATCCCGTGCGCTCTTCTTGGACATTGCAACAGGGACGTACTGCGAAACTGTTCGGAGGGGTTTGGTGGCCAGTCCGTGAGCCCCAGTTTCGCGTATCCTCCTTTCAGTGCGCGATAGACTTGAACCTGCTCTACTCGATGCCGGGAGGTACTCGTAGCCGTTGACCCGCAGCATGCCACTTGCCGAACTAGGGCTACTCTGTTCACGGCCGCTTTGGCTTCCTTGGAAATCTTCCTCTTGCTCAATCTCCTCAAGTGAGACAGATTGCTGCTTGAACCATTCAATCTGTTCTTCCATTGCTTCACGCGCTTGTCTGATTTCCTTCAAGAAGTCATCTTCTACTGGAGGTGGCAGACGGGGAGTCGGTTGCGGTTCTGGATTCGCATCGGGCATCGGAGAATCAGCTATCACAGAGGGGAGCATCGGTGCAGGAGAGCTGTGATCAGAAGACAGAGAAGGCCTTAGGCGTCGGTTCGCTCTCCGAATACTTGCTTGTCTCTCTTCAGCTTCTTTTTGTCGCCGGAGAGCCAGCGTCTGCTTAGTGTCAGGAATGATCGGCGTGTCTGGATCGACACCCATAGCTTTGAGCCTGAAATAATCCGTGCGTGTGGTGTCGAGTCTCTGAGCAGATGCTGATTGACTGAGTGTCGAGCTGCGGGAGAAGATGGAGACATGTTGTGGAGGCCTTGAAGTGGATACCCTGAAACCGGGGACGGGCGGTCTGTGGCTCGTTGTAGAGGCTGTGGGATCTGAAGAAACGCTCATTGTTTTCGACCTTTTATGTCCGGACACTGAGGGTGTCCCATTCATTGTTGAGTTCGCACCAGAGAAGCTCTTGCGTTTGCGCCCTGCAAGCTTGCTGGCCTCTGCACCGTTTGGCAAGGCCGCCGGGGGGTTTCCTGCTTGAACAGCCTGTTGAACCTCTTTTTGTAGCTGTTTGCTTTCCTTTGTCGCTCTGAGTATCTCCTCAAGTTCCTCTTCTGTTCTCTGTTTCCTAGCTTGTTCCGCTCGAATTGTCTCTGCAAAGAGCTGTCGTCTGGTTTTCGCCCGACGATTCAAAGCACTGGTCCATGCGCGGGTTCGCCAGAGATACCCAAACTTGCGTGCGAGGATACGTTCACGAACAGATACTGGCCAATACCGTCAGCAGAGTCTCCACACCACAACCGAGCTAATGCCTTACCAATGGCAGCGTCGCGCACTTCTAGTCGATGTTGGTTGAAGGCGGTAGTCACAAGATCACGTAGAGTGAATTCGAGGTAGCTGTCAAGCAATCCCCTCTGTTGTGTCAATGCAATTCTGGCGATATTTCCTGCAAGCTTGTTTCGGTCTGTTTGAGTGAAGACTGGCTTGGGCGGGGGCTGACGAGGAGAACAAGGAGGGGTAGTGCTGCGATGAGGATGATCTTTCAAGGTTGAACTCGGAGTCACTGTTGTTGTATCAGGTTGCTGGCTTGAGCGCTGGTCCTCGGAGGTCGTGGCTGGAGTTGCCGCAGTTGGGAAATTGAACTTCTGCAAAGGAGGCTTCGGAATAGGATCAGGAGTCGATGACGGTCGGGGCGGAAAAGAAGAACCTGCGGCACCGGATTTGAAAAGGGGACTTTGGGTCGGCTGTGAGGACGAGGCTGATGGAGTTATGGTCGATGGAGAACGCCCCTCCGACTCTGATGTTGACTGGGCAAGGACTGGTTGGCTTGTAGGTTTCTCGACGGATGTGCGAGTTGATGGAGCAGTTAGGCCTCCAGATACCTGTACAGACGTCGCAGAAGGAGAAGACGATTGTGTGAACGAAGCGAATGCAAACGGTGTTGATACTGGAGCCGTCGCTGGGGTGTTCGCTATTCAGAACCACAGTATCAGTAACGACCTCAATTATAGCACGATGACACAAAAGTGGATGTTCCTTACCTTGCTTGGCTGGTGGCGCGACAGATACTGTCGATGGTGCCACTGATAGCTGGCCAAAGGCGGGCGCAGGAGGAGTGACGTTCGAGATTGAAGATGTCAAAGGGACGAAAGATTGTCGGCCAAAACTGTATGCAGGCGCAGGCGCGGCAATTCCATCGCCTTGTAAGCCAGTAGATGCTTCTTGAACTTTAGCAGTGAATCCGCCCAAGCTGAAAGGTTGGTTTTCTTTCTGTGCTGGCGGTGCGGGTTGTCCAAACGTTGCGGGAGGTGGTGTCTTGGATGGCGTGAATCCAGCAGAGCCGAACGTCGATGTTTGCTGTTGTTGAGTAAGAGTCGATTTGGCAAAGGTTCCTGTAGAAGTAGTGGAGGTTGATGGGTCGAGGGATCCAAAGCCACCGGTTTTCAATGGCTTCCCAAACGGAGACTCGTTTGTTGGCTTGGTGGAAGAACCGATGTTGAACGAGCCAGAAGAACCAAACCCGGAGAGTGCCGGCGGCTTGTTCAAACTCGACGAGGCAGGACTCTGTCCAAACGTCGGTGCGAAGGGGGCAGCCTGAGGATTGAGTGAAGCGCCAAAGAATGACGAAGCGGCGGATATCGAAGTTGTCTTCGCCTCCGGAACGAACATGCTTTGGTCGTCCTCTCTGGTATCATCTGCAGGGCGGACATCCTCCTCTTCAGGCTCAACCCAACCCTGACGAAGTGCTTCTGCGACGGTCGTTCCATTGATGATGGAGGTCAGTGTTCGGCGGTACCGTTTCCGTTCCACGAAGCTGTGCGAAAAGACCTGGCGTCGCGGGATCGAGGACGCTAGACAGACATCAGTACTCGACGACGAAGAATGGTTGGAGGGTGAAAGGACGCACGATCGAGCGATTGAGCACTGTTCGCCGTCGCGTCCAGATACTCCTCGCCACTCTCATCCGTGGCAAAGTAGAGATCGAAAGCGGCACAGAAGTCCTTGGTCTCTTCATCAGCATCAAAGCCGAGGAAGTTGGTAACCTCGCCCAGTGTCCAATCTCGAGACTTTGCTTGTTGGGCCTGAGGGCCTTTCTTGCATGAGCGCCACAATGCATCCAGGGCAACAAAACGGACTTCGGCGAAATAAATCTCAGCCAGGCAGGCCATGATGTAGGGCACGGCGTCCGAGGCCAAGAGGCTCCAAAAGCTCCCCGTTTTGCCCTGAGCGACAGCGAAAGATTCCCATGGCTGAAGAGGCCCTTGGCCGAGGAGCGAGTTGCCTGCCGCCCTGTACAGCTTGAGTGCCGTCTGAACTCTCTTGTCTCTGAGAAGACCAACAGGCCATGATTGCATGCGGTCTTCCAAGTCCGGTCTTTCAGGGGCCTGGATTTCAAAGATCACGAGATAAGCGCGAAACTCTCCTTCGTTGGGAAAGTCAATCCGGCCTCGATGGTCATCGTAATAGTAGATCAAAGACAAAAGGGTGTTGTTCAGCTGTTCCCTCTCTTGGTAGGTGTCGAAATTCTCTCCGTCCAGCAAATTGTCGGGGTTTGAGAGCTGGTGCAACGACAGGATATGGAATCTCGCTATTCGCTCGAAACAATCGACGGCAAGCTTGACGTCCTCGACGTTGGTGACCTGTTGGATCGAGAAGTCGTTGCGGATTCCTCGTGTTCGATCCCAGACGAACTTGTGGACGGTCGCCAAACGTTCACCACCAATAACTTTGTCGAGGAGATAGTCCAGCGTCCGTTTCAAAGTCTCGGGCGTTCGAATATCGGATGGCAGCTGCTCGTCGTAGCCAGCAGCTGATCGGCGAAATCGTTTGACCATGCGATCTTCCGCAGGCATGTCCTTGCCAGTTTCTTCGTTCCGCACCTACCCATCCCTTCAGTATACCGGCCTAGCAGCGAACGAGCACAATATTCACCTTCTCCGCTTTGTCAACCATGTTCTGTACTATACGCTCCACTCTTTCAAACTCTGGGCACATCTCCGTGCACGTTCCGACCGGGGTGATGGCTTTGTCCAGGCTGGTCTTCTTCTCAGGATCGGCGAGAAATCCATCGCGAATCGCTTTCGCCCTCTCCTCTTCCCGGCTTTGCTTTAGCTATATGAAGGTATTGCACGTTAGAAGCCTATAAACGTAGTCATGGTCAGCGAAACAAGGATCGGAATCGCAACGCACCGCTTGGAATTTGTTATAAGCCAAGTTCATAAAGTCTCGGTGGGAAGCAGGCGCCGGAGAAGCTGCTCGAGAGCCAGGGTTGGAAGTTTGAGCTTTGGTCGCGTTGAATGTCTGCGACAAGTTTGCAAATCCGCGACCACGCCCTCGAGAGCCATTCGCAACACCGCGTCCTGACGCAGGTTAGCATTGTCTTGGTGTGTCGCTGAGCCAGCGGTTACGATGGATTCACCTCTTCCAGCGCCCGAGGGCGCATTTTCATCGCCTCTTTTGACTGTTCCCGCACGCAATCGCTGCAGTAGCCCTGCGCCATTGGTATTTGTAGCACTTGTGACGGTGCCTCCACCTGCGCCTCTCCCTCGTCCTCGCACCGTGGTAGATCCACGAGTGCTACCGCGCCCTCGGGTCGATTGAGATGGAGTCCCTCGTCCACCTCTGGTCGAGCTGCCACCGCGTTGTCCGCGGGTGGACGGCGGCGCAGACATGGGCGCAAGAGCGGTGGATCAACATCAGAGGATCGTCATGTCAATGCAGAAGGAGATTGAGGAAATCGAGGCGAGTAGCAAAGGGAGGGCGAGACTCGAGATGACGAGGGATCTGTGCCCGCTCTGGAACGGTGGCGATGGAACTATCGAGAGAGACAAGCCCAGAATGTAAGGCACAGGCGATATGGATGGTGAGAACTCGCACTTCTTATCGTCGTTACAGTTGCTGTCGCGTGGGCGTAAAAAGTAAAAGGTGAGTAGAGTAGCGAACCGAAAGAGACACAATGAAAGGGTGACAGCGCGCTCTGTCCGCGAACAGTGAAATCCAAGACGCCGCGGATGCCTACTGTCGCCTATTGGCTGGGGTCCCGCAGGTGCCCTCGTTAGCATCACTACCAACAGCCTCGCCCCCCGCCCCCCCCAAGCCCCTCCCCTGGCCTCCGAATCCACGCCTGGTGATGACCTTTGGGCTACGTACTGTGCGTGCCTAGACACCCACCCAGATCAAACCGTCCGCCACACCCAATATCAACATCAGTTCACCTGCCAGCCATGCTCGTCCTTTACCACGACACCAATTTAGTCTCACGCACGGAATCCCAGATATTATATATGCATTCATTTGACATGGCTAGCTGCCCAATATCTTGACTCGTATCTCATCTACATTGACCCGAGAAAGATCCCACGCAAATGCTCACATTCATTATGAGAACGCCACACAAGCTGTTTGATGAGCTCAACCAAGATATCAAACCAAAGCAAGTCAAAAGCGCAAAGCAATCGCGATTGAGAGAGACCGAAACCCTGTTTCCAAAACATTGTCCAACAAACAACCGCTTGTGACTTTGTCTGGCCAATCCTGCTGTGACAGATTTGATGGTCACTGTCTTCCGCCCGCCATGACCAAGACGCCACCATGACGACCGACTCATTACCTCGCCCCAAACTTTTTGCTGTGGTTTTTCTCCAAAATAAGGAGCTGCTGTGATTCTTTTCCCTATCCAGAAATGGCAGAAAACGTGGCCAATCAATGTAATGAGACAAAGAATGTAATCCGAAACAAAGAAGATCGCCAAAGGATAAAACGACCAAAAAGCTCAAAAGGAAATTCGTGCGACAGTGTGTCATGAACAGTGGTCAAGAGTAATGAAGCAGTCCATGACGATATTCTGTGATATAAGAGCGGCGAGAAGTCTGCTTGACATAAGATGTGTCGCCTCGTAATTTGGAGACAGCACCGAATTGACAACGAGGCCTGGATGACTGGGTTCGAGAAAAAAATTACCAATGATCATGCTTGTAGCAACGGTCCGTCATCATCTCCATGCTAATGTCTGGCGTGGGGATCATGGCAGGTTGCTGTGTTTCCGCCACTCGCAGCGGCAGAGCGCGTCGGGGGGTTTCCCCAAAGTCGTGGTATAGCATGGGATTCACCACGGTCGGCGCCAGTCCATTCTGGATAGTGTTGGCCATGTCGAGTGTCTCTTGCGTAAAATATCCGTTTCTCAAGCCGACCGATTGTGGCACCATATTAGAGTGAATACCGAACATGTCGGGAGGTGGGTCTGGCACCATGTCTGGCATCATCGCCGTCCAGGCTGAATTGTGAAGGTTTGCAGTGAGATGACCGCTATGTGGCGCAGGATGCATCATGGTATTGGGCCCAGCATGGTTGTCGAGATTGCGCCCAAATACATTGGAATGTACCGGATGGATTCCAGCCAGGGGTAGCATGACACCTTCGGTATGTGGCATCAAATTCTCCATACCCATTTTCACCCCAGGAGAAAAGTCCGGTCCTGTCCGCGGCGCAATCACTGATACCACTCGATTCCCATTGAAGCTTGGTCGAGGTCGACGTGGTGCATAACGGCGATTGCCGGCGTCCTTGGACGTCGAGCCTCGGGATTTGTTGGCCATGAGGCGCCCGTCTGAGGCGGGCTGATCACTGGGAGATGGTTGCGCAGAGGAGCCCGGCGTTGGTGCATGCTCTTCGCCTCCCTCAAGGGAGCCTTCACTGGATGCCACAGGGACAGAGCCGATCCATCGAAGCCCGTCATCATCAGAGTCGATCGCGGACAATTTTGAACTGGTGGCATCACTGTAATCGCAAACAAAGACGAGGGTGTCACCATCTGCCAACGTCAGTGCTGCACCCGTGCTTCATTATGACTCTCAAGAGACCTACCTATCTCGTTGGCCTCGTACTGCTCTTGTTTCTCTCGCGCATTCACAATCTGTTGAATGATATCCCACCGGTCTTCTCGCAACTCGTTTCGCTTTGTCTGAAGGGACTCTAGCAGGTCTCGAGCCCTTACAAACTGCTGCTTCGCTCCTTCAGACGGAGGGTTGGTGATGACTCGCTGTGGGGTGTGCGCGATCAAATGGACAAGCAACCGGGTTCTCTCTGTGGAGCTTCAGCGTGAGAACTCTCTCACGGACTTGCACAAAGCTTACCATTGCGACCGATATGGTCGGGCTCTCGATGGATGACGTCTAGGAAGATATTAGATCCCAGGATATCGCGACCACATACAACAAGCCCCGTCGTGTCCGAAGAGAGTCGCATAACATACCAGCCGGCCAATAGGGTGGCCTAGTCCGATCCGGATCAGGGGGTTCGCCACGGGGCATTTGGCCATTGTATGGATGTGTCGATTGCTGGAATCTTCAGTCATTCTTCCCTGTACAGAATGTCTTTGGAGCGATCATCTAACCTTCTTGGGATGGATCCTCTTGATCCAGACCTTGGCTACTAGCCGACAAGCCACCTGTTGCAGAACCAAGAAGGCCCCCCTATACCACTGGGCTAGCTTCTCGTGGTCGTCCACGCGGATTTGACACGCAGGGGCTTCCCAGAGTCTCGCGCCCCCGCCAGTCTGCTGAGGCTTTGATCGTGAGGAGTTTCTTGAGCAGAGGTTGGTTTTTGATCTGTGTCGCTTCAGCGGACGCTGTGCGGGCCAAGTGATTGCACCGCCCGGTGTTCCAGCATCTGTCGGGGGCTCTGGCTTCGAAGGCCTTTCACTTGGATGGTTGCCGCCCCAGCAATGGCCTGGTCGAGTCAGTACTACCATGAGCCGCGTGGGGAGATCACATACCGGGAGCGCTGGGGCCGCGCATCGATATGTATTGACCAAAGGTCACATGAGCCTCCCCAATGATCGCCCATCTGTCCTTTTTGATGTTGGGGGAAACTATAACCTCAGGGACCCCATGTGGGCCAGGCACCAGGCCGATGAAATCTTCGCAGTCTTCGACGAGTTTCTTGATTTCATTCTGCATAGGATGTTAACTCGACTTCTCGCCTCTATCATTCCTGGAGGCATGGCTCACTATCAAGTATTGCTGCTTAGCTTCTTTGGTGAGACTGGAGACTGCGACGCCAACTGTTTTTGGATCTTCTTGTGGTGTGGCCGAGAGCTTTTCTGGAGGAGATCGAGGGGAGTATTTGAAGTTCACTTCGTGTGTCATTTTCAATGCGAAGGATCAATCCACAGTGCTGGATGACTGGGTTGCGGTAAGTGGAGAAAGAGTACTCGACATTCGAGGAGCTGTCTAAGCAGAGTTGACTCTAACGGGAAGCGCATAATTGTTAGCGATTGTGACCCGAGCCGGAAGCCTGGGCCCTCATGTATACAAAGACAAGACGATGCCCGACCAGTGCAGCCCAGGAGCCTAGACGCAAGATTTTGTAGCGGTGTGCCTGTGGAGGGGAAGGGGGAAGGGCAGGGAGCAACAGTGCAGATGGGGGGACGGCTAGTATGCCCACGTCTAACGCTTCACCACATGCTCGAACAAGACCATCAAGAGCGACTAGGCCTTGATGGGCAAGGCGTTTGCTGTGCGGCTGGTTGCGGCTAAGTTAGAGCCAAACCCAGTCGTCCTGTATGCCTGGAGAACCCCGAGCTAGTTGCTGGGGGCATTCTCCACTGCCGGCCGTTCATGGAGACGGATCGTCAGTTCCTCGACATCCGCCAGCGTCAAAGAGGACGACACGCGCATCATCGCACTTATCTCGGGCGAACAACACATGGTGAACAGAGAGATGGAAACACCACGAACCTTTTCTTCGCCTTTTTGGCCTGTACGGTCCTCGGTCACGACGCGAAAGAAACGATGCTGTGGTGGCTTTGGCGCCGGGATAGAAGGCGCAATCTCGAACTGTCTTTGGGTCGTGTGAGTGTCCAATGTATCTGTCGCCCCGCTGTATGCACCACAAAAGTAATAACAACAAAACCACCACACAAAAACGACGAAAACAGAGACAAGGCCGGCCAGCGAGATGGTAGGGGACGGGTTCCCGACTCTAAACAGCCATCCGGGAGCTGCAATTGCCGTGGGCTATATTCGAGTCGGACAGTATGTGCTTCGGAGTGAGGATGGGCGTATGGAAGAGCTTCAGAGGACGGAGGAGTTGGAGTCGTTTCTCAATGAGTGAAGTCTTTGAGGAGAGTGGGCTTGAATGAACAGGGCGACCAAGAGAGAGGGGTGACGGCCCAGCGATTTGCGTCAGTCGGTTTCTTTGGGGACTGTTTGCTTGAATTTGCTTTCTCGACCGTCTAGGCTTGAGGCGTGGATAACGGCAGGGACGGAGCGGCAGGACGGCCTGGCCAGCTGAGTACAAATCAAAGAGTCTAAGGAAAGGAAGAGGAAACCGAGTTCCCCGGAGTGGTCCAGACGAAGATGTATATGCGATTGCCAATCGGACGACGCCATGCAAGCAGCCAATGGGCAAGGAGGGGGGTCAGAGGGAGTTGAGATAGAATGGGGCATGTGTTCGTGGAGCGAGACTGAAGAGAGGGGAGGGAGAGGTGTGTGGGTGGGGTGGATGATAGCGGACGTGGTGGTGTTGGTCTGTCAGTGAGCGACAGCTCCCATTGTAGAGGGAAAATACGGAGTCTCGAGAGTGGCGGCAGCTGTCAGAAGAAATGTTGCAACCAGAAGTCCATCTCTTTCCAAAGGCTTGTGTTTCCGCACAGAGGGAGAAGTGAGAAGGAGGAGGGAGGGAGGAGGGAGGGAAGAGGGAGGAGTCGACTTTTGTCGGGCTTGTCCCTCGTTGCACCGGTCCGTCACGTTCTGGGTCACGGTTTGGTTTGGGCCTGTCTTCCCTTAGGATCGAGGTGCCTCTTTCGGCTGGACAAGTACAAGGCTCTCAGTTGTCTTCGACGAGGATCCCTTCTGTTCACCATAGATGCAGACCTCAGCCTAAAATCTTTTTGGTAGGGGACAATGGGTTCTCTGGCGAAATCGGGTGGGTTGGGGTTAACGGGTTTTGCGCTCTGGGGCAAACGGCCCGTTGAGAGACTGCAGGGGGATCCCATGCATTGAGTCGGCGTCAAGGGCTTGTGCTTTGATGGTTCAGGCGAGTCAGACAAGCGACGGCAGCACGATTCCGACCTGTGCCAGGCAGAAATGGGCATCGGCCAGGTCTGAATAACGGGAAAAAAGGGAGCCAGCAGGTGGTAGGGAGGGGACCACGAGCAGGGGTGAGTAGTAGTGGCTGCGGACCATCTACGAGTAGCAGAGAAGGGGGGAAAAAAGGCGCCGGCAGTTGGCAACAAACTGCACTGGCCTCATCGCCTCAAGTCAGTAGCTCCGCTCTAGCACCCCATCTTCATGCGCAACCATCATGCAACACCATTGCTACTAGCAGCAGCTTCAGCAGCTCCAGGGCTCCAGGGAGCTCTCTTCGAGTATTTGTTTCCTGCTCTGGCGAATTTCGAGTCCCCTCCTCTCTTGGTAGCCTGCCCCTTCTGTACTACTCGGCAAACCAACACGCTAAGGCATTCCTTCTGTCACACCCCAAGCTGCGAATTGCCCTTCCCAAATCGAAAGCGGTCGATCGATCAATTGTCCAATCAGTCCCATTCCGGTCCAGCACTCCTGAACGTGTCCGAGAGTCTTCTGTCTGGACATCGTTCGGCTTAGTCGCCCCCCTAGCTAGCTAGTGTCGTGGGCCAGAGCTCTTCCTCCTCCCCAGCACAAGCAAACTGCAGACACGATGCTGTCACATCTTCCCTTTTCCGAGACCTCCAGCACTTGACCAGCCCTGGCGACCGGCTAGACGGGAGCTGCCGAGCGGTTAGAAGACAAGAGCCCCGGACCTTGAAAAGAGACTGCCCCTGGCTTCTGTTTGAATCTTGTCGTCTCCCCTCGACCCCCACCAGCTTCTGTCATCGATTGTCGACCAGGGCTAGTCCACTGGACAAGTGGAGGCCAGAGAGTTAGCCACCTTTGTCTAGGGCAATTCGATCTGGACCCTTGCAAGCCTATTACCTAGCTAGTACCGAGTACTGAAGCTCAAACCTCTGCGGAGTTGTTCCTTGGCAATCACTGGCTCCGGCCGTGGTCCTATCCAAACACGCCCTCGCATCTCGGGTTCATCTCCTTCTCAAACGGCCAAGATCCTAAAACTTGGAGCCGTCCGGGGGCGGGGAAAGTGACCTCAACGCAGATAGTTGCCTCTTCGTACAACAAGATGGCAGCCCAAGCATTGTCTCCGACTGCGAGCTGCCCTGGGGGTCGTCGTGGCACTGCCTGACGTCGCGCTTCATCTCCGTCCTGTAGCGGCTTGTGCATCAATCGTGGAGACCATCAAGAACTCGAGGCTGTGAAAGGTGGTCCAAAGCAAACACGGGAAGAGTGGAAGCCTTATTTCGATCGAAGTCCCTTACACCCAAATGACGAATATCTAGCCAAACTGCAAAGCTAGTGTACGTAACTACGCCACGGGATGCCCGCAAGCCTTGTCTTCCAACCAGGATCTTTTCTTCCGCTGCCATGCCCGACACCTTCTCCTTCAGTTCAGAGGCCACAGAGGGGCTGGACATGGTCCAACTTGATCACTTGCACTGGCGCTTGATTGCCTCGAGACCCCTCGCCACACCTAGTCGGTCTCTCTGCCCATCCTCGGCGACTCGCCACCGAAGGAAACTCGCCTCCACACCTGGATTTGTTATTCATGCAGCTGGTGCAACCGTACAACTACAATCTGGACACAAGCGCTATTAATAGGTAACAGGTACACTGATCTCAGAGGAAAGAATGATACAGCTCGAGGTACCTGTACCAGTAGGACGGAAATCACCGTATCTGAGAGCGCCTTGCTGCGTCCAGCACGGATCCGAGTATTTTGTCCAACACGATACGATTCTAACTTTTCGCCCTTTGTGCCACCTTTGACGCCCACATGCACGACCATGAAAGTAGTTGTCAAGAAGACGGGGTTTGGCTAGCCAGAGGAGAGCCTCAAACAATCACCGCGGCACCTGACCGAAACCCGGTTTGTTTCTTTTCGCCAGTGAGTTACACAGCATATACTAGCTGGTGAGGCTGGTCATCCAAGTGTTCACTGAGCTGCCCGGCGTGCATGCCCCGGTTCTTATTGGGTGGACCACACAAGCTGTGCGATCTTTCAATCTCGCTCTGACCCCCGAAAACATCTGCTCATCACACCCAAACCCGTCGCTGGTGCGAATGCAGCTTCCCCCCTCGAAAGCTGCCCACCAGCACAAGTGCTGTGGAGCAGGGAAGTGAATCGGCAAGCCTTGAAGCTCAGGGTCTCAGCGTTGCTCTGTCGCCTGAGATCGCGCGTCATCACTCGGCAAGGGATGCTGGTACCTTGAGGACGGAAGAAAGAGCATTCGTTCCCCGTCCGATGGTTGCTTCAAGCACTTGTTATTCGGCTCTCAGGGCTGTGCTAATGCTGGTCTGCATTTGCAGTACCATTGCCGAACCCGTCGAGCAGCCCAGCTTCACGCACAAGCTCGTAGAATAGGCCCCGCTTCCTGATCAACTCTTCTGGGGTGTCAAACTCCGCTACCCGCCCTTGTTGCAGCACTACGATACGATCCGAGTCCAGGATGGTATTGATGCGATGTGCAATGGTGATGATGGTGCGGTTCTGGAAAATGGTGCTTCGAAGCGTGGCCTGAAGCATTCTGTCTGTCTCCACATCCACCGCTGCTGTTGCCTCATCCAGGACCAGGATATTGCTGGGTGTGAGTAGCGCCCTCGCCAGGGAGACTAGTTGACGCTGGCCTTGACTTAGATTGGAACCTGCAACCAAAATTCTCGTGGTCAGAGCATGCCCCAAAAAACGAATACTACATGTGCACGGCGTTCCCTTTGGTGAAGAACGGAGTGGCGGAACTCACCAGCTTCAAGAATGGCGGCGTTCAATTGGCCTGGCATGCTTGAGACATGCTCCTTGAGACGAGCGTGTTCAAGCACACTCCACAGTTCGGTGTCATCATGCACATGGCGCGGGTCCAAATTATCACGAATCGTGCCTTCGAATAACGCGGCGTCTTGAGGGATGATGGCAAGCCGCCGTCGCAGATCTAGCAACCCAATCGTTGAAGTATTGAGCCCGTCGATACTGCAATAGAATGGATTAGCTCAGCACTTCCTCGCCTAACCTCGAGGATCCGCAATCCGCAATAATTGAAGAAAAGGTCTTCGCTCTCAAAAAGTTTCACGCACCTGATAGCGCCAGATATCGGCTCGATGATCCGGAAGAGCGCCAATGTCAATGAGCTCTTGCCTGCCCCCGTGCGCCCGACCACGCCAATCTTTTCGTGAGGCTTGATGTTGAGGTTGATATCCTTCAAGACGGGATCCAGACCTTCTCGATATCGCGTAGAATAATTCTTGAAGGTGATCTGCCCTTGTGCGGGCCATCCAATGCTCGGTCTGCTCTTGAAAATGACATCGGGAGCTTCACTGGGCAAGCTGGCGTACTCCAGGACTCTCTCCACCGACACGATATTCGTCTCCACTTCGACCGTCTGGCGGACAATCCAGTTCAGGGATTGAGTGATCTGCAGGGCATATGACATCTGGAATCCGGAAAACGCAGTCAGTCATCTACAAAAGCTGTGTATCGTCCGTACCATGACGTGCATCAGAAACAACTGTGGCCGCTATCCACGGACCACGGGGGAGACTTACCGCAAGGCCCACCATGCCGGACGACAGGCCGCTTCCAGTTGCCACCGAGATGATGGCGAAAAGAGCAGCCGAAAGGATAATGACGGACCCAATGAATTCCAGTCGGACGGCCAGCCAGCGATTGGCGCTAACCGAGGGAAAGTATGCCCGCAGGTTGGCATCCATGCGCCACTCGTTCTCCAGAGCGAATCTCTTCTGTTGGCGATATGCACGAATGGTGGAGACGCCACCCAGTGACTCCTGGAAGTGTGCATAGATCGGACTGCGACTAACGCTGTCAAGCCGTTTCAGCTCCCTCGAGGTGCGGAGGTAGTATTTCTGGTAGATGATGTAGATGAAGCCCAGAGGCAGCACCATGACCAGGAAGATCGGCGTTGAAGCAGCAATGACGCCGATTGTGAAAAGTGCGCGACCGGTATTGACAAAGAGCTGGGTGGTCGGTTAGATGCTTCCAGGGGTCGGGAATGTGATTCTGTGTCCACTCACCATGTTAAATGTGCGTGCGATAACCTCGTCAACACGGTAGATGTCACTTCGATCCCCGAGTCAGCACCGATGTCCCTCCCAGCAACGCCATTGGTGGTACAACGTACCTTGAGAATCGGTTCAGGATGCGTCCCACTGGAGTGGTATCAAAGAAACTCATGGGTGATCGGAATATTGCGTATGCCATGCGATCGTGTAGTTTTCTCGAAGCCTATGGGAAAAGGCGTCAGAGACGAGATCAGAGATGGTCTAACCATGTTTCGCGTGCCTGCACCATGATCTCTTGACGTGACCGTTGCGATCAACGACTAGAGAAGTGGGAGGTAGCGTGGGTTGAAGACCGGAAGAAGGGGAAAACCATACCTCTATCGAGCAGAAAATCCAGAGAAGCAGAGTCTAGAGTTTCCACAGGTTCATGTCAGTTCGGATCAACCTTGTGGTACACACCCACCAAGAACCAGGCAAGAGACATGGATCCTTCAAAGTATAGATCAAAGACAGGGGCACTGGGAGGTGACAGGTACGTACCTGAATGACGACCAGTCCGGCACCACCGATGCCAAATGCAAAGTAAATGCCAATGTACTTTCCCACCTGAGGGTTCGATCCGTGCGACTCGTTGATCTCGGACCACCTCTTTAACCAGAAGCTGCCTCCAACCTGTGCCGTTTGAGCGGCCAGGAGAGCGAGGAAGTAGATCCCCACAGCGACGAGATTGCTTTCCTTCGCGTAGCTTGTGTAGACTGACCATTTCACTTTACCCTGCTCGGCAATTTCTTTGGTCTGCTTGCTCTTCAGTTGTGCACCACCATGTTCTTCATCTGTGAGACGGCCCATGGGTCCGTGGAAGCTGGTTGTCGAAGCACGACGGAGAGTATTGAAGCTGGATTTGCGGGCTTTCGAGGGACCACTGGGTCCGGCGTGGATAGGTACCAGCCCGCCGACTTCTTGTTGCGATTCCTCGACTTCCTCGTCATCTAGTTCGTCCTCAATGCTGCCACCGTTGGCCCCGACGATGGTTGTCGAGTCGTCGGACTCCATTCCTTCTATGCTTGGGCTGCGTTCTCCCTCGGACTCAGCCTCTTCTGCCGTAGCGGACTTGATCAGCGTTGCAATTTCGCCTCGCATGGCCATGAGTTGTTGATATGTTCCCTTTTCAAGGATGGTGCCCTCACGAAGAAGGTACATGTAGTCTGCCTCCTTGAGAACAGTGATTGCGTTAGTAGCCAGAATCCTCGCTTTTCCGTTCAGAAGCCCATTGGGACCTAGCACATTGTTAATTAAATGGCGTCCGACATGTTGGTCAACAGCGGAGAGAACATCGTCCATAAGATAGACATCTGCCCTTGCGTACACGGCTCGCGCTAGGGAAAGTCGAGCCTTTTGGCCTCCAGACAGAGATATGCCACGTTCTCCGACTTCTGTCTGATCTCCGTCCGGAAGTTGTCTGAAATCATCAACAAGAGCACAGGCATTGACTGTTTGCTCGTAAAAGTGAGGATCCCATCGATGCCCAAAGACGATGTTCTCCTTGACGCTAGCATTGATGATCCAGGCCGACTGTGCCGCATAAGCAATCCGGCCTCGGACAACCGTCTCGCCACTGATTTTGTAGAGATCACCAAGCATAGCTTGCAACAACGACGACTTTCCAGCCCCCACTCGACCAACGATGCAGGTCAGTTCTCCTTTGTTGGCGGTGAAGTTGATGTTCTGTAGGACATTCTTGCCTGCATTCTTGTCCCAAGTGAAAGTGGCATCCTTGATAGAGACGGACACATCCCCGGCCTGTTTGGGGGGCTCGTCGATAAATCTCACCGCGTCATCCTGAAGCTCGTCCGTGGTGAAGAAGGCAGTCAATCTGCCCACGGCCACTGATGCCTCGATGATGCTCGTGATAACCATAGGGAGGACTGTGAGGGGGAACGTCAATAGATTGAACAAAGTCAGAGCTGGAAACACCAATTCCGTTGTCAATGGTTTGTTGTTGACAAGGACGAAAACCGCAAAGGTCGAGCACGACACAAAAAAAGGTGTTGAAGACCATGTAAAGGTCGCGAACGACTGTGCGGCGCCGATTTTGCGAAGGTTATTCAACTCGAGATCATTGCGCACATGGCTCAATTTGTCCATGAACGCAGAGCCCCACGCATAGAGCTTGATGCTTTTCATGTTGTTGAGAATCTCCGTCATAAGTCGGGCGCGACGGTCTTTGTACTTCATCTGCGACAGTTGCAGCTTCTTCATGAATCTCGCGATGAAGCCATTGATAGGAATCATGACGATCATGGCACCAACTCCGGCCAAGCATGAGACTCCAACCAATTGGTATAGCGAGATCATACACAGGGTGATTTGGAACGGTGCTGACCACAACTGTTGGCCCCATTGAGCAAGGTCGGCTAGTCGTTGTTGGTCAACGCTCATATATGTAACGATGTCGCCGGTGGATTTTGTAGCTCTCGACTCATTTGACAACCGCAGTGACTTTGAATAGATCATGGCAGTCAACGAGGACTTGATCCGCATGCCAGTCTCGAAGGCACGCTGAAAGTACTGATGCAGAGCGGCGGTCTGGCAGATTGAAGTCGCAAACATGGCCAACGCAATGACGACCCCCCGGATCGCTGGTTCGGGTTCGGCATACCGATGAGAATTGACAAATTGAATCAAAAGTCGAAGCAGTTGGGGCTGAACGAATGCCAAACAATCGCTGACGGTTTTTATCAGTGCTCCGCGCAGATATGGCCCTCCAAATGCTCTACCCAAAGCGATCCAAAGGTTTGGTCTCTTCTTTTCCAGCTCGATCTCCCAAGCTTTCTGCAACTTGTCTCCGGTGACCTTGGTAGTATCGCGATTTCGCAAATTCCACAGATCATCTTGGGTGAGGAAATTGTTGTAGCCAAACTTCATCAGAGGTGTCATCCAGCCAAAAGTGAGAACCGAGAAAATGTCGGCATATTCATATGGACACTCGTCATCCGCCCCCAGCGCATCGTAAACGCTCTGCTTCTTCGGAACCAGATATTCGAGAATGAACTCCACCACCGCTAGGCCGAGACTGATGTTGAATGTGATGAAGTATGGAAGCCGATCCTTGTATGATTCCCTCGACACCAGCGAACGCAGCTTCACTCCATAAGCCAGAATGAAGAAGACCCAGTAGAACAGCACAACTCCATTTGGATTCCGCGACCGCGAATGCTCATGGTATTGTACCGTGGCGATGACTAGGAGCGAGATAATTGTGGCGATCGAGGTATAGAATCGGATGTCTTGAAACCAAACACCAGGTAATTGTTCAATCTGCAGAGAGGCCTGAAGGGCGGTCGTGAGGATGATGGCACCGAGGACGGCTCTGTTATCAAGTTAACCACAGACCCAGGAAGGAATATTTCCAGGGAGGCTCACAGTTTTGTATGGAAATGCCAGTTTTTGGGTACATCCTGGGCGATGCGTTTGGTGAACAAATACCACAAAGCTCCAGCACCAAATAGCACACCCCAAAGAGCGACCCCCAGAATCCAAACGTCAAGGAAGCATGGTGTGAGATCCCATCGCAGGGAGCTCACTGGGCCCCAACCCTCTGCATCGCCGCAGAATGGCTGATGTGATTGTGATAATAAACGACTAGAAGGGTCAGAATTGGGCGTAAAGTCTCCCGACGCAGCCAGAACAGACTGCAACCCTTCTAGATCCCTCATCTACTGCAATTGGCTCGGCATGTAAAGACAGAATGGGATGCTGTTCGTCGACGCAAGAGAAAGAATCGTGGAGGGTGTGTTCAAAGGCGTGGTTTGCCGAGATTTTTGGCAATCCTACAGAGATGACAATAGGCTTGACGAAAGCGCAGTCACGGCACCAACGGGCAATGCTTAGGCCTAGCTATAGTGGGAGAGTGGGTAGCCGTGCGCAAGGCGTCGAAATGATGATGCAGAGAGGATCCCCGGTATTATCGGGGTTAAAGCCACCCCAAAAAATTTACTGAATACTTCCAAGAGCTACCCCTCACCAGCCAACACGCTCCCTCCGAGTAATACACCGAAATTAATTGGGAGGTGTACCGAGTGGTTGTGCCAGGCACCCACCAGGCTCCAACCCTAGGCATGGTGGCCCTCCCGGTGGCGTTTTAACAGGCACAAATAGGCTCACCGCCGGATGCCAGTTAAGACTTCGAGCCCCGGCACTAGATGGTAGCGAAGTGTGGCCTCCCACGTGACAGGCACCTTTGTGGACTGCGGTCCCAACGTCGACTCACTCTCCAGCAATCTGTCGCCTCTTCCAACCTCTAGTCTTTACGGAATTTGCCCTGTTCGCGGATCTCTAATGCCGTGTTTGTACACACCTTGACACCCTACCGACGAATACTCACAAGTACCTAGGCTGTCAGCCCGCCGTGCCGTTGCTCCGAGGCCGGATTCAGCCTCATCCTGTTCGAATGTTCCTCGAAGAATTACCGCCTCAGTGGAAATCGCCTTGTCGAGCCACCGGCCCCCAAACTCTCAGCTGTTCATGGCATGACTTCGTTTCCCGGCCCTGTCCGTTTTCTTCAGGCCCAGAACCCCGTCTGCTGCAACGCTGCCATGAGTCTGATCTTCCAAGTCCGTGCGCAGGCAGTAGGCCTGTGCAGCTACAAACACGGCCGTTGGCGCCCCGGTCCCTCGCAGATGATCCTAGCTCTCTGGGCTAGCTACATACAGTGGTCCCTTTGTTTCTGGGCGCTCTAGCCTCGTTATCGTCCCGACTTTGTTCTTTAAGACTTCTGCATTCAATTGAGCATGCGACCCTCCCGGATCTTCCCCATGGCCTTCGCCATCAGTGAGACCGCCTATTGGCGCCCGGAAGACCCTCACAGGCACACTGGGTCGCCCAGAGACTTGTCTTATCACGGTTGGCCGAGTCTCGACCCTACGAGTCTACTCGCTTAGAGCCATCCTTCGGAGCTAAGCCTTGACCGGTATCGATAGCTTTCTTACCGCCCATTCGTGTGACTAACCAAGCCTCAGCATGCATTGAAATATGGGAGATAGGATCCCATTTCCTTCCCTAGTGTCTCACACGCAGAGATAGACCGGGGCGGTGGCCTAACTTGGCCTCCTAAGCCTCGTGAGCCGATTATGCGACAAATGTTTATATTCAGAGACCCTGCATTCGAGGGTCCTTCTCCACTCTTTGTCTCCTTACAGCCTTGCTGCAGACAATGTCGGAATACCTCTTTGTTCGTGATGGCCACCCGTCTCGTCACCAAGTCAAATTCCAGGACAACGAGCCTGACGATGACGAGTCCAATAGCAATGGCATGAATATGGATCTTTCTGGTGGACACCAAGAGACTGCTTCAAATGCCGCTTGGAATGGGGCAGACGAGCAGACCAACGGAGATGGGAAACAGTCTGGTGATGGGCCAAGTCCGGCTTTTAATATTACAACCAACCGCACAGGAGATGAACCTGCAACTCCCAAGGATGGGTTGGTGCTGGGAGGTGGACAAACCATCAAGCTTATGCTTGTGCCGGACAAACCACCAGCACCTCCACCCGCTCCAGCGAAGGAAAAGAAGCCTCACCCTCAGGCTAAGATGAAGAAATTCTGGAAGAACTTCGATCCCGAGTATACTGGCAAAGTCACGCGCGTTCTACCGGACCGAATCACGGAGAAGGATCTGAGCGCGGTGACATTGGTCGGCGAGATCGCTCACAAGGCCATCAAGTCATACGAGGACGCCAAAGCATCCTGTATCCGAGACGTCAAACGCATCATCAAGGAATGCCGAGCCTCAAATCAGAAATACACCGATCCTCACTGGGATATTGAAAGAGATTTGAAAATTACACGGGTCAGGGATTGCCTAGATGGATTGATCATTGCCGACGACGATAAAGAGCACCCAGCAGATGCAAAGCGAGTCACAGTAAGTATTTATGTAATGGCGATCATACGGTTACACATCGCTGACCACATCCTAGGATATCTTCGATGAACCCAAATTCTACGTGAATGGTGTTTCATACGACGACATTCTTCAGGGGTCGGCAGGAGACTGTTGGTTTCTAGCCGCCATTTCTACCTTGAGCTGCAACCAGCAATTCATTGATCGTGTTTGCGTGATTCAAGATCAGGCCGTTGGTGTCTATGGCTTTGTGTTCCACCGTGACGGTGAATGGCACCAGTGCATAATTGATGACAAGCTATACCTCCGGGCACCGGCATACGACGAGAGTGGGGATGTGGTCCTGGGACAATATGGAATTCGACGTCCAGACCAGGAGGATCAGTATCAAGAACTCTTCCAACGCGGATCCAAATCACTGTACTTCGCCCAGTGCCGCGATCAGAACGAGACTTGGGTGAGTCTTCTCGAAAAGGCTTATGCTAAAGCGCATGGAGATTATGCGTCAATTTCGGGTGGACAGACCGGAGAGGCCATCGAAGATCTAACAGGTGGTGTCACGACGGAAATTTATACCACCAACATCCTCGACACAGATGAATTTTGGAAAAACGAACTTAGCCGCATTGGAAAGGACTTTGTCTTCTCTTGTGCTGCTGCACGCTGGCGCGAGTGGCGCCCATATCTAGTGGCCAATGAAAAGATCCGAGAGGAACGTCGCTCCGGGATTGTCAGCCAGCACGCCTATGCGGTCCTCGACACATACGAAGGCCACGGCCAACGACTGGTCAAAATCCGCAACCCTTGGGGTAGGAAAGAATGGACAGGTGCCTGGAGTGATGGCTCTAAAGAGTGGACTGCTGAGTGGTTGACGAGGCTGAACCACCAGTTTGGCGACGATGGCGTCTTCTGGATGACGTACAAGGACATGCTGAGCAAGTACAAGTACATTGATCGAACCCGGATATTTGGGCCTGAGTGGCAGGTCGCTCAGCAGTGGATGTCGGTGCAAGTCCCTTGGAGTACGCTGGACTACCAAACCAACCATTTCTCAATTGTTGTCCCCGAGGACACGGATGCGGTGATTGTGCTCTCCCAACTTGACGATCGGTACTTCAAGGGACTGCAGGGCAAGTACAATTACACTCTGCAATTCCGAATCCAGAAGGACGACGACGACGACGAGGAATACCTCGCCCGCAGCAAGATGAACTATGAGCTGATACGGTCTGTGAATGTGGAAGCCCACCTGACCAAGGGCACATATACTGTGCTGATCAAAGTCGAGGCGCATTCCACGGGAAGAGATGAGGTGGAAAATGTCATCAGAAAGAATATCCACCGTCGCGACAAAATCACTCAGATTGGCAAACTGTATGATTTGGCTCATCAGAAAGGTCAACTTCCTTCATCCTCGTCAGCATCGGGAGCCACCTCAACTTCTGTCTCTGGAACATCGACTCCTGTTCCTTCGGGAGTCAGAACTCCATCCACCTCTTCGACCTCTTCGACGCCTGCACCAGCGGAAGAGAGCAAACAAGATGCTGACGACAACGAGAAAGACCCAAACCGCAACCCATGGAACGCAAGCTGTGTTGTGGGGCTGCGCGTGTACAGCAAACAGCCAGAGCTCGAGCTCAAGGTCGTCGTGCCGTCCAAGGAAGATGTCCACGAGATGCCGACATTTGACCGAGATGATGTGGCCAAGAGCGCGCTGGACGAGGTCCAAGCAGTTGCCGACAAGGTAGATGAAGTTGTTGGAGATAAGAAAGAAGGGGAAGGGGAGGGAGAAGGTGAAGAGGACGCGAAGGAAAACGACGAGCCGGAATCAAACGAGACAGAGACGAAGAAGGCGATGACCCAAAGTGGCCGGCTCCTTGTCGAGAGTGACGACGACGCAGACGAAGACTATGAAGAAGAAGACAGTGAAGGCAGCGACGACAACGACGACGACGAGTAACACGGCGCTTGACAGCCAAAGTCAGCGCCTGAATTTCCAATCCCGCGTTCCAGCAAGGCGCCAGGAGCATTCCGATGCTGAAAGACGTGCCTCGTACTAGAGGTAGAAACCAGACTGTTTTCACGTTCGCAGGGTTTTCTTATATGGGCGTTTACAAGGGTTTGCATACGAGGATAAAGGACTGTTCGACTCTTTTTTTCGGGTCACGGTCTGGAATGGATATATCGCGCTTGTCCCGTCGACAGTATACGATCAGTCGACTCTCTCAAATCAGGATGAGAGACACACCACTCCACTCCACCGTCGGCAGCAGTGGATTACGCAGGGTTCAGGAAGAATCTCGGTACTGAGGGGCTGCTGGACCTGGATCTGAACCCTGATGTCGGTGTGGTGTTGTTGGTATTTGTGTTGCCCATCTATCTGATTTGAGATGATGTTTATACGAGGTTACAATAGACAACAAACACCCTCCCCAACCCACCTACTCACTCCCTCCGTCTCTACTTGGTCTATAAGTTTCTTTCTCTGGCCATAGGAAACCCCAACGAACTAGAAAGCGAGCAAATGAATGAAAATCACCATTCCCGAATTTAACGCGAAGAGAAACTCGTGTCTTTCTTTTTCCAGGCCAGGCCAGGCCAGGCCACTGTCACCGTCACCGTCACCGTCCATTTATTTATTGGTTCGTCTTACTTGACTTACTGACTTACTGACTGACTGACTGGTCGTCTATCTGAATAGGTGGGCTGGCTATATATCCTCCCATCCATCCATCCATCCATGCCTCTCTCACTCTATTCATTCTATTCACTCTCTCCCTCCCTCCCTCTCTGTGAATGGTGGTGTTTAGATCAAACACGGAGACAAAACATATGTAGGTAGAGAAGATGATTTCATTGTGGCGGCCTCCCGAGTTAAGCAGTATAGCAGTATAGCAATATAGCAATATAGCGATACCCAGCTAGTCAAGTCAGTTGGTTGGTTGATTTACCATTCCATTTCATTCACATTTACGCCTTGTTGTTCCTTGTTCCATGTACCTTGTTCCTTGAATTCCCTTGATTCCTTGATCCCTCCCGGCCTAGCTGCCTAGCTGCTTCGACCATCTCAGCCGGTCGAATCTAAAGATGTATCGTTGACATCCAAAATACTCACACTATGCGCACTCCCACTCCCACTCCCCGTGGTCTTGCGGCTGAGGGTTCCCGTCCCACTGCCATTGCCACTACCACTTCCCTTTGAGCTCAACGTTGTAGAACTCTCGGCTCGGCTCCTCACGCCGCCTTCGTCTATACTCCCACCAGGGCCGATAGAAGGTCGGATACTGGCCACCTCGGCCCCCTCCAACAACTCTTGATCTCTCTTCCCGATCCCCGTGTCCTTGTCATCATAGTCCTCATCGTCATCGTCGTCGTCTCGATAAGGTTTCTGCCCGTGCTCGCGGGCGTTGCGCTCAAACTCCTTCTGCGCATCGTCCATACGTTTCCGCATCTCAGCCGCCATCCGCATGCCGTCGTTCACGATATTGTCCAAAACACCTCGCAGACCGCGAGAGCCCGGTTCCACAACACCGCCGGCACGGCCCACGTCAGGTAGAGTCTTGTTGGACGGCGCGCCGTTCAGCAAGTTTTTGACCGGCGTGCCTAGATTTGTGAAGGTGGTTAGATTTCCCGAGAGGGTGTTGGTGGTCGAGGCCAACGACAAGGAGCTGGCGTTAGGAGGGATATCGGCAAGACGGAAAGATTGAGGGAAGAAGGTCTCAAAGAACTGCTCGAGAAGTTCATCCGCGAGAATGACCATGCGGAAGGTCGGGAGGGTGATATGCAAGGGTTTATTGGGATCAAGGGCAAGGTTATGCGAGGCGGCGCGAGATGAGGAGGATTTGCGATTGTCCTGACCACTCGAGAATGACGGCGTATGGGGAGGCGTCGTCTCGGACAGGGGGTCTTTTTCTGTCGGTTTCGGCGAGGCGAGGGATTTGTGATTCGATCGTGTCTCGGTCAGATCAAGTAGATCTTCCTCGTCGGCTGGTCTGTCTATGGTTGTTGCCTCGAGCTTCGAGCTTGCTGCCTCCACGGCGTCATCCGGGTCGGCGTATTCGAAACACCTCCTGATAAAGGCACTGACGCTACCTAGAAACTTCTCATTGGTGCTCAGTTTCAGGCCCTCCTTTGCGTCCGAAGCACTGAGTGGAGAACTCAGCCCGTTGTTCGTGTCGGACGGGGTAATGGTGCCATCAAAGCCTCGTCGAGAAAGGAACAAGAGGGACTCAGACATCCTCAGGATGCCCTCCCGATCGACTTTCCCCGTCCCCTCGTCGTCAAAGAGGTCGAAGAATAGACTCATCGAATTCATAATATCCGTAGTGCCTTTGAACTGCGCAAGGCCACGAACTAGTTGTTGAAGCGTCATCTCTCCCTGATGCGACTCGTCCCATTTACCGTACAAGCGTTGCATAAAATCGTGGTCGGCGGGTTCGGGCCCTGATCCCCATTGAGACATTGTCTTGCTCCGCTTTCTCTGGCTTGTATTGGGGCTGGCAATCTCCTTACTGGGTGACGAGGGCGAGTCTGTCACTGCCCACCTGGCCGTATTGGCTAGGAACTCTCTGAAGGCATCATAGTCCATGGTCTGCAAAGGGAGGGCATTGCGGCCGGGCTCGTCATAGTTGCGAGATGAATGCTGTGGCCATAGACCAGGCCGAGTTCTCTGATCTTGCTGCTTCCTTCTCTCCACCTCGCGAGCTTTTGCACGTTCTTGTCGTTCAGCCAACACGCCAAAGAACCTATCGTAGATGGCACTGAGATCTTCAGCACTGAGCTTCTTACTTTCAGGTCCCAAATTCCGTATTGATGTCCGTTTGGCGAATGTGGCAAGCCCCTCCTTGACGCCCTCGATGTGTTTGTCTCTTAGTTCTTCGACACTGGCGTGTGTAATGCCAGCAAACTCCTTGAAAGCCGTTACCATGAGTTCCTGGAATTTGGTGATAGCCCTCAGCTTCTCGTTTTCCGAATGAGGGTGGGCGGATTCGTCCAGCCGTGAAAAGTAGTTTTTGAGTATCGAGATGAAAGAGCCATCGTCGCTCACGTCGAGTAATTCTTCGCCGTTTATGCGGAGAATAGCCAGACCAATCTGGAAGAGGACTTTCGGGCCTTCCAGGAAGAACACGTCAAGTACCCGGAAGGCGAATACAAGGGGCATCGAGTTGATGTAGAGTGACAAAAACCACGGCAGTGACACCACGGATAGGTTGACGTCTGACTTGACTAGATGTTCCCAAAGAATGGGCATTGTCCGTTCGACGAGGTTTTCAAAGACACGCTGGTCCAAAAGAGTGCCATACATGTCCTTTGAGTAGTATCCGGGAAGCAGTCTGTCGCACAAGGCGCCGAGTGTGAAGAACGCCTGAGACTCTGACATGTAGATGAGCAGGGCCGCCACGACTATATTCATGGCTTGACAGTAGCCAACCTCTTCATTGGTCCAGCTGTATGCTGTGAGGACGCGTCGAAGCCTGCCAATACCTTCATCGCTCTGAAAGCCGGGATATTCTGGCAGACTCCGATTTAGATCCTTCTCAATCTCATCGATGGCCAAGGACTCCTTTCCGGTAAACTTGGCCAAGGTTTTGGCGTAGAGGTTGGGATTTCTCAGCCGCGTGTAGAAAGAGCCGGAGCTGATCTCCCATATTTCGCCTCTCAGACGGTTTGGCAACCCAACACGGATGAGTTTGTGGAACGTGGGCTGGCGGACGATGGTGGCATTTCGGCCATTCTCCCGCATGTACTCGCCCCAGAGTCTGATCTTACTCCTATCCCTAAGTTTTCGGGCATCTCCCGGGTATTTAAACAGCATTCCAAGTCCCGTGTCGGGCGGATCGGGTGGTGTGGTTCCTTCCTCTTTGGCCTTGAGGCGAACTGGATCCAGAAAGTATTCTGAGTAGCATTGAGAGACCACAAGCCGTAGATTGTCCACCTCTTTCATACCTTCCCTCAACCCTTTCTTGAGACCGTCACAGAAGCGCTCACAGGCGATGCGACTACCGTCGAGGGTGAGGATCAGTTTGCGGGGAGGAGGCTGTGCCACCTTGGTCTTCTCGGTCGAAGGTCTCTGGACGGACTCAAAGGTGGTGAGGGCGAGCGAGAACTTGTCTTGATGACTATTCAGCCTCTCGACTCTCCGTATCGAGCACAAGGGTAGAGTAAAGCCATGCCCTCCAGGGCCCGCACCTTGCGTAGGGCCCGTGAAGGAGGTGGACGATGCATAGCTGGCGGTGGGCAGGAAACTGGTTCGGATCGTCGAGAAGCACAGAAAGTGTTCACTCAAGTGTAGTTCGCCCTGATATTTATTGCCATTGTCCCTCAACTTCTCTCCGGAGGTGACAGCGCCTCCCGCTGGGGTCGAGGGAAGAGGTAGGAATAGTTCGGCGGTGATCTCGTGCAAGGGATTTTGACCGGCGGGCAGTCTGAACTGGTCTCGGAAAAGAGAGGCCTTTGACGGACGGTTGTCATTGGTGGAGGACAGCGAGGACTGGTCAATGAACTTCTGTACAAACGAGCTCAACATGGCGCAGGCGAGGCAAGGCAAGGCACAGGCTGGCTGTCAGCGAGAGGGTGGGAGCGGGTGTTGGTACAAGGTCGCTTCCGCGGGTGGTGACAGCGCATGTCACTTCCTGCGCGTCATATTCTGCTGGAGAGACGGACGTAGGCTCTCTAGATGTCCTGGAGCATCTCAATACGAAGACACATGTCTGTGGTGACCGTCCAAAAGCAATCCTGATTGCTTGTTGTAGGAAGACGCTGGGGCCAAAAGTCAGGATGCCCGCTTGGCACGCGCTGAGTCTCTCCGAGGATGAAATCGCAGCCTGAGCGGAATCCAAACAATCCTACCAATTCAAACGTCATATTAAAAGGGGCCTGGGGGCCCATGCTAAACAATATCGGGGACTCATTCCTCTAGCATGACTAGTCATATGTGAGATCTGCCATTCCATATCTTCCACCATCATATAGCCCAGGGGAAAGCCCGTCCTTGCCCCATGACCGATAGGAGCAGTGGTAACCAGAACTCATATTTCATTCCATCATGAACTTTCCATTCCTCGTCCACCCGCCCTCCCTGAAACACCAAGAAGTCACCCAAACCGCCATTACTGCACGACAAAGTAGAACATGACCCCTGCTGGTACCCCGTCTTCCAAGAAGCGTCCGCTCCTAATCTCAGGCCGGGTCGGTGGTCAACAACAGCTCAACCACGACGTGGCTCTTTTCGTACTCTGGGTGTTGCAAGACTATCTTCGGCGTCCGTGGTGCATTTCCAAAGTTCTTGAGGCCGAGTCCATTAATTCCTCCTCCTAACATAGCCTGCGTCTGGGTTTGAGATCCTCCTGAGCCACCACCGCCGTCGTCGAGCAATTTGATGTCTTTCCCGGCGATCACTTGCTTCAGCCGACCGTTCTGAGCGTCTCGGATCTCCACAAAGTCGTCGTCGACCAAGATCAAATACTGGTTGTAGAGACACGCTGACTTGGCCCGACCGACGAATTCCATCACCACGCCTCTCGAAATATCTCCATGTTTGTTAACATAGACGGCACATTCTTCAAAAGTGACCAAGAATTCCGCCTCCCCGAGCCTGAACATCCCCAGAGGCTTGAGGTCTTTGATTCGAGTTGCAATGGAACTGAGATGAGCTTGTGTCTCGGGCTGTTCGCTTCGGAGATTCGGTACACTCCATGTTTGCTTTTTCTCGAGGGTCAATACCTCCACCCCTCTTGCGGTCGATATCGCCAAGCTTGACTGGAACAGATTCAACCCATAGCACTCGGCCGGGATATAAAACTCGTCGTATTCCCTGAAAAATTCCGTCTGTCCACGTCGAGATGCCGATGGCAGAAAACGTGATCGAGTTGTGGTGCTCTTTTGAAGGACGGGTTCGAGGACCTTGAAGGTCGACGCTATACCATCTCGTTTTTTATAGAAGACCAGTGTCCGCTCTTTCATTCTCCCCGTCACAAAGAAGCCAATGTCCTTGGAGCCGGATAATTTCTGTGGTGCCTTTCGGCTGGAGGCGTCATTTTGCGCGACCGGATTGCCCGTGGGCGGACAAACAACGTCGAGATGGTAGGCAATAAGAGCCTTGTCCGAGATAAGCAGAAACAGGTTGAACTCTTCTAGAACTGCGACCTGAGTCACTCTGTGCATTTGAATAGCCTAGGAAATGTTAGTAGAGTCAACAGTCAGCGTAGATAAGACTAACCCTGATCCATCCCCGAGAATTCTGGTACTCGGAGATGTACACGCCGTAGTCGGTTCCCACAGCGCACATAAGCCGACCATATGGCTGATTGAATACAGTGGCGCAGTTGACAGGAGCGCGGCAAACAGGTGCTGGTCGGCCCTGGCCTTCAAATTTCTTCTCGGTCTCCCGGATAGCCCTATCCAAAGGAGTCCCCTTGATCAGAATTCGCTTCGCGGGATACGTGAGGCCTTCGTAGCCAAATGCTGTGTCTGCCAGTACTCGCAGCTTGAACGGCTCAGCATTTTGCTTATACAGCGCCTCAGCATGCCTCGTTTTCGCCTGAATGATTGCCTCACACCAATCCTGCCGATTTTGGGCGCTTGGTGCGTAGAGAGTGTACGTTTCAGTCTTGCCGAGATGCTTGACGCGGAAAGGATACATGATTTTCTCCTCTTTGGAACTGCCCGACTCCAACGTAGTGATGGGAACCATGCTCTGGCTTGTGTTGCCAGATCCTACCGAGAGATTGGTATTTGTATGTGACAATGGACCAGGAGTCCCGCCACTAGCAGTAGACTGCGCTCTGGTAAGCCGATTATCAGGGGTTACCGGGCCACGAGGTGCGACCGTGGTGGTGACGGCTCCGATACCCTTCATCGAGGACTTTATAACTGCAGGGTCATTGGAACTTTCAAGGACGAGCAGGTCCATCGGAATGGGGACTTTTGAGACATCGTAATATCCCTCTCTGCGATCCCGACTGAGAGGCTTTGCTAGGACGAGGTAATGATCGAAGAGAATCGCATGGGTTTCGACCCATTGGAACCCTTTACCGCCAGCACGCTGCAAGTCGCCCCGGAAGATGATTTCTCTCCCCAAGTGATCGAGGTTAAGTTCAACTTCCTTCTCCATTGGTGGTCGAAGCCGCAGTTTGGTTTGCATTTCGATCAACTCCATCTTCTTGGTCATTTCCGCAAACTTGGAATCACATTCGAAAGTAGCTGCGCGAATCTCGTCCAGGGCATAGGCCAAGTTGGCCTTCTCCTCGGAGTCCTTCAGCATGTTCTTTTGGACGGTGGAAAGTAACAAGCTGTACCGCTGCAGCCTGGTGATCGGGGCCTTCAAGTAATTGTCCCATCCTAATCTGTTCGACCGCTTATCCTCCCGCGCCTGGTCCAGGAAATTCTTGAAGGGAATATTTCGTTCCGCTTCACGACGCATGAGGTAATCTGCCCGAGGAAAGTTGGAAGCATACTCCACATACACGGGCCTCGCTTTTCGGATCCATTCCCGGAAGATGTCACTGAAGCCAACAATCCAGGGCCCTTGCTCCGTCTGTCGGTATTTGAGCTGACCAAGAAGGTAGTCTTGGTTGACTTTCTTGACCTTGTCCACGCCACCAAACACTTCCCTAAGAAATGTCGGCAATTTCTTGGTGGGAATGATAGGCGGTTGCGCCCCAGAAAGTCGATCTCGGTATAGCACTCTGAGCACATCCAGCTGGCTGATATAAAGGTCTTCACTTGTGACAATTTCGTGCAAAACGTTCTGCCGTTCGATTTCTTTCTTGTCGTGGGTTTCGACGTCCTCCTTCTTGAGCTTGTAGTATGTGGCCCAATCTTCAGACTTCTTCTCAACAGGTAGGCTATCAAGATCGAGTTTCTTGAGAGTCCGCATGCAATGATAGGAGTAGCATCGCCCACGGGTATGATATAAATGTAGCTTCGAGGAGTAACATCCGGTGCCTGTCAGCTGATATAGAACGCCGGACATGGTCCCGGGCCCGAACTTGACCCATTCTTCTTCTCTCACCAGAGCATTCGCGTCGAACATTTCCTTGATAACTCGTTCTCCCAGTGATTCAGCCTCTGTGATGTACATTGTTGGTACTTTGTTCATGAAGAGTGCAACAATGCCTTCCACAATGCTATTCTCTTTCAAATCAACTTCTTCTTCGGCCAGATCCCTGATCCACGCTAAGATCGAGCTCAGCGCCCAGGGTTCTGAACATTTCTTAAATTGATCAGCTGTCAGTTTGGACGGGTTGTACCGCTTCCTCGGAATTGCTGGAAGATCCAGTGCTACAGCAGATTGCGGGCTGGAGATGTCATACAGATCAGACATCGGTCTTCCCTGCTGCCTCAGAAGCCTCTGACGGTCTGCATCTGTTTTCGAGCGGTTAACCTGTTCGGCCCTAGGAGCACTTCGCGCACTAGACAACGAAGTAGACCGGGGAACGCTCGCTGGGCTGAGTAGGGTGTTGGGGTAGGCGTCCGGGGCTGTTGGATACGCGCGCGAATTCGGATCGGTGTACTGAGAGAACCGGCTTTGTTGAGTATAAGTACCAGCAGGCATCAAATGCGGTATTCGCAGTGCCAGAGCCGAGTCGGAGAGTGAAGGAGGAGGTGGAAGGGGACGCTGCTGGCTCATGCCAGGATGGAAGAAGAGATCCGGCATCTCTTCCCGTGATGGACTTGAGCTTGCAGAAGTCCGATTAGTTTCTGCCTCGATCATAGTTGATTCGTCTCCGTCTTCATAGCTTAACCGTCTGGGGTGCGGGCTGGGTTCTGTCAAACCGCCTGTGCCTCCAGTGTCCACACGAGCGACATTATGCGTGGAAGAGAAGGGATGGACGCTGTCTAGAGGCGGGATCGACTCAAATCCGCTTGTCTGCGACTCCCGTCCCTCCGAAGAGACGCCAGAGCTCCGTACTGAACTCATTCTGGTGTTCAGCCGCCCGTATAGTTCACTTTGCGGCATGGCCGTAGCAGCACTCGCATAGTTGGACACAACAGAGTCGCCATAAGCCATATCAGGCGCATACCCTCCCCCAGCGAGACTCAAATCACCGTAGCCGGCATAATCGCTGTCGCTGCTTTGTTCCTGGGAGGAAAGTCTAGCAGCCGCTTCATCCGCACGTGGCTGGCTGGGGAAGAGGGTGGCTGAACCACTACGCCGGCGCGCGTCCTCTGCCCTTTCTTGCTCATCTAATGCTTGCATAGCAGCAAGCCCCGCAGCGGCCTCGGCGTCACTGTCGTCGGTGAACGCGCCATAGTTGATATAAGCATCTCCGGTGGAGGCGATATTCCCGTTGAGATGTGTTGGCGCCTCGTCTGGCGAAAGATGGGGTCTGGGCGACGGATGTTGGAAAACGGCATCCGCTGGACCGTCCCTCGAATTGCGGTGTCTGTAGTCGCTGCCTGACCTTGTATGCCTTGAGGTCTGTCCTATAGCCTCATCTAAATCTTGCATCAAATCCTCATAGCCCGAAGAAGTGATGCGTGCTCCACTGTTACGCGATCCTGTCGAATTGAAGTAGTCACTTTCTGACTCCGGCTCCGATGGAAGGCCTGGTAATGATCTACCTTGGGGATGACGGTCGAGTGTATTCGTACGCTGAGGCGACCGGTTTGAAGGTTGTCTGCTCGGTGGCGTCGGAATGGAAGGCTGTGGCGAAGCAGACTGATTGCTCATACGGCTCGCGAATGAGGAATTGCGGTTTATATCAGGAGACGAATAGGCCGTCAGATTTGAGGCAGGGTATGTTGCCGACGGGCCAGTAGGATATGGATATGGCTCTTCAGGTATGCTTGCCGACCTTCCGTGTGGTGGAGGCACAGGAGCTGGAGGGGAATAAGTTGACGGGACTCCGTAATGTTGGCCAGGGTACTGTTGTGATATATCGTGCTGGTACGCACCGTAGGCTTGCGGGTTGGGAAATGCGACTGCTTCAGACCGAGGAGGGGGCGGGGGCGGTTGGGACGAGGAGTAATTATATTGAGAGTTCGCATCGTAGGAACCGTAGCTGTTGTAGACAGATGTCCGACGAGCGAGATTCTGGTCGCCGTAGGCAGCTGGAACGTACGGCTGATAGGTGCTTGTGGGATGGGCAGGCTGGGGGGCTGCATAGAGCTGTGGATTGTAAGATGCTTGCGATTGCTGCTGTTGATGATACTGAGCGGGATTGTAGGGAGCGTGAGCGGGTGCCGCAGTCTGGTACTGATGCTGGTACCCGCCCAAACCTGCATGTTGAGTATTTGTCCTGAATGGCATCGTGACCGAAGAGTGCATGTTCGCCGACAGAGATCGATTCACTGGAGGACTCGCTGCCGCTCCTGTGGACGGAGCGTACGAGTTTCGTCCCTGCGCCCCCCGCGGCTGCTCTTCTCCATCGAAGTACCTTTCGTCGTCCCCGGCGTTGAAACTCGGCGAGCGTTCGAGAGATCTTGGAGGATAGATGGATTGTGCACCGTAGGAAACGTGGTCACTATTCTGACCAGACGAAGGGTGATTGCCTGTCGGGTAGTAGGGCTGCCCATTTTGGTGGTAGCTGGCCATGGTCAGCGCAGCTGATGGAGTATGCGATCGGGAGGCGCGAGAGGGCGGAGTCAACGCAGAATCGGCCGTGGATGTCGCTGGGCATGTTCGAGATCCTTCAGATGCCAATGAGCACGAATCACTCCGCGGGAGTTTGTGCTGTGCTGCGCCGAGTCATCGGTGATAAATTTGGAGGTGCTGAGGTCGTGAGGCAGCCTGACGACCAGGAATGATGGATTCCCGGCGACGAACGATTGTGCAATAGGTAGGATGCTCAGAGAATCGGAACCAATATCAGAGCGATACCGCGATGAGCGCTAAGATGTAAATAATACCGAGATGAGTGGTCTATGATCCATTTGAACAATGTTGAATGGACAGATGCGGTCGGATGTTGCTAGCCAGCCCAGTGTCGCAGACGTGCAATGCTGGTCCTGCTGTGGTGCGCTGGCTGTCAGCGGGAGGCGGACAATAATGATGATACAGTACAAGTGACTTTACTTAGCATCGGGGCATAAGGCTGCCGAGGTGCCCATCGACCACCGGCCACCTCCCAACCATTGGCACTGCAGGCACCGTTAGGGACCACACTGGGGACTCGCCTTTTGGGAGGGGGGGCCCTCTAAAGTAGTGCCCATCCCAAGGCTGATTGGTGCCTGACGCCCCGTTACAACGCCAAACTGGCCCCCCCTTGCCCCCCCTTCTGACTGTACTGAGCGAGGTAGATACTCCGTAAGTACGAGGTACATTTACTCCTACTATACGTACTTTCAGGCGCCTCAATGGCTGCGAAACCAGATCCTGCAGAATTATTTAAATTGTGATTTTGTAAGTTAGATGAGATGCTCAGACATAGCTAGAGTTCCACTTCTGCCAAAGGTCTCCCTTACATATAAACAAGTCCACTACCTACAAAATTATCGTCTTAATAATTGACCGGGCCCTGGGAGGATGAAACACTCAGGTTCCTGTTGTGATTTGTGATGTGTTGGCGGAAATGTGCAGCTTTTCTCTCTCGCGTCAACGTTGCGCACGTGCAGCATTCTCTTCCCCCTTCCCATTGAATTCATCGGTCCAAGTCAAGACTCCTTTTGTTCCCGCATGGTCTTCAATACTCCTTCAGCGACTCGAACCCCTTCGAGCCCTGCTGGCATTCCACAATAGATCGCAACCTGCATCAAAACCTCTCGAATCTCCACTTCACTCGCCCCATTGTGAACCGCTCCTCTGACGTGCACAGCTAGCTCAGTCATTCGGTTCAAAGCACAGAGCATGGCGATATTTAGCAAGCTTCTGGTCTTACGCTCTGCAACTCAATGTTAGCCTCTACCAGTCTTGACAGAAACTCGTCACAATAACTCCTCCAGAGATGAAACAGACGTGTAAGAAGGGGAGAAGGATTCACCAAGTCCCGGCCGGGCCCAGATCATTCCCCATCCCACCTCCGTGGCCAAGTCTTGCATCGGCCGAGCAAAATCAGAAGAGTTGTTTTGAAGAGAACGCTGGACATGTTCGGGCCCAGCGACTTCGGTTCGGATCTGGAAGCCTTGGTCGTAAAAGATCTTGTGGGCTTCAGCCACGCTATTCTCCTGGGCACTCGACATCGCTTCGGGCGGATTTGGTCAGATGCACGGTTCGCGGATCTCTCAATAAGATTGATGAAAAGGTGGTAAGAACACGTCTGTGGTGAAAAGAACAACGATACAAGACCGAGGTCGGCCGGGCAAGCCCCACTACGCTCTCGTCGGTGATCATGCTGTGACTGATCAAACAGAGGCTGAATGCCCTATCGACGCCGGGATACTGACCTCTGACTGCCCTGGCAGCCTGGATGCACTCCAATGCGGGGCTGCGAGGATGGCTGCGCTCGACTTGGGGGAAAAGTGAATAAGGCTAACTGTTGGAGTAGAGCGAGGACTGTGTGGTTGCGCACAGATTCAAGATACCTACTACACTACGCTATTCTATCGATTCGTCTTGCTTTCATTCCCCTCTCTTCAATCCAAGGTACAAACCTGCGATCCAACTACCGAGAAAGCAGCAAGGCCCAAGATCCTACCAGTTCCTTCGTTGGTATCCGACTTGCAGATGTACTTCGTACAATCGCACCAACCACTGCCCCACCTCCTACTGGCGAGGCCAAGTCAGCCATGGGCAGTTTAATTCGGTCATCTGTGCCCTCTCCACCTCCGGAAGACCCCCCATAATCTTGGACGTGGGTTCAAGATGGTGTTGCATCTCCTGATATTGGATGGAGAAAGATCGCGGGGCTTGACACTATCCCTGCCAGATATAAAACTAAAAACATAACAAAAACCTTCCTAGCATACCATCGTCCACCTGTCGCTTCTTGCTTTTCACTTGGAGTCATATAGCCCTTTCACGTGTCTTCGCGGCCTGCAATATATCAATACCGAAATGACGTCTCCTGAGAAACCGTGGACAATCATCGTCGGTGCTGGACCATCTGGCCTGCTTCTGGGTCTGATGCTGGCGAAGAAAGGGGTCACTGTCCATATCCTGGAGGCCGCTGGTGAATTGGATGACTCTCCTCGCGCAGCGTATTATGGTCCTCCGGCCGCGTATGAGTTACGCCGTGCTGGAGTCATTGATGACATTCGAAAGGAAGGGTTTGATCCGGTAAAGACATGTTGGAGAAAACTCGACGGCACTTATCTTGCTGGGTTCGACAACACCCTCATGCATGACGACCCAGATCGTCTGGCGTGTCTGCCATTGGCGCAACTCGATCGATTGCTGTACAGACACGCCATTCAGCAGCCCAGTCTGAAAGTGTTCTTCAACCACAAAGTGATGGATGTTGGTCAGGACGATGACAAGGCATGGGTGGATGTTGAGACTCCCGAGGGCCCAAAACGTCTTGAGGCAACTTACATCGTAGGTTGCGATGGTGCATCGAGCACAGTCAGAAGAAAGCTGTACGGTGCAAAGGATTTCCCTGGTTACACCTGGGACAAACAGATCGTGGCGACGAATGTAAGCAAGCCAATATTTTCATTCCTCCTCACTCTTTCTCATTTTTCTCCCTAGGTGGCGTACCCTTTCGAGAAATTTGGATACGACGATGCCAATTTCTTTATTCATCCAGAGCACTGGCATATGGTCGCCCGTCTCACCAAAAATGCAGACGGCAGCGGCTGGTGGCGTGTCAGCTACGGAGAGATCTCTGGACTCACTCGAGAAGAACTGATTGCACGGCAACCCATGAAATACGAAGCCATGTTGCCCGGTCATCCCAAGCCAGGAGAGTATGACCTTGCGGCGATCAGCCCGTACAAGATCCATCAGCGCTTGGTGGAGAAGATGCGAGTTGGCAGGTTTATGCTCGCTGCAGATGCTGCACACAGTAAGTTGGACGATCCACCGTGCGAAGTGACGCTCACGCATTACTCTAGTCTGCAACCCTTTTGGTGGTCTCGGGCTCACCGGCGGTCTTGTGGATATCGGTGGCTTATATGACTGCCTGATTGGCGTTTATGAGGGTAAAGCGGATGAAAGTATACTTGATAAGTATTCCGAGATGCGGCGGCAGAGATATCAGACAGTTACGGATCCCATCTCCACGGACAACATCAAACGACTGTATGATCAAGACCCGGACAAAGCACTCGAGAATGATTCGTTTTTGAAGATGCTCAAGGATATCGAAGGCGATGTGGAAGCCCAGCGAGAGTTTATGCGGTCGCCTATGGCGCTTCGATACGACTTTACTCAACATTATAACACCGCGAAGAACGGAAGTCAAGCAGGGGAAGTCAAGAATGGAGCTGTGACGTCGCAAGTAGAGCAGGTGGCTGTGGCGGGAACAGATTGAGCCTTATCGAATGCAATCATACCAGCCCCAGACTGTCACTGAGGACTGCAGCTCAGCTATTAGATAAATGATTATACCCTGCATGCCTGCATGCCATAGCCCTATTGTAACAAAGGTGTCAAGACAGGAACCGTCAAACTGTGTACCAAATACTGGCTTGCTGGGTATCTTGCTTGTAGTATCTAGAGATGTACCTAGTAGTCATGGTAGTGGTACTGAGTACCTCCTCATTCGCCAGTGGGGGTATTACTACTGTCCACTAATACTGATAGGTAATAGCGCCATTCTCATTCGTCATTCGTCATTTGCCTTTTCTGGCCTCGCTAAGTTGCCCATGTATATACGTCATTTGAACTCGAAGTCCGCATTGGCCCGGGGCGCAGTCTCTCTTTCCCATGCAAGTTCCCCATGTATCGATGCCAAAAAGTCAAGACTTTCTCACAAGCCGCCCAAGTCGCTACGATAGAGCCTATTTTGGCTCTCAGATCTTGGTTCATTATTGTCATGAAGATTGTTGCGCGCTGACTGCCGTATTTTGTGCTCGACATTCAACTCTCATCTATACCTCGTCCTTCTGAGGTTGCCTCTTAGCCTTGCGCCCCGCCACAGGCAGCCCTCCTCCATCCTGATGAATGCTTGATTTACAGCCATGAAGCCCTCCGATCATGGGCCTCTCCTTCGTCGCAAGTCTTCGACTCCTCATTACCAGACATTTGGCGGCATATCGCCTCCCAAGTCTCGTGGGCGACCGCTGTCTGATTCCTCCAACTCCTCCAGCCACGACCTGCACAATGGTGACGACAACCACCAACACAGCTCGCCGCTGCCGAAGAAACAGATGGCTATCTTAGCCGTTATAGCTCTGTGCGAACAGACAGCACTCAATTCTATCAGTCCCTACCTGCCTGCAATGGCGTCGACGTTCCCCGAAGTGAAACAAGGACAAGTGGGCATATATGTTGGGACAATCGCTTCTGCCTTTGCGCTTGCGCAGCTGGCGACAAATTTCTTCTGGGGATGGCTGTCGGATCATATTGGAAGAAAACCGGTAATATTGATGGGCACAATATTTACGGCTGCCTGCTTCGTGGCGTTTGGTTTTGTGAAGACGCTACCACAAGCCATTGCGGTTCAAGCGTTTATGGGTCTGCTGAATGGGAACCAAGGTGTTGTCTCTACCTGCCTTGGGGAAATTACCGACCGAAGCAATCAATCGCGGGCTTTCACCTATCTCCCTGTCATCTATGGCCTTGGAGGTATCACCGGCCCTATCATTGGCGGTGTGTTGGTGTTTCCCAGGAATCCTTTCGATAAATCGAAGCCCAATCCGTACCCTTACCTTCCACCGAACCTCCTATCAGCAGCAATCCTCTTGGTAGACTTCATCTTGACGTCACTTTTCCTCGAGGAAAGCTTAGAAGAGGCACAGTATCTCCAACCTCTGGGTTCCAGGGTGCGCAACCTATTTTCATGGCTTTGGCAGTTCACCTCCTCCAGCAGACCTCATTACCTCCGCCGAAAAGGCAAAAGCCACCAAACCCCAGTCCATCCGAACGGTCTTGCAGAGGTTTCCGACGACGAAGATACCGATGGCGGGACAGAGCCTGCCGTGTTCTTCCCTGCCTCGGAAGAATTGAAGAAGAAAGATGTGCTCAACCGAGACACCATCCTCCTCCTTGTGACATACCTCATTTTCCAATTAGCCAACATTTCCTTTAACTCGCTCTATCCCATTTTCGCCCAAGCCTCACCACCCACTGGCCGGAACCTCGACCCAGAAGAGATTGGCCTGTCGCTCGCCTTCGCCGGAGTAGTGACCATTCTATTCCAGATTGGTGTTTTCGGCAAACTGCGGGACATGATGGGAAATAGATGGGCATACAGAATCGGTTTAGCTGGATTTGTGATTGCCTACGTCCTTATGCCTTGGGTGGGTTACAAAGACGATGCTGACGGAAAAATGGGTACACATGGCGCGGTATGGTTATGGCTAGAGATTTGTACTGTCCTTCTTATCAAGACAGTGGCGGCAGTAGGTGGTCTGACCAGCGCTCTATTATTGGTGAGTCTTTTTGCAGGACGGCGGTGAGTAATCCTACTGACTATATGCGCAGATCACCAACTCGGCGCCTAATCACTCTGTCCTGGGGACTCTCAATGGCCTTGCACAGACACTCTCAGCTGCAGGTCGAGCGGTCGGCCCATTTGTCTCGGGCAGTCTCTTCTCACTTGCCACCCGAGTTCGCCCCAAGGGAGAAGCCCTAGCATTCGGCGTCTTTGGCGGCATTTCATTTATTGGCTTCTTGTTAAGCTTCGGTATCCGATCGCCCAACTTGGAGGCCGAGGGATGGGACTCGGAGGACGACGACGATGATGAAGACGATGACGGGTCTGACAAATCGGAAGATGAGGATGCTTGACCATGATGGAGCTCCTCAACTCGAGTACGACGGGCGAAAGATTGGACCTTGGATTCTAGGCAGTATTCAACCAGCGAAGGCGTTTAATGAAGGCATGGAAAATGAGCAACGGTAAAGCATTCAGCCTGCAGTCGGTCTTTTTTGGGATGGTATAGATTGATGGTTTATAATAGGGTGCTTTGAGAGAGAGAGAGAGAGCCCCAGACCGGGAACTTGATATATTTGGGAAGAGACGTTTGACTTTGACTGGATCAGGCGAGGCTCTCATATGGCCTTGTCGAGTGTAATTATGGGTGACATGGCGTGGTGGACATTTGACACTTTCCATGCCAGGATCACCCTCCTTCTCCTTCACCAGTCGCCTCTATGAGAAGTTTGGCATGGATTGTCTGGCATAAGGAGGTGGGGATCTTCATTGTTAGTCGTGGAAAGCCACAGGCAAAGGGACAGAGGGACAGAGAGACAGCGACACAGCAGTGAATTAATCTGGTAGAAAGGAAGACGGAGTCTGGAAAACGAAGGAAAGGGGGAAAAGGAAGATAGATGGATGCGCACACAAATCCGTTCTCAAAGCCTTCACTGTCCACTTCCTCAATCATTCACGACAACGACCACACAACCCCGTCATCTTGAATTATCGCAAGAACCCGATCCTTGTCCTCTGCGCATCGAATATGATGCTCTCTATCCCTCCAGCCCGTCGATTCCTTGCCCCGACACTGGCCGTGCTCACGCTCCTGATCGTCCTCCGCCTGCGATCGCACCGTGCCCTTATCCGCTCATCACAGGATGCGCTTCTTCATGGTGTGCTGCAGAGCTATGTGACCGGAGGCGCTCAAGTCATTGTCGTCAATGCCAGCACTCATCCACACCTGTTCCTGACCGGTTCATCAGGCAGCCGTGAACAAGGCGCAGCGGTCTCAAAGCTGAAGGAATTACCTCTGGCAAACCCTCTGATAACGCAGTTCACGCACTGCCCTACCCTGCCGAACACGCATACCTCACATATCCGCTTACCGAATGTGCTGTATAACATCAGCCTCGGATCTCCACGAGCACCTTTGTCACGAGAGCATGAAGAGCGAGATGAGGGCTCCGACGATCCGCGAACAAAAGACGCCACGCGCTTCTTCAATCCGGCAATCATCCCCCTCCCACACTGGTCCGGGGCCGCAAAATACGTTCTCATTTCCCGCCTTGTTACGACCGGCTTCCATCAAGAGTCTCACATCTGTTTGGCAGATATCTGTCATCCTCCTCGCAGTTCACCCTCGCCCTTGACCTGGTTTCCGGTTGAACGCAGCAACAATGCCACTCCTCCTCGACCCGCCTCGAATGGAGAGCCTGTGCAGTACCTTAAACGGCGACAACCCCGATTTCAACAAGCCCTGCCACCAGACGCCAGTGTCTGCTCCTCATCTGACCTCTCTGATACCCGGCTGGGCGGCAGCGGCGGGCTACGCTGTCTTACGACCCCACGAAAGATCAACATCCCCCCAACCCCGGCGGAGAACTGTACGGACTCATGGCTCGCGTTCCCAGATATCCCTGGCTTCCACGACCCACGAGTCTTTTGGAGCGGGAAAGGTGAGCCTCTAATCCTGGTGAATAGCGCCAGTCGCTACGGTTGTGTCGGGCTGTGGATCGTGGATCTGCGAAAGGTCTACCCGGAATTCGAAAAGGTCTTGAATCGCCAGCACCACCGCAGGACGGTCGTCGGTATCGAGACAGGGGACAGGGATCTGGGCCTGGAAGCTAGAGGCGCAGAAATTGAGCTGGACAAGGAAGAGGGTCAAGCGCGCACAGGCACCATCGGAGGAGTCGGTGTCAAGCCCTTGATGAGTTACCCGCATCTCACTGAGATCACTAGAAACCCCAGACAAAGCCGAGCGCGCGTAGAGAAGAACTGGATGCTCTGGTTCCCGAGTGCTGACGACTCGTATGTTCAGTACGACTTGATCGGTCAGGGGCTAGAAGAGGAGGATGGAGAAGATGGACTGGCACAGGAAATCGACATGCTTACAACTCTCGGATTGAATGCCTCCCTCGCCCTCGGTCCGGGCAACATCACGAATCGTACAAGTTTCTCAACACACCACGCAATGCCCCGAAGGTGGACAGCAGCGAGACCAACCACAAAGGGACGCACCTTTGCCAAACTCACCGGCAACGGCTTCACCTCGCCCAACCTCACCTCGGCCTTGGAAGAGCCCTGCTTCTCCCACAGTGAAGGGCATTTCGCAGACTCGTTGGGCAACAGGGGCCATTGGCATCAAGGCTCCAATTCGTTACGACTCATTCTCTGCACGAGAGCCCAGGCGCGGAGTGATTCAGCCTGCAAGGACGAGGAGAACATCAATGGCACGGCCGTGAGCACCGGTTGCTCCGTTCACTTTGCCATCATGCATCGAAAGTTTAGCAACGAGCTAGATCTGCCTCTTCGGTATGAGAGATATGTCGTCGTGTGGGAGGGGAGGGAGCCGTTCCAGATGCTAGGGGTGAGCAAGTTTCCGTTGCTGATGAGGAACGAGAGAGCAGGGCCGTGGACCGAGGAGGAAAACTGGCCTGGTCCAAAGGAGATGGGATGGAACGCTACAAGGGAGAATTTGCGCGAAAAGGAGGGGAGGGTGGTCAGAAGAGGCGCCGGGGATGGGTTATATGAGTACGAGACTGAACACAAGGACGACTTTGTCAAAAGCCAAGCTTACTTCACTTACACACCGAGTCTGGCGTGGGCATGGAGGCCTCATTCTGCAGCGGCAAATCAGGAAGAGGAAGATGACGACGTGGAATACATGTCGCAGTTGGGGACGGGATATCTGGGCGACGACGTGCTGGTCGGAATCGGTCTGGAGGATGTGAACCAGGCGTTTGCGAGGGTCAAGGTCGACGACCTTTTGCAGTGTCTGCGGCTGTGTCCTGGTGTGAGGTTTGCTGACGAGTCAGCGAGTCGGGAGACTGATTAGCAAGGAACATCGGCAACGAGGTACATGCCGGGTCGTTTGATGTCTCGTGTCTCCAACCTTGACCATTTGGCGAGTGTAACAGTGCTGGACTGGACTGGACTGGACTGGACAGGATGGGGCGGGACGAAGATTTGAACCCTCAGATAAGCTCTCTCATGTTTGCTCTGATAGCCAGAAGTCTGGGGTGATTGTTCGTCTCCGAGACAATGCACGCTCCCTTCGGCTGTCTCAAATTTGGCTTATTGGACTTTCGTCTTCATCGGGTGTGTGTCCTCGTCCTCGTCCTCGTCCTATCCAGCTCTCCGCTCCACTCTTGCTCTCGCAACCCCCGTCAACATCTTCTCCTGCTCGACCCGGCAAGTCGAAAGGCAGATGAAGAATAATTCGAAAACAGATCCGCATGTATCCACGATCACAACCCGCATTTGCTGCCCCAGAAGGGAGGCTCAGATTGAAAACTACTTTTTTTTGTGATATTTTGTCCTCATCAGCTCATGGGCAAAAGCGAACGAACGGGCTGGTGCTGCGGTCAGGAGAGGGGGGCAAGAACCAAAAAAGGGCCCTTTCACCCCCATTCCCTTGGTAGACCTGCCACAAACGCGCTTTGCACCATGTGTAAGGAAACAAGTTTGATTTTGACCGACTTGTTCCGCCTCGGACGGTGCAGGGTTGTCTTCATCGCCTGGGGTTGCGCCGTGGATACGATGACGTCCATCCGTCCGTCCTTTTTCCTTGTCCGCCCTTTTTTGTTTTCTTGCCCTCGGAATTTCCTTTCCACATCAAACTTCCCCAACTCCTGCGACACCATGATCGCAATAGCCTTGACGAAAACAGGGCGGAGGAGGGGGTCTGACGTTCGCGTAGACCGAAGGAGGACTCTCAGTCGCGTGTAAAGAAAAAGGACATGAACAATAAAAAGCTCGGGTTGGAAATGAGGGTAGAAGTCGTAATCATTTCATCGACACCAAAGAAGGGGTGTGGTAGGTCTTTTGTTTTTAAAGAAAAAGGCGGGCATCTCTTCGATCTCTGTTCTTATAAAAGAAGCGTCATCGGGCGAAACAAATCCCACAACGCGTCCACAGGAGCCGGGGACTGGACAGTTTGCAGTGCTTTGTGCTGTTGCCTCGTAATAAATAAATATTCGAGGCCTGCGCGTACCCGGTTTCGCGGCTTTCGCGTGTGACATGTTTCGGACCCTCGACGTTTAGCTTGGTAGTGAAGAATTGTGGTTTCGGCATCGAGGGCCACTGCCTGCGAGCGAGTGTGTTAGAAATTTGCATGTTGTTTCATATTACATGCTGGGTGACTGGGTATGTGACTGACCTTTCATGAGACCTGGAACTACAAAGGAGGAAGAAACGTGGCGTTGGTCCGTGGGGAAATGGCTTTGTTGGACGGGGATGTGACGATCCCTGATCAGGTTTTCTCGGCATGGCGGCGCATGCATGGATGGACTGATCATTCGGGATGGACTCTGTGCATTCTCTCTGCATCACACAGGCTTGATATCGCCCTCTTTCCAGCTTCTTTCTCTTCTGTCGCTTGTGGTTTACTCTGACAAGATCCCTTTGAGAAAGCAGAGCCATGAGAACAAGAGCGTGCACATCGATCGATGACTGCAAGCCATCGCACAAGGTGTGGTACTCAGGCTGCGCATCCTTTCTGCAGCACCTCACTTCCCTTAGACGACTGTTCAGATGCGCAGCAGCAACTCTAGGACCCAGACACGATCAACAGAGCTAATGGACCTCGATCCAGCTTATCAACCACCAAGGGCCCTGTCTACACCAGTTGTGGGCACGTATCGACGAGGCACCCGCAGACCAGCAAGTACCTGTACAGCGAGCACTGGATGAACTCTTCCTCTTATTTTCCTTTGTCTTTACATCTTTCCACCACCACCTCTCTACTAGTCTTTTCGCACCTTTCAACCCCAGAAACAACTTTGACGCGCATTGGGAACAAGAAGGAACAAGGCTGAGTGAGACAGTGGCATTATGTAAGCCTCGTCGGTGTCACACACCCCCATTGGGATATCGCCATTATGCACCGTGGCACCCAATATTATTATTCGATCCTCCCGCCCGCTCCTTGTCTCATGTAGATAGATAGTCGCCCCTTGATATCATCCTTATCCTTTCACTGCCTCCCCAATACTGAGCTTCCTTGAACTACCCTTGGTTTCCTCAATCTCCCACACATTCATCCCCCCTCCTCCTGAGATCCTGTCTGCTCAGCTGGCTCGGATGACGTAGAGAAAGAATGGAAGAAGCGGTCACTTACACCGCTGGTGATACGTCGACTCCACCAGATCTTCGACTCTTACACTTCAACGACGGTATGGATACTCCTCTCTGTCACCAATGATTGTGGTCTTCTCCCCTTCGGACCACTGACAAAGTAACTCGTCGCAAAATCTAGTCTATCATCTCGATGCTTTCTCCAGAGAGCCAGTCGGCGGCGTGACCCGCTTTCAGACTGTATGCAATTACTACCGCAACGATGAACGCTTCTCAGGTCAGCCGGATTTGATCCCGCTATTCTCAGGAGATGCCTTTAATCCCAGCTTGGAGAGCAGTGTCACAAAAGGTAGTCTCTGCTCTGCTCTTCTGATAAGCGTGGTATGCAGAGTGTCACTGACGAGACTAGGGAGGCATATGGTGCCTATTTTAAATATGATAGGAACGCAGGTCGCCTGTGTTGGTGTGCGTGACAAGAATCTGGTATCCTAGCTGACATCGATCACTCAACTAACCTCTGCTGCAGAACCACGATCTCGACTTTGGTGTCAAACAGTTTCGGAGCCTTGCCCGACAGTGCACATTTCCTTGGTTACTGGCCAACGTCTTGGGTTTGTGTTATTGAACCGATGTCGTGCATTACCCCATGCTGAGGACTGCCTATAGATCCACAACATGGCCCGGATGTCCCGCTCGGCAAGGCACTCAAGACTGTCATGCTAACTGCCTCCAATGGCGTCAAGATCGGAGTCATTGGCCTGGTGGAACGCGAGTGGTTGGATACCATCAACTCTTTACCTCCCAACTTGGTCTACAAATCAGCCTCCGCAACAGCTATCGAACTAGTACCCAAGTTGCGGGAACAAGGCGCCGAGATCATTATTGCTCTAACACACCAGCGAGAGCCGAACGATAACAAACTTGCCGAGAAGATACCAGAAGGGCTGATCGATATCGTACTCGGAGGACACGACCATTATTACAAACACTCGCTGATCAACGGAACTCATGTCTTGCGGTCGGGAAGTGACTTCAAGCAACTCAGCTATATCGAAGCACGACGGCGACCTGCGGGCGGCAAAGGATGGGATTTTCATATTGTCCGGCGGGATGTTGTGTCGGATATTGCCGAGGACGAAAAAATGACACGAGTTGTCGACCAGCTGACGGCGTCCCTGAAGGACAAACTCGAAAAGCCTCTGGGGTATACGGCTGCACCCCTCGACGCGAGATTTACCACAGTGCGACTTAGGGAGTCCAATATCGGCAACTTTGTTTGCGATCTGATGCGAGCTCATTATAATGGCGATTGCTGCCTCATGGCAGCCGGCACCATTCGTGGAGACCAGATATACCCGCCGGGGGTTCTGAAATTAAAGGACATCATGAACTGGTAAGCCACTGCTGGAGTGATTCGGAGTATCTGCTGATGACGGCATGTCAAGTTTTCCATTCGAGGACCCTACTATCGTCATCCGAGTCACAGGAGCGGCCCTGCTTGCAGCTCTTGAGAATTCCGTCGGCGCATATCCTGCCCTGGAGGGCCGGTTCCCCCAAGTCTCCAATATCACTTTCGAGTTTGATCCATCACTCCCGCCGCTCCACCGAATTAAGTGGACCAGGGTCGGTGGTCAGCCACTAGACTTGGAAAGAAAATACGTCCTTGTCACACGAGGGTACATGGGCAGAGGCAAAGACGGCTACGATTCTTTACTGGTCAAATCGGAAGGGGGCGAGGCCGAAGAGATTGTCTCGGAAGAGAATGGCATCCTGATAAGCATGATGCTTCGGCAGTATTTCATGTCGTTGAAGATCATCGGCAAGTGGAAGCATTGGGGCAAAAGCCTGAGTCGGCATTGGGACGCCATCCACGAGAACTTGCACGATACACACCCAGTGGTGGAGCCCAATCTCGACGACGTAAGCGACAATCAGTTGAAGGCGATTGACAGTAAGACAGGCACGACAACTCCCCTTGACGACTCGGAAGATGAAAGTAGTCATCGCGTCCAAGTTCATTCAGACATGCTGAGCGAGCGAGAATCTCTAGTAGCGAGAAGAGTTACGCGGAAGTGGCGGCGCCTGGCAGGTGTGCGGTGTGAGGCCGGGTGTGTAGACCCTATGAACGAAGGGGAGTTTCAAGTCGACTGGACTAAGGTAAGTACAGCATATTTCGATGCTATCGACTCGACTCTTGACTTGGTCATTGATACTGAAATTTGTGCTTCAGGCCATTGCACCAAGATTAGAGGGTCGGATTAGGATGGTCGAAGGCGCAGAGGTGGTAGAAGTGAAGTCATAGCGACCTTTGCAAGGCAAGATGACTGTAAGAAAACGGACAGCCCAGCCAGAGTCGAAATAAGGCTAGAGTGCCCAGGCAAAGTGAGCTGCACGAGCGGTCAGCAAAGACGATTCATCCTGCACAATAAGCTGTCACCCGAGATGATAGAGATTTTTGCGAGATATGAGCTGGATGGCGGCTCTGCTATTGAATTCCAATCCAGCAGTACGGCTGCATGGGATACGTTGGCTAGCGAGAATGATGTAGTGGTCGGACACTGATTCCGCGAGGACGAGTCAAGATCTGTGCTTGTGGCCGTACCTGGCTGTACCTGAGTCTAGGCTGGTGGCCAGAACCTGGCAGATTGTTTCGGTAGAAAGATTCTGCAGAAAGTAGCGGAATGGCAGAAAGGGCAAGATGGCCGAATTGGGCAATAGACACCGAGAAATTCACGTTAATAAGGGGCCTGTGATTGGCCAATTGTCGAACCCTGCCGCAGCTGCCGCTCGACCCCATATTCTTTCCATTCTTTCTATTTCCGACCACCGAACAATACCGAGAGAGCAAATATTACTCCATCCCCACCCCATCCCATCCACATCTAACACACATCCCATCCACGTCCTCTTCCTCTTGCTTTGTCGATTTTGTCCTTTCTGTTACCACCCTATCAATCACTGTTTCCTTACACACCAACCGGCTCGCTCACCATGGAAGCTCTGCTTCACCAGTCCAAGGGCGTCTGCCCCTTCTTGAAGAAAACTTCTCCTGCGACTCTGCGCTCTTTGTCCACCTCGACCCGCCAATCCCCAGGTGGCGGCACCATCACGAACCTGCAGTTCATTGCCCGACGATGCCCTGTCATGAACAAGGCTCTGGCCGTCCAGAGTGCTCGCATCAACACTCGTCGCAGCTATGGCAATGTTGCTGCCGGTGCTGGAGTTGTTAAATCTCTGCTCGAGAAAAAGCTGCACACCTCAGCTGAAAAGAAGGCTAGCGTGGACACCAATCTGTTCCGCCCTCCTCAGCCAGGTATACACCACCAATCATACTCTTAATGAATTTTGGACTGATCAGTTCCCTAGCTCCGCCTCCCCAGACGGTCAAGAATGTCGTCAAGAAACCTGACACCTACGCCGGCCCTAGGCCCAATGCGCCACCTGCCCCACGTTTCGACTACGAGCGCTTCTACAACAATGAGCTCGAAAAGAAGCACAAGGACAAGTCGTACCGCTACTTCAACAACATCAATCGCCTGGCCAAGGAGTTTCCTCGTGCCCACATGGCTGCAACAGACGAGAAGGTCACGGTGTGGTGTTCCAATGACTACTTGGGCATGGGTCGCAACAAGCATGTCCTGAAGACTATGCACGAAACGCTCGACATGTACGGAGCGGGTGCCGGAGGAACTAGAAACATCTCCGGCCACAACAAGCACGCCGTGGAACTCGAAAAGACACTCGCCGATCTGCACGGCAAGGACGGCGCCCTGGTCTTCTCTTCCTGCTATGTCGCCAATGATGCTACCTTGGCGACCTTGGGCAGCAAATTGCCCGACTGTGTTATTCTGAGTGACAGCATGAACCACGCATCCATGATTCAAGGGATTCGTCACTCTGGTGCAAAGAAAATGGTCTTCAAGCATAACGACCTGGCCGATCTGGAGGCGAAACTCGCCAGTTTGCCCCCGGAGCAACCCAAAATCATTGCTTTTGAGTCTGTCTATAGCATGTGTGGTTCCATCGCTCCCATCGAAGCTATCTGCGACCTTGCGGACAAATATGGTGCTATCACATTCCTCGATGAAGTCCATGCCGTCGGAATGTACGGGCCGCGAGGCGCGGGTGTCGCCGAGCACCTTGATTACGACGTCTACGCCAACCCAAACAGAACCAAGGAATCCCAGAAAGGTACTGTCATGGATCGGATCGACATCATCACAGGGACCCTAGGTAAAGCATACGGCTGTGTGGGTGGCTACATCGCTGGCTCTGCCTCCTTGGTTGATACTATCCGGTCTCTTGCGCCAGGATTCATCTTCACCACGTCGCTTCCACCTGCGACCATGGCCGGCGCCCGTGCCGCTATTGAATACCAAGCTGTCTATCAAGGAGATCGTCGCCTGCAGCAACTTCACACCCGTGCTCTTAAGGATGATCTCACCGCGAGAGGCATTCCCGTCATCCCAAATCCATCGCACATTGTCCCGCTCCTGGTCGGTGACGCCGAAACTGCGAAGAAAGCCTCCGACATGCTTCTCAACGACTACGACATTTACGTCCAGTCCATCAACTACCCGACTGTTCCTCGCGGTGAAGAGAGACTCCGCATCACGCCCACGCCAGGTCATACTCCCGAATTGCGTGCCGAGCTCATCGACGCGCTAGAGAACGTCTGGACCCGCTTGAACATCAAGCGCGTCAAGGACTGGGAGGCCCAGGGCGGTTTTGTGGGTGTGGGTGTCAAGGATGCCGAACCAGTGCAGTCCTTGTGGACTGATGCGCAGCTTGAGCATGCCGCACAGTCCCCGGTTGCCGAGGCCTTGATCAAGGAGGCCGCCGAGGAAAGGGTTCTACCTATTGCGGCAGCTGCGGCTTGAGCTTTTTCTGTATCCCGGTCAGTCTGATGGGAGACAGACAAGTGCTCGCCGCATGGTAGGGAATGTGATGTGAAACGAGAAGGAAAGAGACGATGAATGGTGGATGTGCAAAAGAACGGAGGCACGAACTCGTTTTGATCTTTCGAATGTCTTTGCTCTTTTCGCCTCTTCCAAGGGGCACTGGGAGCAAATGTCCGGCTCTTCAGCCATATATTATATATACAGACATCTTTCCATCGGGCACTTGCGTGGCTATATCAGGCTATGCTTGTGTTCCGATGAGACGGAAAAATCTACAATCGCCATACAAATGGCCATTTGTGACTTTTCTACACTATTGCTTTTCTGGCTGGCATAGTCTTTGCCGACCTTTAAGATTCTTATCTGTTTTCTTTACTAGGTATTGTCGGCCATTCCGCCGTGTCATTCCTTTGATCGACAACAACGTATATACTTGGATTCTCTGCCGAGCAGCACCGCTTCTTTTACCAATGTACAACTTCTGTACCTCCTTCGTTGCATGTGGGTAAGTGGCATTCACTCATTAACCTAATTAGGTATGCACATGCGTCTGGATTGAGGTTTGTATGTAAAAGCAACGCTCGTGAAATCTTGCGCGCAGTCGCAAGACAATTAGCTACCAGGTACAATCCACACAAAACAAGTCCACTCGTCCCTTGAGGTCTACCTCCTGCTCGGACGTCCGGCACTGACGCGGGGGAATTCGACGGGGAAGCGCAGTTTAGCGAATTTCGGTTTGGGCAGCTTGACGGGCTTGCCGGAGTCGTCGACAACATCAGCTGCACCACCTTTCGTGGAAGAAGCAGAGACCTTGTCCCAGCCGTGGCGCTGCAGTTCGGCGTCGGTCATGGATTCCATCTTGCAGCCCAGTTCGCGGTAGAGCTTGTGGACCTCGGCGTGCGGCATGGCCAGGTCGAGGGTGATGTCGGTCGGCTCGGTGAAGAGCAGGCGCGGGGTCTCGCCCGGCGTGAAGTTGGGCGGGGGCACGTGCAGGGTCAGGGCCAGGATGGTGGCCGTGAGGAGCGTCTTGTTGAAGGCGCTGGGCGTGCGGTTGGGGAAGAAGTGCGCCACCAGCCGGCCCTTGAACGCCGTTGACAGCGAGCTGTCCGTCGTCGTGCCCGCGGGCCAGTCCTCCGGCGGCGCCATCGGTCGTCGCGGCGACAGGTGCGACACGTACTTGTGGATCTCCACCAGGAGCTGGATGTACCGCAGGATCTGCAGCCGGAGCAGCACGTCCGGGTGGTCGGGCTGTTTGAGGTGTCGCTGGCTCAGGTATCCGATCCGCGTGGCCACGAACCGCAGGTGCGTCGACACGGGTTTCTTGTTCTTGGCGCATTCTTTCCAGTACGCGATCGGCATCTGGGACAGTGCCGTGCGGTACGGTCCCGGGAAGACGAGCGACGAGAGGTCGTAGACCTGGGTGATGTCCGTCGTGTCCAGGTTGGCGGGTGGGAGGGGCTTGTTGGCTCGAGCGGAGGCTCCCGCGTCGGGCGTCACGGTCGGGTCGTCCTCGTCGTCCTCCTTGATTGCCGAGAGGATGGCCTGCGACATGGCGTTGTCTCCGTTCTCCCCATCACGGGCCAGCAGGCGGTTCTCGGCCGTCGAGGCCACGGCTCTCTTTGACTTCTTTGTCCCGAACGCCTGCGTCAACGCCGCGCGAGACGGCGTCGACAGCGGCCTGGTCTGTCCGTCGGCGTCGGCGTCCTCGTCATCGCTCTCCCTGTCCAGCTGGCGCACCGTGCTCCTCACCGTCACCTTTTTGGCTTCCACCACCTTGAGCTTGTTGGACGCAGGGTCGAAGACGGCGATGTAGTGTCTGACGTGCTTCTCGGCCGCGTCGGTCGTGCTGCTCTCGGTCGCGACGTAGTCTATGGTAGGGTGCTCCGAGGACTGGAGGAGAACGCTGGACCTCCCGGAGAGTTCCTTTTTCGAGAACCCGTCAAAGCTGAGGTCCGAGGGAAGTGTGACGCCGGGCGCCGAGGCTGGAGCACTCAAAGTTAGCTCACCCCAACACAGAGAACAAGATTGGGAGTTGTCGGGGAAATCCAGGATGTGGTCTCAATTGCGTACCGACCAGAGGTTTGGCGACGTCCGGCCCGCTCAGATGGATGACCTTGATGGTGCTGGTCTGGGGTTTCTTGGACGGCCGTTCGCCCTCGATGGAGCTTGCCTTTCTCTTCTTCTCCGCCATGTTTGCGTTTTGACTCAGGTACACAAAGACCAAGGACTGTTGGCTTCCAGACTGCGATTGAGGTCGAACACCTAAAAGTGTCCCACCAAAGTTGCTGCAACGGAAATGTTCAAAAAAATTGGGAGCCCAAGGAAACTTAGCCGGGGCCCTCGGGGCTTATAGTTTAGACTAGTCACGCTAGTGCCGTATTAACTTCTGAAATCGGAAGTGGGGCTAAGATGCCGAGAAACGTAAATACTAGCACGTACCGAGGACATGCATGAGAGGTATGAGGTACTTCTTCGTTCAAGGTCTGTGCTCTTCTTCCCTCGTAAGTTGATGCTGCGATTGAACAGAAGCCTTGGAGTATACTTGGATGGTTTGCCTCGACCTGTCACTTCCATGGTAAATGATATCTCCAACGCCGTCACTGAGCGTAATCTACTGCTTCACAACTCTCACTTACACAGCCAAATCATCAACGGCTGAATGCTTTCTTGCACATTCAGACCATGCACCACTCGTCGAATGCCATATGATTGTCGATTGCGGTAAATTGTGGCCCATTCATGTAGATATAGACAATCGATCTCCATGGACTTTGAGCTTTCCGGAAGTGTCGCTGGACAAACAGTAGTGGAGGGTTTTCCTCGCCTCGCGCATCGCCCCAAGGAAACGCAGCGATCTCTTTGGAGAATATGTGGCGGGTTTGACGCGATACATGACCAGGCCCGGAGACCCGTTTTGGCTTCGTGTTTGACACCGAGTCTTTGACTGCCACCAAGCCTGGACAATCTGTACTCACGGAGCGCCTGGGATCGTATTTCTGATCATATGGTGTTCATGATGAATCATGACTTTTCCCACACTCTTCGACTGAACGTTGCCGCCAGCTTGTGGTCTCCCAACACCACTGGATCTTGCAGTTATTCTTTCAGATACTCAGTCGTAGTAAGAGGGCCATTGACTGATTGTGAGTCTCCCGCGTCCCTCTTGCATTGTTGACAACATGCGAGCCCGCTAGCACAGCTGAGGTCGTGTCTCGCCAGTCCTGAGAGGTGCTGTACTGTCCTTCCACTGCAGGTGTATCGCCGTTGAGGCGGTGGGGGAGCTTGCGGCTGTGGCTCCATGCCGATCCCTCGTGCAATGATCGAGGTCATTTCTCTCTACCTCGCCAAGTAAGCACGAAATGTGCCGAGCCGCAACAGTGCTTTGCGAGACTGCGTGACTTCTGTATCGTCACGTCCAGAGTAAACCCCAGTAGAAATGGCCATGCTGTGAGCAGATGCGATCGGACTGCGAAAGCTGACTGCTGTGGATCCTCGCGAATTGAAGTGACCACAAATGACTTAACAAGCCTGGTTGTGACACATTGCCTGGTTGTTGAGCAGTTCTTCAGCCTGGCGACTCATTCTCCTCCGTGAGGCACTGGTAGAGGTAATCGGTCATCTTTTTCCTGACAGCGTCACAACTGACCCTGAAAAGCTTCATGGCAGAGATAGCATCGGCCAGAAAATTGATGTAGTTTTTCAACGCCACCTGCCTATCACTCGTATTGGTCTGCACGTCAAAGCACGCCTTGACCACAACCCAAAAGAATCCATCAATGGTCAGCAAGCGGAGACCCGTCTTGGTTGGAGTGGCGCTGTTCATAAACACACGGTACAAGCCGCTAATAAATGCCATCTGGGATTTTTCGTCAAGCCGCTGGCCCCAAAACGTCGATACCAGCAGAAACAGAGAAATGAAGTGGGCTGATTTCTGGGCGTATTGGCGCTGTTCCCAGTTGTCAAGCCGCAGGTACGGTGCAATCACGCTGTACACTAGTAAACGGCGGATCTGCTTCGGTAGAGATCCTTGTAAGGAGAAGAACAAGACTTGGGGTCGTGCGATTACGTGTGTTGCTTTGAAGACCAAGTCGACGGGATCGACCAGATTCTCCCCTTTTACAATGGTCCGGAGGAGATCCATCGCTTGGTCTTCGAACTCCTCGGAAAAGACCATAGCAGCCGGCAGGGGCGGACATATCAGATAGGGCATAAAATTGCTCATCTGGTCGAATGGTCTCGAGGAAGCAGCGATCACTTTCCTCAGGCCGCCCCCCGTCTTGAGGACCGCTTCATATGCTCTGAGGTGTACATTCGAGGCCTCGGGGCCTGCCATCCGCGACTCTGCAATAATAGCCATAATGAGGCCATTGACGAATCCATCGTTTACCTTTTCTTTTGTAAAGTTTTCGAGGTATTTTTTGAGCGAGAGGTACGCAATGGCCTTTCGACGAAAAAGAGACAGTGGTTCAGGCCCGCCTCTGTAGCGCGTGAGCAAAGCCTCAGCCGAGATAACCATCCACTGCAAAGTATAAGGGGATGTCAACGCCGCGACGAAACTAATATCTCGAACTGGGCTGAAATCCGGGTTGCGATTGGTTCCGTAAATAGCGCTTGAAACCGTAGTAACATCTAGTGATAACCTGTTAGCCTTGGCAATGCCCTATATAGAATACTTGTAAAGGGCTGGGACCGGGTCAACAGACAGAAATGAAGTAGTCGACGACCGTCTGCAGACACATCCACCGGTAACTTGCAGAAGGGATCCAGGACTTCACCAATCTCCCGGATCGGCGGGGTCTGCCTTTGCGTTTCCACAGACGCAGGCGACTTCCTATTGAGATCTGATCCTGACATCGTGGGTTTCTTTGGCTTACGCCGCTTTGGGACCCTTTTCTGGTTTTGGACACGGGGTTTCTGGGGGGCTCGGTTAGTATCTAGACGAAATGAAGCTTCCCACTCTGCCACTTCGCTAACAGGACAGGGTAGACGCCCTACCTGCGAGCCTTTCGGAGGTGCGGCCGTGGCACGCCAAGTTGGAAGAAGATGGTGGCGGAAGACCAGTGGCGGTTTCGGGCGGGGTTCAGGGTTTAGCTTGTCACCAGAAGACGCCATTCCGGCTTCGGATCCTTTTTGGGAGATCAGGACCCTGCAAAATACGGAGGAGAGGGCCCCGGTATCTTCTGTGACAGATGGACAAGGCAGAGGTTTCCTGTAAAGGGAAGGGGTTTGATGCCCATGGCAAAAGTGGCTTCTTTGGCGTTACGAAGGTTTTTTGTCGTGATGACTGTACCGAGAGAACTGACCAATGAGAGGGCATCGGGCGGCCGCATTTGCCGTTGACCACTTGGTGACTCAGCAAGTCTTCAGGCTCAATACCGCTGCTTTAATGACGGAGGTGGCACTAAATACAAGCACGTGATAAATAGCGTCTTGGCATTGATTGGACAAGTGGGGCTTTGAGGCTAGCAAAAGAACGTCCAATAAAAGTCAATCATATGTATTTCTGCCACGCTACTCTTTCGCATGCAGCAACAATTGCACCCGTCAAGCCGTCGATGCTACTTGAAGCCCCTGCGAATCTCTGTGCGTGCCATGTCATAGCCGGCCTCGAGTTGATATTTACATCCTTCCTCTTCTGCCAAAAGTTGCCAGCAACTCCCCAAATGATGCATCTCGCCTTCGACAATCATCCGAAGAGCCTCGCTGCAACCCCGATTCAAATGTCCAGAAGAACTCAATTGAGCGTGAAACTCGGCAAACGCCATGGCCATCCCAATGAGAATCGCTTTGTTCTCTTCCGGTCTTGTCGACAGCTCGAGCATCTTTGACGAGAATTCCAGCGGCCACATCTCCAGAACCTCGCCGATAGAAGACACGGGACTGAATCCGGCAGGTCTCACCATCGTGAGCCCTATAGTGACCAGATCATGGGAAGCCTCTCGCTCTGCCGCAGCATTTGTTGAGGAAATATCGTGTCCAAGGCCGTCGTAGAATCCTTTCTGAACTCGCAGGACTTTCAATACGCTCAGTGAGAGCTGGGCGGCGGCCTTTATTGGAATCGCCACGAATCCCTCCAGCAGGCAGCACGCTGCAAACCAAAGCGGGATCACCCTCTCAAAGACAATGCTGTCGTTCAAGCATGTCTTCTCCGACAACGCCACATCTATTTCTGGATGCCGTCGTTGGGAACACAGCCATTCTGGCTCATTCCGAACGGATTGTCTCTTCGCAACATCATCGGGCGACAATTTGTCAATCCACTCTTTCAAAACCTCTCGCTCGTCCAAAGTGAATGACCCAAACATCTTGCCCCCTGGCGAAATGAGCTGAATGAATCCGCTATGGCTGCTGTCGCCTGGACATATCCACTGTTCAGCGTGGGTAAAAGCCTCCAAGAACTCAACTCGCCAGTTCGGAGAGTCCCACTTTTCAGGATCCAGCCATTTCCCGATCAATTGGCCTTTGATGCGAGCAGGGCTATTGCAATGGACCTTTCTGGAAGCCCGGACTTTGCCGGTCAGAAGGCTGACTATCCCTACCTCCCGATCGTTGGGGGAGAAGGTGTCTATGGGAACATCCAGCTTGGTTGAGAACTGTGACAAGCAAAAGCCGTTCTGGATACGCTCCCAGTAGCGTCCAGCAGCCGCTAGTCCTTCGGTCTCTCGAATATGTTCCATGAAGTTGCAGACTGCTCGGAAAGCAATGGCTGAATGGCCAGAGTCTGTGTTGTCGATACATACATGCAGCAAGAAGTAGGATGGATCGAGACCTACTTCCTTCAGCTCTTTGGTCGCTTTCAGTGTCTCCAATGTCACAAGCTCGAAATGAAGATTAAACCCGAGAATCTCGGGAATGTAATCTTCAGGGAACAGGGAGACGGTAAGTTGTGCAAGTGCAGAGTTCCAAATGGACAAATCGTCCGTTGAGTGTTTGGAAGATATGAAATCTTCGTGGTCCGCGTCGGAAAGCTTGGAATTAACGCTCCGGAGCAATTCCTTGAAGACGTGGACATGGTTCTTTGCCAAATCTCCATCACCCAGCTCTTCCGAAAGAATTTGCCAAAGGTCTTTGAGGACCGAGTGGAGTGAGAAGGGCATGTGGTTGAGCCGAAGATGACCAAGCCATGCTCCGTCAACGAGCTTTACGGGGCTGATCCGTTCGATCCATCGAGCTGCCTCGTCCGCGGTCTGGAATAATTCTCGCGGATGCCCTGCTTTCCTTGCGTGGATATATCTCTCCCATTCATCTTGGATCTCGGTGTTTGTTGCCTCCAAGAAACTTTGTAAGTCTTTCCTTGAGAACTCCCGAAGACAATAAATGCTGCTGTTTGCCTTGTGGGATCGATTTTGGTCCCAATGCTGCCCGGCCAAACGATTCGTCTGGGCGAGAAGCGAGTCCAAGCACTGACGTGCCAACGGTCTAACGTGGGCAAACTCTTCGGGGTGGTGTAGCCGATGGTACAGACGTTTCATCGCCCGAAGAGCAAGAACGTGTGATGTTGAAGCGCCATCGAGTTGTCGCGGGTATGGTTCAACGTGGACGACTGAAACTATTGCGATATAATAGAGATAAGCCAGCAGTATCAAGGTGATTCCGAGTCCCAATACCCAAATCTGTGTGGGCTGTTCCATCGGCTACTTGGATGAGCAAGATCAGACCAAGTAGAACGATGTGTGTGGGAAGGGATATGAGGCTCACCGTGTTCTCAGAACGACCGATGCAAAGAATGGCTTTGCACAGGCCTTTCTAGAATCTGGACCGAGATCGCTTGTACCCACCCGGAGGTTGAGCCTCGCCCTGGTTGTCTCCCTCAGCCTCTGCTTCGGAAGTCATGGCACCTGTCCATTGAAGCGATCACCAAAGGCCCGGTAAAATGACTGGGCAAAAATCTGGATTCTGTCCTCGAGTCGGCGGCGGGACCATTGTCCTCTGCAGGTGCCACGTCAGTTGGTCACGTCAGTGCAACGAGAGCAAAACCCGTGGAACAAGGCGTTGGTGCAAAGAGAAGGGAAGTTCGCGTGACAGAGGCTCGTTGTGCAACCAGCCATGCCACCAAAGAACCGTACAGAGCTGATATCGCTTTGTTCCCAGTTCGGCGACTCGCAGATCCGACACTACGACTCCGTTGTCTTTGATTGGGAGGACCTCGCAATCCTTGCATTCCCCCAATTACCCCGGGATCTCTTACATGAGACGATATGTGATCGAACACAGATGAGCAAGTCTTGTGCAACACACTCCCCCACGTTGCTGGTGCACTGCATGCCATCTCCGGGCGAGAAGATGCTCCAGTCCTGATTTTCACATGGCCTCAAGCTGGGAGAAGCGAAAAAGACCCTCGTTTTGCTCCTCTGCAGCTCTGACCTGCTGATGTTGCTCAAGAACCCTCAAGCCAGACGTTGACCACTGACTCATTCTCACATGTCATGGCATGATGGTTGCAGACTACAGAGACACGGCATTAGTTTAGTCGCTGTCCTACCGAAGATGGCAGCGCCTGAACATCTCGACCTGAAGACAATGTGTCACGTCCAGACAGCCCGAATCTGGAGATCAGAACGCCCTACAAAATACTACCAAAAGTGCTGTGGCAGAAATCTATTGGAGGCACGAGAGAAACCCTGGTTCTGCACGAGCGGTAGTTGGTTTGATGGCAGCGGATGGTGAGGCCGGAGTCATCCACGAAGGCTTTGTAGGTGATCGCTCAAATTCCCGTCATTCCTTCGGGCTCAAAGTCAGTCGATGCTTTTACTCCCATCTCTTGATCTATACAAGGAAGAGCGTTTCAAATCACAGGATTCAAAATGAGCGACGTGCCTACTAGGATTGCCCAACTTGAGGTCATAGACCTGGCAGGGTTACGCGCGCACGAAACGACTGAGCTGGAAAAATTGTTCAATTCTGCGCGAACCTCTGGTTTCTTCTACCTCAATCTTGAAAATGATGCTACTGGGAGGCAGATTGCGGGGATGTTGCCAGACGTCTACCGCATCTCAAGCGACTTCTTTCACCAGCCGAGCAAGCAGAAGATGAAACTCTACAGGGCTGGGCAGAATCCATCGCAAGACCGTGGGTAAGTGGTGCACAGAGGCTTCAGTGACAGGGTGACCGACTGATCTATCCTAGCTACAAAACGAGCAGTTGCGATGAGACTTTTGAGGTAACCATGCCCACCTCTTGTCCGTCTAGAAGGTGGAGAGCTGACCAATTCTCCAGATGGCTTACGACGAAGTCACCCAGAAGACCTGTCCGCTTCCGGAATTGACGGGAGAAGACGATGGACTTGTGGACTCTTTCTCCCGGCTCTGTCACTCTACTTGCCTCGTGGTGTTGTCTTGCTTCTCCGATGTTCTTGGGTTGCTGGACGACCAGAGGTTTGAATCGAACCACCGCCAAGGAGAAACCAGCGACTCGGGCTTAAAGCTCATATCAGAGCCTACTCTGGACAAACTCAGCCAAGTTGGAGACAATGTGCACACCGACAGTGGCACGTTGACCATGTTGTTTTACGACCAATGGGGTCTCGAAGCGGAGCAACCTGGAGGTGGTGACTGGACATTCCCAGCTCCCATGCCGGACTGTGCCCTCTTCAATGTGGCAGATTCGCTGCAGCGGCTGTCGCAACATCAGCTGCGTTCTCCCCGACACCGTGTGACCCAAGTTGGAGATGGGGCGGCTGATCGGTATTACATTTCGTACTTTCTCAGACCTGAGCATGCTCTGCGGGAGAGGTGGATGGCATAGAGGGGATGTCCTGATGGCATGACAGTTCTCCTTAAGGCGCATATAGCGCAACATCCTTGACAGTCCCACCATGACAGGAGAGACAGAATAACATAGCAAGCATCAAAATGCATATTCCGGTGGCTGATCAGTGCTTCCCCCTTCTCCCTCCTCCTCTTGGAAGTGGTGCCAGAAATAGGGTCACTTACTCCGTAGACCCGAAGACGGATTGAGGCGTCCCGTCGACCAAGTTACAGAGTCCCCTTTTGCGTCTCTCCTCCCCGCACTCGACAAGAAGCACATGCTTGAAGACGAACACGTTCCGAGGCGACTAGGCGATGTCTCACGACATCTGATCAGAGGTATTGCTGACCAGTGGCCGCCGTCATTACAATGCTTGGCGGTATTGGCACCAGTACGTGGATTGTCCGCACCAATCAAGTGCCACTCTGTGCGCCCAACGTCCCCACCAGTTCTCTACACATACAAGGTGGGCGACTACTATTCATAAGGCCCTGTCCGACCCTTTCTGCTTTTTCGTCCTCTGGGCAACGACAACCAACATCAGAGACACATGTCATATGCGTGCAGCTCCACCTCAAGACGCCCAAAAGGCGACGATGCATCTGCAGTGCTCATGATGAGTTCTCGGTGATACCACCATGGCACAGGGCAACGATACATCACCCCAGCCCAGAGCTGCGCGTTTTCTTCAGCTGCCTACGGAGATACGCAACGTGATCTACTCCTACGCACTTCGTGCTCCAGGCCGAGGCTACCTGGATGTCCGCTTTACCCCTCAAGACAGTCAGCATTACTGCCCAATGCGGATCATGCTGTGTAACCACCAGATACACCGCGAGGTTCGAGAACTGTTGTGCAACCGAGAACTACGTTTCTCCGCCGTTCACGACACGGGCCACATCGAGTCCAACGTGCCCTGCCTGCACGGCGTGGACCTTGCCAAAACCCGGCTCCAGTTCGACATCAACCCCTTCCAATACCCCGAACGTATCCCCGAACTGTGGGATGGCTTGGTTTCGCTCTGCAAGTCACTCGAGAGGGTGGCTCGTATACCTCGAGTAGACATCCGATGCGATGGCACCATGCCACGTATGACGCCGCCTCTGCATGTCAACGAAGACGATCTTGAAAGAGGCCCACTCAATTGCGTCCTCCTGCTACAGCCGTTCAATCTCCTGCCGGTTGCTACCAAAGCGGTCATTACTGTCCTGGGGGGGCCGCTGAACGATTTATGGTGTGACAATGCAACCATCCAGAATTGGGCTGAACAGTATTCTCGACAACTTGAGACCCGAACACGGCGTCGTATCAAACATGCCGATGCTATTCCACATCAAGGTCTGATGTTGAAGAAAAGGGAGCCCATAGTATGGGACATTGCTGTCTACAAGAAACTCTGTGCAGCCATCCTGGAGGACTTCGGTGATGCCTCCCTGGACATTGATGGCGAGGCGCCGACATGGGAGAAAACGGCAGACTCATAGCGGCCATCTGCAGCCAGGCCGGGATCGAGGCCGCGGTCTTTCAGGTTGACTTCCAACCTCTAGCGTGGGGGGACTGTTTGTCTGTGTCACATAGCATGTTCTCAATCTGGGACTGGGAGTACCAACCAGTTCGCATGGTCCCTTTCTCTCTACAAAGCGCTTAAGAGCGGATATGCTGCAGCTACGGAGGACACCCAGCCACCACGGACTGTGATCACTAGCCTTCCACTCACGACGCATCTACACCTCGTTGCTCTACAGATGTTTCTTTGCAGCTGTGAGAGTTACACATCAGTTTCAGCAAAGCGTTCGGACGCTTCCACTCGGCCTTTGATGTTTGAGCACGCTATTGCACTCTTTGCCCTGTTCGCCAGATGCAATTTTGCGGAAGAGCGATTGTCGAGCCAGGGTAACTCCTGACGAGTTGGATATTGCATAAAGAGGGAGATTTCAAAGCTTGCTGACATAGACTGTCCATCAAGCTCGCACCTAGAGAAGCAGATTCTCCATCTATTGACAGCCCTTCGCCGTCGTTGCCATCTGCTGCCGTGAACATGGCAAGTCGTCGACAGCTGGACGAAAACTTCCAGCTGATCACAAGAAGAATCCCAGAAGAGAACATCCATGGTGCCGATATCATCCACACAGCTCTTGCGAGGGAGGGTAAAAAGCCAGTTGGGCTATGGGGTTAGTATCTCGACCCGGCTTGTCGTTGGAGAGAATTCTGATCTATTGAGAGAACAGTCACCTCGCCTACAGGGAAGCGTGAGTCTATGCAAATAGCAGCGGCGTCGAAGAAGAGACGACTGATCAGAAGCCTTCTCTAGCACACATCGGGTATCTAATCCCACTGTTGAAATTTGCCGATTTCTTGCGTGCAGGGGTCGAGGTGAGAACTCCCATCCCCACAGAGGTTTCTATGTTGAGCACTGACCCGAGATGAAAAGATCATCGTGGTCCTTCTCGACGTCTACTCTTTCCTCGACAATGTCAAGTATCCCATGGAACAGGTGGTCCAACGCATGCACTACTACCGGTTCACCGTCGAAGCCGCGCTGGAAGCCTTGGGAATCCCCTCCAAGAACATCAAGTTCATCGCCGAATCGTCGTACCAGATCAACCCGAGGTTCTTCTTCGACCAGTGCAGGCTTTGCACCCTCGTGCCGCAGCAGGCGGTGAGGGATGCCTGGGACCGGAGCTACAACCCGGACATGCTGGCGCCGATGTTGTGTCCGGGTCTGCAGACACTGGCTGAGGAGCATCTGGACATTGACTTTCAATTCGGAGGGACAGATCAGGTACTGACGACGTTTCATCCTCCCTTCCCAGAAGACAGTCCATGATACAATAGAATCTCTGACCCCTCCCTTGATAACAAGTCTGACGCTGACATTCCGACTCTGATCTCATTGTCGAACTAAAGCGCGGAATCTTCGAGTTCGCCGAACGCTTCCTCCCCCAGCTCGGGTACCGAAACCGCGCACACCTGATGAACCCGATGCTCCCGAACCTGTACGGGGACAAGATGTCGTCGTCGCACCCGCCGCACACCAAGATCATGTTCCTCGACGATGAAGCCACTGTCGAGGAAAAAGTGCGGGCGGGGTACCTGTCGAGCGACGAGGTGTCGAGGAACGGCGTCCTGGCCACGCTGAGGGACGTCCTCATCCCTTTGAGCCAGTTGCAGATGGAGCGGTGGGTGGGGGGCACTGCTTCTGCAGCGCGTGTCGGAGACACCCCTAACCATAATACCACTCCTCCTTTCCCTCATAATACTGCTACTAGTACTACTACTACGGCCGGTGGCGACGACACTACTGGTGCTGGACACGGTCCAACACCACTCTCCCACCCATTCTGGACGCCCTCCTCCCCCGCCGGCACCGTCTTCACCTTCCCTCCCAGACCCGAGCCCAAGCCTGATCAAGAGAGTCACGGCCACAGCCACGGCGACGGCAACGGCGATGGTCGATATCATCGACACTACACCACTTTCGAGCAGATCATGCACGACCTCGCCGCCGAGACCCTCCGCGCGGACGATATCGTCGTCGCCGTCGCCGCCGCGCTCAATCAGATCCTGGCGCCCGTCCGCGCGGCGTACCGCGGCAGTCGGGCGTGGCGGGCTGCGGATCGGTTGGGGTATCCCGAAGAATCTTGATGGACTTGGAGAAGGATGGGATGGAATTGTTGGGGGTGAGGATGGTGATGATGATGAGCCATGGAAACGAGTAGAGTGGAAAAATGGAGAATGGGAAAAAGGGAAAAAGGGAGACGGGGGATGGGACATGGGAGATGATAGATGGGGCATCTTTTCTAATCTACACAATAACGGAAAAATCGCAACGAGTTGAATGTGAAGAATGTGTCGAATCGAGTCTACGTGATGGATACTTTGTCGTTCATGCTCGACACCTCTGCCTCTCCATTGCCCCTTTGAAAGCATTCATCCCTAGGATCATTTCCGTCTACTGGTGCGTGACATTGAGTTGTCAGGAAGCAAGGCAGGTATGTGGGATCATAAAGGATTCAAGTTTCTGTATTTCTCTTCTATCATCAAAGGTCAAGGTCGACGTCGCAGGGCAGGGTATGCTGCCACCTCTACTCTCTAGAACCCTCTCCCATGGCCAACACGTTGAATGTTACGAACGTCCTGGCTCTTGTGTTGATTGAGGCTCGCCCTCAAGGCAGCCGAGCTGCATTCAACGCGTACGCCTCGGCCTTTGCATTGGCCTCCCCGACATAGTCTGCAATGTACTGGGGGAGTTCGGCGACTTTGTTCTCCGGGCCTGCGATCGGTTCGCAAAACTTCTCCACCACGGGAACCACGCCCACCCAGGTTGTTCCGGTCACGTCGTCACGACTCGTGTCCTTTGCCTCGTCGTGCGGCCCGCCCTCCCTGGTCTTGCCGCTCGCCGCGGTGACCTTGACCTTGAGGATTTTCGTCGACTGCATCTCCGCGCTGTCCGGTGGGACGCGGGAGTGCCGCCAGCGGTCGGGCACGACCGAGTTGGTGATGAGTTCCATGGCCCAGACTTTCTCTTCCGCCGACTCCACGATCCTGGCGTAGCCGTGCAGGATCGCGCTGCGGTAGTTGTAGCTGTGGGCGTTGGGGGTCAGGGCCAGGACCAGTCCGTCGACCTTTGTGGCGGCGATGCTGACGGGGAGGCCCTGGGGCGCGGACGTCGCCAGCCTCATGATGCGCGAGCTGACGTAGCCGTGCAGGTAGCAGTCCAGGGGCTCGTCGAGGCCCGCGCTCGGGTACTCGTACGACCCCATGGTCCCGATCATGGGCAGAATGGCCGGGAATGGATCTTCAGCGTCGGGGGCGAACGAGACGTGGAGCACCGAGCTGTCGTTGACGATCGAGTGAATGGCCTGGACATCGTATGTCGCTGCACACGACAAACATGGATCAGTGGCCCGCCAAGTGACCAAATCTCTGTTGAAGGATCGAGCCCTTACCTCTGGTGTGGTAGCGATTGACCGTGGTGCTCTTGGTCTTGGGATAGGTGAGAGAATCAGCCATGTTTGGGGAGTGACGACTAGGGATCGAACTGCGGTGCGAGAGAAACTCGAGGTCTGCAAGATGCTAACAAGTGGTCATCTCAGTCCCGACGAACAATGCTTGTCGCAGTCTGAATTGAACTCAATGTGGCACAGGGCAGGCAGAGGGAGAGTCACATGGCTTGGCAAAGTCTGTGTAACATTGTGAAAAGACATCCTTCCTATTCTGGATTAGTGGTAACGGTGTGGGGTATTTGGGTAACAAAGATCAAGCTTGACCTTCACAGACAACCTTGTCCCTCGAGGGTTCGTCACCCCGTGCTTCAGGTCGTCAACAATCCTGCGTCAAAAGGCCCCTCAGCACCGACTGAAGCTCCCAAGTTACCCCCCTTCGTCCGCTTGGTCTCACGTACACGGAATATGGCGGAGCAGCAGCACGCAGGGATTTCCAAGTTGATCGCCCAATACCTCCCCGACTTGCGCCCGTACCAAGACCTGTACCGGACACTTCATGCAAATCCCGAGCTGTCACTTCAAGAAGAGAAGACTGCAGAGGTCGTCGCGGCCCACCTTGGAAAATTGGATGGCTTTGACGTACGCACGCACATCGGCGGGCATGGTGTTGTCGGCATCCTCGAGAACGGGCCAGGCAAGACCGTTCTTCTGCGGGCAGAGCTGGATGCACTGCCTGTCCTAGAGCGGACCGGTCTTGAATTTGCGAGTTCCAAGACAGTACTCGACCGCTCCGATAATGTCGTCAAGCCTGTTATGCATGCCTGCGGTCACGACCTGCACATGGCAGCTCTGCTTGCCGCCTCGGAATTTCTTCATCAGAGCCGCCACGCTTGGGGTGGTACGGTTATTGCGCTGTTTCAACCCAACGAGGAACGAGGCGCAGGTGCGCAGGCCATGGTCGATGACGGTCTGTTTGACGTCAACCGACATCATATCCCAATACCACACGTGGCTTTGGGCGGGCATGTGATGCCCATGAGAACGGGTATGATCAAGACTCGGAGCGGAGTCATGGGCAGCGCAGCCGACAGCTTCCTGGTGACTCTTTATGGCCGTGGTGGCCATGGAAGTCGCCCACACCATGCCGTCGACCCTGTGGTTTTGGCGAGTAGCACGGTGATGAAGCTCCAAACAATCGTAAGCCGCGAGACCGATCCGCGCGAAACCGTGGTGGTCACAGTCGGTTCCCTGCATGCAGGGTCGGCGGCGAATATCATCAGCGACGAGGCTGAACTGCAAATCAACATCCGGACTTTCAGCTCACAGACCAGGCATAAAGTGATAGAAGCCGTCAGGCGCATCGTCGACGCCGAGTGCAGAGCCTTTGGGAGCCCAAAGCCGCCGCGCATTGAGCACATTGGATCATTTCCATTGCTCTATAACGACGAGGCCGCCACTGACATTGTCTCGGAAGCCATGAAGAACCACTTTCGCGGCGAGTTTGGCACAGATGCGACCATCTCCACCGGCAGCGAAGATTTCGCCAACCTCACATCTCCTCTGTCGATTCCAAGCGTTTTCTGGAACTATGGCGGTGTCGACGCTCAACAGTGGGATGATGCAGTGCAGAATGGAAAGTTGGAAGACATTCCTGGTACTTCCCTGTCAAGCCCTGACACAGAACAGTGAACCTTTCTGACACAAATACTAGGTAATCACAGCTCCTACTTCGCGCCGGTAATACAGCCCACCCTTTCGGTCGGGACCGAGGCATATGCCACGGCCGCACTGGCTTTTTTGCTATAGCTTGTCTGTTGGTGGTAATTTCCAGAGGTTGCCTGGAATCCATCTGGAAGCGATGTAGCTCCGGCACGAACACGCATTCATGGGTGGCAGTTGTCTTTATATTGACGTTTGTATTGTACTGCAATCTTGCTGTAAGCAAAAGACACCGTGGCCATTCGATAGCTGTAATGTCTGAGCTGTCGATCGAGATACCTTGCGCGCGCTTTGTGGACTTGACTCGAAGTTCTACTCAGGTGGTAGTCAACTGCGTCCATGCCAAGGTATGTTTCTTTTTATCCTCGTTGATCAACGATGCGGTGGCGGACCTGTACCCGAGTCGTAGTGTGTTATTATATCAAGGACGAGGAGCTCTAAGCTCTTCAAGCTCGTATGAAAGCGAACAAAACCTGGTGCGGCTCTGGACGATTGAGTAGACTAGAAGGAGCCTTTATGACGAGGAAGACGTGGAGGACCTAATTCGCACATTCTCACCGACTCGTCCGCACCTCTCGGGTTTGGCATCTGTGTTTGCGCGCTGAAAACTAGGTAGATTCTAGGATGAGCTTGAGCGCAAACTGCTAAGATACTGGCAGTGGGCTGACCAGATGTCTCGACTTGGCTGGCACACTACGAGGTACATACCGATATTGTAAACGAGCTTCGAAATGTGCTCTTGATCAATGTTGTTCTCTGATCAAGGATGGCTACACACATGGGAATCGAGGGTGCCAAAGCAGTGGAGTCTACGGAAGAGGCGTGCAGAAATTTAGAGCTCAATTGATCGTATTGACTATCTCAAGTCCTGTTTGAGTACCATGGCTAGTGACGGCACTTGACGACATGTTGTGAGGTGCAGAGCTCTACTTTTGAGAGACGGAGAGCCATGGGACACATGTACTTTGTCCGAGGTGTTCTGAGAACCGACACCTCTTTGGAAATGCCCCAGACATCATAAGCAACCCGCCGATGAAGCTCCATTGGGAATTTGACCATCTCCTACTCCTCTTACGCGAACACCACGGACGAGCATTCGACATTTGCAAAGCCGATTCTTCAAAGACCGCATCTCTTCCCACGTAGCAAATGGTGACAAAAGCTCGTGGTTGGTTGTGGTCGAGGGGCTAGTTGGTTTCTGAAGTTGAACGTCGAGAACTAGCTAGAGGTTGAAGAGTCGTTGACATTGGTCGAGAGAGGAGACGCGATGGAGCAGCTGACGCGATTACTTGCTGTAGGCCATGGTTAGACATCGCCCCTCTGCGCAAACAACGACAACATCGAGACACATACCTGCGGGCTCTGGTCTTTCTCCTCTTACGCTTAAGGCGACGAACTCGCTTCTTTCTCCACTTGGCTCTCATCTTCGCTCAATGTGGACTGATGTATGTTAGCATGTGCTTCTGATGGAATTGTCCTGCTCGTCGAGTCTCGGGGGGAGAGGGCCACGTACAGATTGGTTTCGAGGATGAGGTTGCTAGATGAGATGGGATGAAGCAAACAGAGATGCAACTGTTGTGCGGGGAATTTTGTTGTGTGCAGCTGCCAGATTTTCCTTGGCGGATTTGACTCGTTTGGAACGCACTAAGGTTCTCAATGCGGTCATCGATCACGTTGGTCCTTCTTGCGCAGTTCCACCAGGTTCTCTCACTTCACTCCTCCTCATCCTCTCTATCCACGCCGATCCTGGCCTGCGACAGGATTGATGCTGGATCGCTACTCCGTAATCCCCCATCCAGTCAAGCTAGTCTCATCTCGCGAAGTCTTTCTTTCTATCCATACCCGAGCCACGTCGAGTGACAAGTACCTGGTTCAGCGTATCTCATAGTTCCATTTGTGACGTCTGCTTCTTTACTTGCTGAGGAAATGTCTACACTTCCGTCTTCTAGTGTTCGCCGTGTCGGCAGTGCCTGGGGTAGTTCCTCCAAACCAAGTCCTGCCGGAATGCTCATCCACAAAAACCAGAAGGGCAAAATTCTGGGGAGTGGGTTCAAAATCGTCCATGGTACTTGATTCGTCTGTGGTTATACTAGCCTTCTGCAGGGGAGAAGATATATCCTAACCACGAGATTGTGATTGGTCGTGACAACGATCGCTGGTAAGGACCAAGACCTACCTATTGGACAGCCACTCACCCAATAGTCAATATGTGCTCAACGATCCCTACATCTCGAAGCGGCACCTAAGAGTCTATACCGTGGTCTACGAGAATGACGAGCCTTGCGAAATTGACACACTGGTCTATGCGGAAGACCTATCCCAGAATGGTACCTATTGGAATGGATCTCTCATCGGAAAAGGCAATGGGGGCTTCCTTCTGAGTGACAATGATGTCTTGCGACTGAGCCGCCAAACATACCTCATCTTCACGGCCACCTCCAGTGGAGCGTCAAAAGAGAACTTTGATCATGCACAGGAGGCTGAGATGGCAGTACGGTGACAGGTACACCTTTCCGAAGCGCACACTGACAAACACAGAAATTCGGCAAAGACTACGTTCTCACCGACAGGCTTCTCGGCGCAGGCACCTTTGGTCGAGTATACATGGCCATTGAACAGATGGCTCGGCGCCAGGTTGCATGCAAGGTTGTTGACCTACGGAAACTCGGCCCTCGACCGCTGCTCCAGTTTGGACGGCCAGAGGAACCCGCTCCAGCTGAAGAAGTCGATAGCGTAGCCCAAAGACGCAAGCTCAAAGCATGGGTCGACCAGCGAAAAAGAGAGAACGCCTTGGAGAGAAAGATATGCGCATACTATCGTGAGGTGGAAATCCTTACCTCGATTAGCCACGTAATGTCCCCTCTCGAGACATTTTGGAAGTGACTGATTTTGAGCTGTGCAGCCGAACATTGTCGGCATCGAAAAGGTGTACATTACAGACAATACCATGTAAGGAGATCAACAATGCACATTGTTTCAGCTGACTTTGCAGATACATCATGCAAGATCTCGTTAGCGCCGGCGACCTATTTTCCTACATCGAGCTGAGGAATGGGAAGCTGCTTGAAGTTGAGGCGGCTGTGATCGTTCGACAAATCTTGGTGGCCTTGCGTTTTCTTCACAACAAAAACATCGTTCATCGAGATATCAAACCCGACAATGTTCTCATGTCGAGCCAGGCCGCGGGATGTCGAGTCATATTGACGGATTTTGGTGCAGCTCGGAGAATTGAGAGCAAGCTGCACCGAATGTCGTCCATTATAGGAACACACGAATACGCAGCGCCGTGGGTGTTGATGCAATACTTCCCGTTTAATCTGCTGACCCTCTTCTAGCGAGATACTGGGATATGCGCGAAGCAACCTGGAGCCCGAGAGACCGGGTTATACTCGATCTGTGGACATGTGGGCGGTTGGCTGTGTCTCGGTCGTGTTGCTCACAGGAGGTCTGGCTTTCTCCGATCCTCTTACAAACACGTATTCGGAAAAGCTGGCCCGGGATTGTAACCTGAAATTTCTTCACCAGTCAACAGAATGGCAGGCGGTGAGACAACGGCCGAGGGAGTTCGTTGAGCGGCTCTTGGTGCTTGATGAGGACGCCCGAATGACAGCAGAAGATGCTCTCGCCCATTCTTGGTTCTCCAATGAAGTACACAAGAACGACTTTGGGAATTTGTATCAACGCACAATCAGGGACTGGCGACCGCGAACGCCAAAGTTTCCAGTGGTTGAGTTTCGGGACAGCGGGTCTATTCGGAAGTTGCTGAGCTCATTAGGTCTTCGAGATGCGACCAAGCGCAGCAGTTCCAGACCACCGTCTCCAATCGAGCCGCCTTACAAGCCTTTTCCGAGAAATATGCATCTTGGGCTATGGCCAAGAAGAGATCCAGACGAAAGACTGTCGGAGGAAGTATTATCTGCCATTAAGAAATGGTCACCACGATCCGCAGAGTCGTTGCGCATGCGAGCGGGAAGCAAATCTTCAAGGGCTACGCTGCCGACATCACAGTCCTCGGATCCAGGAACGATGAGTGTCTCCAGGAAACCTAGAGCTGCTTCAGAGCCTCCTCGAAACAGACTCACGTATCAGTCACAGCAGAAGCCGACTGATGCCGACTTAGAAAGCTGTCAGAGAGCTTTCATTAGCAAGGAATCCAAGGGGTTCACCCCAGCTCGCTCTGGGATCAACGAGTCGTTTTCGAGAACAGCTACCTCGAAAGATCGTCAAAACCCGGAGGGCGCGCGTTCGAGGTTCCCCTTTTCTACGATATCGAGTTCACCTGAGCCTGCTATCCAGGACGGCCTTTCTGGCTCTCGTTTCAAATCCTTTGGCGAGCTCAGCACAAACAACGTGATATCTGAGTTTGTTATCCCGAGAAACCTTGGCAATATGTTAAGTGACAATCAGAGCTCGATCAACATCAAAAGTAACGACGGCTCAAATCCGGCTTGCGACATCACAACGACGCCACGTAAACAAGGCAAGCTCAAACGCCGCGTGTCTACAACACAGGCAACCGTAAAGGCCTCGAAAAAGAAGAAGCGCCGCCGTGGATCCATCTTCGAGCTCGCCGAAGACAGCGACACGGAAGACACGTCAGGGCCGCCCGGCCTGAGCAGTCGAAGGTCGATCTTCGACCTAGCCAATGATGATGGCGAAAACGATAATCAAGGCCGTCCGAGAGTCGATCGCGGCAGTCCTCGTGCGCAGAGACTGCCTCTGCTCGTCCATCGGCCGAAGAAACCAGCCTCAGCTTCAGCCTCGGCGGAAGTCCCTCCTCCGCCATATGCATCAAAGCTCTATCTCCCGCGCTAAAGGAAGAGAGGACGACATACATTATCCGCCGAAGTGACGAGCAACACTTGAAAAAAAAAAAAGAGGAGCGCAATCGACTGGAACACGGGGTCGATGCTGTATATGGATTTCTGAGACTATCATCGAGTTTTGCGACATCTGACCAGGCACGTAGGTGAATTTGGGGCGAAAAAATGAATGAATGGGTGACGCACACATGGACGATCAGGCAGTATGGGCGAATGGCAAATGGCAAATGGCAAATGGTGAACTCAACAGCCCTCGCGTCCACCACTCCGTGCCACAGGCATACAAGGGCTTTGTCCATTTCACAATGCCCCAATGATGAAGACGTTCAATCAAAGAGAAAAGCGTACCTAGGACTAGGTCCAGGCCGGCTGACTAGAATACAGACAGACTGACAGACACTTAAGTACCCCCATCTATGGCCATGAGCACATTGATATATGAATCACCATATATTCACAAGTGTAATCATAATCATAGTCCCATGCCATGATGGCCCATGTCATGTCATTCAATACATGTGGCCAAGACAGAAGACAGAAGACAGAAGCTGCAGAGACATTATCTATCCAATCCATCCATGTGTCTAACACTAGGTATCTAGGATTATCCAATGAGTGTAAATTGGTCGAATGCGGATTTTTATGACACGACAATTCTAACGCCGGCCAGTTCTGGCCAAATCTGGCCGATTCTGGACAATACCTTAGTACACCTACCTACCTCCCTACCTGGCTAGGTACAGCCTCGAGTTTTATGCGATCTTGCCCACATCGTCGACGGGCACCGTTTCATTGCTTTCCCCACCGAGCGAATTCGTCATGGCGTGCTTCTCATCCTTTTTGTCCTTCGCATCAACGTCGCCAGCCACCACCCTGTCAGGTGTCAATCCCTTGTCGTCGTCACCTCCACCGGCGACGGCGGCGGCGTCAATGGCATTGACAATGCCCGGGGTCTGGGGTCCCGTAAAGTTCTTGCGCCCGTCAAAGAGCCAGGTGACGACGCTGACGAGGCCGATGACGCCAAAGGCCGCGCTGCAGTAGTTCATGTTGCTGGCGGTGACGGGGCCGACCTGGGGGAAGTTGAAGTCGATGCCCGCAAAGACCAGGAACAGCAGGCCCGCTAGGTTCATGTAGGGCGACCATCGGCCGAGGGTGTAGACGCCGCCGCGGATGGTGGTCGCGGCCGGGTTGGCGCGTGTGACGAGTGACCACAGCCGCACGAACAGCGGCGCTGCGTACGAGAGGTAGAAGCCAAAGGTTGCGATGGAGATGACGGTCGAGAACCCTTCGAAGGAGGCGTAGTAGATGCTGTTCAGCCCAGCTTGCAGCACACCACACAGCAGCACGCTGTACACAGGGACTTGGGACCTCTTGTTCACGCGGGCCCACAGCTTGCTAAAGGGCAGGCCGTGGTCGCGTGAAAATGCCCAGAGTGCCCGCGACCCCTCAGCCATCAGCGAGTTGGAGCAGATGAGCATGATGACGGTGATCATGGAGGCGAGTGCTGTCGCCCCTCCAGTGCTGCCTGTGCTGTCGAAGAAGATTTGGATCAGCGGCACCCCTGTCGGTGTTGTTGCCGTAGCGTCGAGATCGCCAATACAGAAGAAGGCCGAAATCAGGAACACGAACCCGGTCACAGCACCTAGATATACTGAGAGGATGATGGCTTGGGGTGCTTCTTTTGCCGGGTTGAGCATTTCCTCGATCATGTGGCTGGGAAAGAGAGCACAATGATTAGCTTCCAGAGACGTACAGCGTATTTGACGCATTACCAAGGGCATTTCAGTCCTTACCTAGGAGCATCGTAGCAGCACATGCCTGTCTGGGTGGTTAGAAGATGGAGAAAATAGCAAAAGACACCCTAATCCACGACGTACCAAACAATGTCTGTAAAAGACCAATCATGACAGCCATTCCGCCCGACGAGAAACCGGTCTGGTTCTGAAAATCGGAAAACACAAAGCTGGCAGACTGTTTGTGATCGTTGGCGGCCAGGATGGTGATGATGACGACAAAAAAGCTGAGAATGTTCCACGCCACGGCAAAGGTAGAGATCTGATTGAGCCAGCGCGAGAGGTAGACGTTCGAGAGGGCGGCGAGTGTTGCTATCAGGTAGGTTACCAGCACGGTATGCCAACGCTCGATGGTGTAGGATGGATTGTTAAGATTGGCCATTCCAAGGATGAAGTTTGCGCCGAGCTGTTGGAATACGTCGAGGAGACAGTTAGTAAGTCAGGGGTTTTGTGGGAATGACGGATTGACGCGAGACCACAGAGAGGCTCACAAAGTTGTTGACAGCGCCCATGGCCACGATGCCCGTACACATGAACCACCCCGTGACAAAAGCGGCACCACGGGCGTATTTGGGCGGAGCGAGGATAGCCACCCAGCTGTACTGGCCGCCAGCAGTGGGATAGGCAGAGCACATTTCGGCAAACGAATAGGCGACGGTCAGGGAGAGCAGACAAATGCCCACCCACGACCAGACCATGACGGGAGGACCGCCAGCGACGATGCCCACGATCAAAGTACCTCCCAGGGCGGTCCAGCAGGTCACGATGGAAAAGCTGAATCCCACCATGCCCAGAAGGGAGAATGAGCGTTTGAGTTCTTTTGCCAGAAGGTCAGCAACGAGGCTTCGTCATGTGAGAGGGTTGCATGCCTTGCTCATAGCCCAGCTGTGCCAGTTGGGTTTCAGTTGCAATAGTCGAGTCAAAAGGTCCATCCTTGGTACTGCCCACCAAAGACGACAGGCGGCGAGGAGCCATGCTGCGGTAGGTGAATGCGTATAGGCACCTGTCAACTGGAGGCTATCGCGGTAGAAGAAAGGAAAAGGACAAGAAAGGCACGGACGATAGCAGAGGAGGAGGATCTGAGCGGCAGTGGACACTGATACTTATATCTATCATACTTGTTAGCTATCCCATGGCAATTGATTTGATGGATACTGAATCATTTCTGTATATAAGAGATCCTCCAACAAATAAGCTTCATGAGCTTATCTATTCGACGAGCGCCGGGCCGTCGTAGGGCGTCGCAAGGGGGTTATCAAGGACGTATGTGGCTGGCAGAGACTCGGACGGATCGGATTGTGGGTGGGAAATAATTAATGGGGAAGATGGTCCAATGTTGTGCGCAGGCGATGTGAAGGGAGAGACCACGGGCAGAGTGACATTGCACCAAGTAAAATGGCGGGGGGTGCATGATTGAGCGAGATGAACCCTCATTCTCGTCCTCACCATCACCATCACCATCAGCCACCCTCAACTATTCCTCACTACCTCCTCCTAGGTATGAGCACAAGTAATTACTGGACATCCTGGACATACTCGTATCTTTCATCTGCGGATTCCTTCCCCTTGACGGGGGGCCTTGCGGTTCCTGGCACTCTCTCCTCCACTTTCCCATCCTCCATCACAGTCGCTATCATCACAACCCCATCGCCTCCGTGGAGCCTCGACGCGGACATGACCACCTGGTCCTAGAGGTTGATCTCAAGACAATCCACCTGTATCTCATACTTAGCAACCTATCTTCCAAAAAGCCCAGGGCCACCAGGGCCGCAGACAGGCGTCCTTGTCCGAACGCCTCCACTCGCCAGCAATATACAAACTACTCGTATCCGCATTCTCGTCGGCGACGACCTCCGAAGCCACACAGTCAGAGAGTTCGATTAAACCATGGAAAATAGGAGGAGTCAAGATTGTCAAACCCTCTTTTTTCTTCTGAATGATAAATTGATAATGAATCTTTTTGCTTGGCCAACCCAACACATTGACATGTCGAAAAGGTGCTGCTGATACCCGAATACCACCCGTGAGAGCATGAGCCTCACGCCTCACCCACAGCAAACACCCTCGTCTCGCTCTCCCTCGTCCTGCCATGCAAGGTTCTTCCACCCCCAAAGCCGGGATGGGTCTGAGCCCCAGTCCGCTTCATCATCCCGTAACCTCGTACGGCCTTCGAATGTTGCAAACAGTATCCCATAATCGTACATTGGGCGCCATCAAACGCCAAAAAATTCACTCCCGATACCCTGCTTCTCTGCCCAATTCTATCTCAAAACCCCGGTAGACCCGGGTCCCTTTGTCTTTGATATTAATATCCCTTGTGTCTCTTTTTGGTGCTGCGTCTTCCATGAAACGTTCCAAATCGCCCCTGATGGTTCATGTCCCGCTCATACCCAGATCCCCTTCAGCATCGACAATTGCAAGTCTCTGTTTGGCCGTTTTGGCTTTCTTGCTCACACCGCGTCCACCACGCGGCCCGCGCTTTGGTCCAGCCGTCGTCTCGGGCGCACTTACTGGCGTTGCTGCGCCGGATGGTTTCGCCGAAGCATCTTCGAAATGTCCTTCGCCTGGAGGGGAAACACGGTCAGCCAAAGCCAATGACAAGAGAACAACGTTAGACGGGGAAAAAGCACTCACCCTCATGATACATGTCATCCAAACTCATCTCGCCCTTTCGCTTGCGTGAAGCGGCGGCTGCTGCTGCCTTCTTGCTTCGCTTCTTCGTGTTCTCTTCGTCAGGTTTCTCGGCAATCTCCTTCTCTTTTTGCTCAATAAGAGCCGCTTGGTCGTCGTCGGCAAGCCACATGGCAATATCCTTGGTCCTATTTTCACGTCGATCACGAGTATTGAAGTCCACACCAGCCCCGTCTCCGCCGGTGATGACGACACGTTGGACTTCCTCTTTCTGCATCGCCCGCTTGCGGATTCGTTCTTCGATCGTGCCTCGAGTGATGAGTCGATAGACAGTAACCTGCTTCGTCTGACCAAGTCGATGCGCTCGGTCCATGGCTTGCGAGTCGATCGTGGGATTCCAGTCTGAGTCGTAGAAGATGACGGTGTCGGCAGAGGTCAGATTGATACCGAGACCACCAGCACGTGTCGACAACAGGAAGATGAAGATCTCGGGCCGCGTTTGGAAGTCGTGCACCGTATCTCGCCGGTCTTCCAGTTTGGTACTACCATCCAGTCGACAATACTTGTAGTTGCGGTACGTAAGGTATTCTTCCATCAAATCAATCATACGCGTCATCTGGAAGTACAAGAGCACACGGTGGCCGCCCATCTTGAGTTCTCGGAGTAGCTGATCCAGTTTCGCCAGCTTGCCCGAATCTGTAACAAATCGCCGCATCGATGGCACCGAGATGTTGGTGTACCTGGCCTTCGCAGATTCCGGCGCCGGGAGCATGTTGGAGATGGGGAAATTGGCAGGATCCACGTCACGCTCAAGCAACTTCTCCTCGAGTGAAGCTTCCAGTGGGTACAGAGTGCTGCGGATATCCATGTTGAAAAAGGTCAACTGTCGCTCAGAGATGGAGGATTGATCGAAGCAGCTGATCTCAATCGGTGGAGCCAACGCTTTTGGCCGGGCCGCTGGCTCGAGCACTGAGACTCCATGTTCTGCAAGGGTATCCGTGGAGACATTGCAAAGTCGTGCGAGGTTCGAGTTGGGGTCCAGTTCCATCAGTGCCCGACGCGGTTGGTTTTCTACAATGTTGAACATGGCATGGACTGGCGGCCCGTCGGGTCCGTCTTCGGAATCTTGGAAGATGTGTAAGCCCCGTCCGTGCTGTTTCTTGAGCTTTATCGCACGCTCAAAAAGTCCCGATTCGCCATGAAATGAGGCTTCGCCGGCCGAGGTGTCGACAAATCGCAGGAATGAGAAAGCCCCGTCTTCCTCCGCCGAGTTTTTGATGTGCTCAGGAGTCCAGATCCTCAACAAGCCCCCAAGTCCCTTGGTCTTGAAGCCAGCGCGTCGGAACCCAGCGTACGGATTGCCAGGTCCAGCAACGTCAATTCTTCCGACATCATTACAAAGCACTCGAGGCAGATAGTATTGAATCTGGTTGCGAACTGAATAGCCAACCTGCACAAATGACCCCTCACGGACGAATGAGGCAGTCTCGGCATAATACGACATCGAGAAGGGGGACGTCGTGTCTGCTCGTTCGAACAAATCCGGGTGGTTGCAAACTTTGCGGAACTGCATGACCAAGTTCATCAGTGTGGCAGTATCTTCATCGCCGCCCAGCGCCGCCTTCTCGATAAGGTCCATGATGCTGATCTTGCTACGCAAATTCGAATAGTATGCTCGTTGTCGGTAGGTGAGCTCGCAGAAGACATCCTTCTCAACCTTGTCGCCAAGTTCCTTCTGCACGTGGGCCTTGACACGTCGCAACATGAACGGCTTGAGAATCATATGCAGACGCTTGAGTTGGTCCTGGTTCAGTTTGGTATTGCTCTGCGCGTGACTTTCAATATCCTTGGAGAACCAGTCGCTGAACTCGTCATGAGAGTCGAACAGCGTGGGCATGATGAAGTGGAGTAGAGCCCACAACTCCTGCATGTTATTCTGTATAGGCGTGCCGGTCAGCAAAAGTCGGTTGCGGCACTGGAAAGCGAGCAGTGTCTTCCATCTCGAACTGCTCGACGACTTGATTGCTTGCGCCTCGTCCAGAATCATGTACTGCCATCTGATCTTCTGGAAATATTGAGCATCTTGAACGACAAGTTGATATGAAGTAACGAGAACATGGAACTCGGAGTCTTTCGTGTAGGTAATGTGCTTCCGGTCCCAGAACTTTCGCAGAATCTTGCGGTCTTTTGCACTGCCCCAATATGGAAGAACCTTGATGGCCGGCACAAATCTGGTAATTTCTTGTTGCCAGTTGTGTAGCGTCGAGGCGGGAGCAATGACCAAGAACGGTCCCCAGATGTTGTGCTGTTCTGCAAGGTAGCCCATGACCGAGATGGATTGCACGGTTTTGCCGAGACCCATCTCGTCTGCCAGGATGCCGTTGATACCTTGCTCATAAAGGTTAACTAGCCAATTGAGGCCCTTGAGCTGGTACTCCTTGAGTTGCGCTTGTAACATCTTGGGCTGGGAGACCTGGACATCGCCAGCCATGGTGGGGTTCTGGAAGTTCATCTCACTCGAATCAAAGGCATCCATCGGGTCTTGCGCGTTGAAGTTGCGGGCTTTGTCCTGTGCATCTTGCAATGCGCTTGCAGCGTTGGCCGCCGCGGCTTTTCTCAGCTCCGACTCGTCCTCGGCGTCGAAATCGAGGTCTTCAAAGTTTGTGACCTTGTGATTTCCGTGCTCATTAGACAGTGACAAGTCGTCCATCCCACGGTCCCGATCTGCGGCAGGTACCCTCTTCTCCACAGCCCCGGCAACTTCGGCATCGTCTGTAGCTCTTTCGATTTCGTCGGTTTTGATCTTTCGCCCGATGAAGTGTGAGTAGATCTCGGTTTGCGAGATAAGGAAGTTGAGCTTTCGCTTCTGTCTGTTGGCCTCACGATCCGCCTCAGCTTTCTTTGCGTCTTCAATCTCCTTCCTCTCGGCCAGACGGCGTAGATCTCGCTCTTCTCGCTCATTGCGTTTCCAGAAGGACATCATCTCCCGCATGACACGTTTCGCTCGTGCTTGTGTATCCTTCATACTCTTGTTGGTGCGTTCCTGCCATTTGCGCGCTTGTTTGCTCGCGAGGATGGCAGTTTTGCGGAGATTTTCGCTTCTGGTAGCAAGAGATACTTGCTTGATGCGATATACTTTGGGAATATCTTTCCTGGCCAAGTCTCTCCAGATTTGCTCGTAGATTTGAATGTACCCTTTCGATTCATAGTTGACTGTCTGGGGTGGAGGGCTGGCGGGGGGTTCTTGGACTTTGGACTTTTTGGACTTTCCTGATGGAGCGGGAGTTGATTCTTCCTTGGGTGCAATCTGGATCAAGGCATCTTTTTCCATTGCCGCGTAAGCCGCCTCTGCTGCATCTTTCTCGGCTTGCTTCTTTTCCTTGGACTTCTTCAAACGAGCGGAGGGAGCACCGGGGTCCTTCTTGCTTCGCTTCTTGGGAGGTTCTCCAGGTTCGGGCGTGGCGAGCTGGAAGGACGAGGTAACACCACCTTCGTAGTTGGGGGCTGGTGCTGGGACTTCCATGTCTTCTTGAGGGGGAACACCCTCGAGCAATTCGGTGGTTTGTTTGATGCGGGCCTGGGATTTCTCTGCTTGTCTCAGATACTTCTGCGCCTCTTCTTGATCTTCGGCCTCTCGAGCGCGCTGTTCGAGCTCCTCAAGTCTCTCCTTCTCGTTGCGAATCTGCTGTTCACGACGGCGTTTGCGCTGCATATCTTTCTTTCTCTCCTTTTCGCTCTGGTGATCTTTGTCTGCAATTTCTTTGGCGGCGACAGGCTCAAAGCGTTCACGGAAGCGTTGTGTGGCAATGAGTGCTTGTTTGTCCATGGACCGGATGAAAGATTCTAAAAGATAGCCGCGACGACGCTATGAGGGAGGTCAGCCGGACTGTTGTGTTGGGTGCGGTAGATGAATCACTTACCTTCCGCTTGTGCTGTTCACCTTCGTAGACATCTGCAGCTCTCTTCCTGCTTCTCTGTTTGTACCGTTCCTTGTATTCGGACCAAGCCGCATCCTCGGCGTCACTGAAAACAGTCTCATCAATAACGGCAAGGGCCTTCAGTATCTTGTCGGCCTCCCCCTCTGTGAGTATCTTTCGTGGCCGTGGTGGAGCAAGGTATTTCTTAGGAGGGACTACTGCTTCCGCCTTCGATTGTGATTTGGTGTGGCCATTCCCCAAAGGCTGACCTGGACTAAGATCTAGCATTTTCGTCGCAGGTACTTTTTCAGGCACAATCTTGCTTTCTACCACGGGCAATGATATCGGCACTGGCGCCGGCGCTGACGGTGGTGGTGGCGGCGGTGTCGCTGGTCGCGCTGGCGGCAGCTTTGCTTCAGCCATTTTAGGGGAGGGCTCATTGTTTGAAGGACCAAGAATGCTCGCAAAGGACATTGGGTTGCTCGCTCTGTCAGGCTTCTATGGGACAAAGTCAGTATTTCATTGGGGTGGCAGCGCATTTGAAAACTCACATCTTTCGACTGCGGCCGCGAATCTGAAGAAGAAATGTCTCCAGGTCTTCCATTGGTGAGGCTATGGTGATCCCTCAAAGGAGACTGCAGCGCCGAACTCGGGGGCCCAGCTGGATGCGCGTGCGAAGGATTGACATCGTATGCTGACGGCATACTGGGATGAACCAGATGTCCAGAGTACGATCTCTGAAGCGCAAACGGTGGACTTGATGTCAGAGGTTGATACTGCGGTCCTGCGCCTATCGAGGGAGGAAGAGGAGGAGGTGGTGGCGGCGGTGGTAGGGCGCTCGCCGAAGGCAAGGGTGATGCCAACGTGGGCCGGGTGTGATGCGGGCTATGGACCAGCGACGCAGGAGGAAATGGAGGCGGAGTTTGGATGAGGTGTTGAGGAGGTATCTGGAACGGCTCGTGGACGAAAAAAGGGCGGTTCGGGTGAGTTGGTGAATACGGTGGTGGGTATTGGTTCGACTGCGTCGGCGAACGAACCGCGTAAGGCGTCGATCCAGACATTGTGAAATCTTTTTACCTGGTTGACCAACTAAACGTCGTGGATCTTGTTGGGTCTACCGTTGGTGTGGTGGTCCTACTGGCATGGAAGTCGCTATCTCGGTGTTTATCTATTGCCTTTGCCCAGTCTCCATTGCCAAATCGTGGCACGGCGCTGCAAGCAGGTGGGAGGCACTCTTTTGTTCGCCAACGACAATGATCGCGATGAGGATGGGTTGGGGTGGATGAGACGAGGGTCGATCCACTCCGTTTGGGTTTCCCTTCAAGGGCGTTCGGCTGGCACAGTCAGGTCGTGTCACCGGATTCGGAATCATTCAAGGGGCTGGCGACATAATTGTTCAGCTGGGGGGCAAATGGAAATGTATTTCAGCGTCGCGCAATTGGGGAAAGGCGATGGGATGGTGATGAGAAGGGAGGGAGGATTAAAGGAGATGAAGGTTGGTGGCGATGAAGAGGATGCTGGGTCATGATCAATCGCAGTTGGTGGCAGCCGTGGGTGCGCAGTCCCAAAAGCCCAAGCTCATGCCGGATGTCTGGAATCACCATTTTCCTCGAAAAGCGCGAATCCCGGCCGGCGTTAAAGAAACCTCAAAGGGCCATCACGTGACGACTCTGTATATACGCAGCAAGTGGTATAGCAATTTTCCTATCTATGGGATGCGGGCCCTCTGCGATACTGCATATCGCACATAAATGTGTTTCCCTTCATATCCAGAGCCATTTCGCTCGGTGCGTTGGAGGGTTTTTGCTTGTGCTGAGGCTGGTATGAGTGGTGCGCAGGGTGGCCGCTGGAAGCGAGGAGAATGACGGGCACCTGCTGAGGTTTGCTTGCTGGCTGATCCACAAGGCACCTTTTCTGACTTTTTTGTCAAAGGGGGAACAAGAAGGACCACGGCCAGGTGGTAGTGCCAAAACGCCCACCCCCGGGAACGAGACTGGCACGAACTGGGGCTGACGAGGGAGCGAGCGTCATTTGCGCTGTGCCCGCCAAGATCTTATCCGACGCGAGATCCAAAAAGGAAATTTAGGGGCTCTAATCGCGTTTGTACTCTATTTTCCGTTCTTGGGTTTCCTTATCAATAAATCACGCGGCTACGACAATACCCTATTTGGGCCAGCCAACTTTTGCTGGTGCGTCACCTCAAAGTCGAGTTTCAATAGCAGCCCTGGCATTTTATTTCAGGACGCAATTTGATACCACTTCGTTGCAAGTGCTTCTACAATAACTATCCCTGCTCAAAAGGCACTTTTCCGAGGAAGGTCCAATGGCACCAAAGGGCAAAGATTCCGGCAAATCGTCCTCTGGCGGTGCCAAAGGCAAGGGCAAAGGCAAAGACGATGATGGCCCAGCAGCCAGTGGAAGTGGGAAGCTGAAAGCGGCTCAATCCATCAACGTCAGACACATTTTGGTAGGTTGGTTCCAGTATTGGGCAGAAAGGGTGGTATATCCAGCCACTCCTGTCAGTCAAACACTCCCTTTTAACCCCTCTGGTTCCCCGACAGTGTGAAAAGCATTCCAAGAAAGAGGAAGCCCTGGCAAAGTTGCGCGAAGGTGTCAAATTCGATGAGGTAGCAAGGGAGTTCTCAGAGGATAAGGCCCGACAAGGTACGGAGTTTGCGACTTATCGTCACCCTTTTCTTTGGCAGGTCCTCTGCGTCAGCCAGTCACTGAATTCTTCAAAATAACTGGGGCTGACATGGCACATTCGTTATCAATCTGTACTGTACAGGCGGATCACTGGGCTGGAAAACCAGAGGCAGCCTGCATGGGGACTTTGAAAAAGTGGCCTACGAATTAGAACCCTCCACAACAGCAAATCCAAAATGTGAGTCTGATTTCTTATCTCGTTCACTGAGACTGGTTACAAGGACCGTGTTGTTCCTTTTCTGGTATCTAGCTGTACAACAAAGGAACTGAGCCACAGAATGAGCGTTCCTAAGCGATTCCGACAACCCCTCTGAGGTGAAAAAAAGAGTAGATCTGCGCGCGATAAAAGAAGTGGTGCCAATGCTACATTCCAAAATGACCGTTCAACCCCTTTGGATACCCCTTGCTAATCATCCTCACCACAGATAGCGAGGTCAAAACAAGCCATGGCTACCACATCATAATGGTGGAAGGGCGAAAATGAGTGAGGTAGCTAGAATTGAAATTGGTCGTTAGGGCATCAGTGGACTGGCGACGGTGACATCGGCAAGCACATCCAGGGCGATGTGGTCGAGATGATGCTTTCTCTTTCTTGGAGATACGTTGCCAGGGAGCACCATGACATCTATGATTGGCATTCTGGGGTTGAGGATTTCGGGAGGGGTTCGAGTAGCTCTTGAAGGGATGTCCTGGTTGGACTTTGCAGAGTTGGATGGACTTGGTCGATCTTGGGGTGGAGTAATTCGAGAAGCCTGGTGGATGGAGATCTGTGCTACCTGCTCAGAGGCAGCCCTCTCTTTGAGTCGCTCGCCCATGTCTAATGTCAAGAAGCCACTTGATCTTGGCTCTTCTTGTGGTGGTGAGAGGCGTTGGGGCAGGTTGACAAAGGGACCAGGACGGGGGATTTCAGCGACCAGGTTGAGGATTCCACTCGAACGAGGTTCCTCTGGCTCTGGTGCGGGAGCAGGCGCGGTCCCATTGGGCGACAATGCCCTCGATGAAGGCGTACGCACCGAACCTCCGTCGATGCTCGAAGAGACTCGTCTAAAGTTGTCCGGGTCAGACGAGACATAGCCATTCTGCAAAGGTTGGTCCTGGGTGTTATTGCGACCCACGCGTCGCCTCTTGAAGCGAAAATCTTCGAGCTCCTCCACCCTCTTCTCCATTGACATGGTGGCATCGTCAACGGCCACGACGCGGTCTCTGAGGCGGACGTGCTCGTCATAGTTGCCGTCCACTCGATCTTCAATGTCGACGATGCGTCGACGCATTTCCTTTTCGCTTTGGTAAAAGGGTGCTAACGCCTCACGCAAGATGCGAATCTCTCTTTCCCACATCTGTCTTTCTCTCTGTAAAGCAGAATCCCGATTACTGCGTTCATTCTGAATGGTTTCCTCCATACGCTTGACCTTATCAAAGACGACGTTTATCTTATCAAGAACAGCATTGAGTGTATCCGTATGTTTTTCATTGTTGTTTTCGCGGTGGACATGGTAGCAGGCTTGATGGCCACATTCACAGATGTTGCCAGGCGCGCTCCGGTTTAGGTGGAAGGACTGGCACGAACATTGTTGGTTCTGTGCCGAAGGGTGCAACAGGAGATATCGACATTCTCCGGTCGGAAGGGGACGGGCGCTTTCAGCGCTCAACCGGAGAGGACGATCGTGAGCAAAGGGTGGGGGTAACGGCAACGCGTTCGAGCCAAACATCGAGGCGAGACCAGCGGTACCGGCGCCCGGGATTCGATCAACGACTCCGGAAGAAAGAAATGGAATCTATGCAATGCATATGAAGATGTCGCTAAGGTCCAAGAGGCTTGTGTGTAAGGGTAATGACCCCCTCCCCCTCCGAAGAGGGTGATATCACCGGCTGTGTGATATCTCTATATGCAATCTTGAGTCGAGAATGGGACTGTTGAGCCTGGCCACGGGTCAGCATCCATGACAATTCATGCTGGTCTCGTCCGAGAACCAAAGGTACGGTGAGCGACCGCGGATAAGGGTGACATACGCAGCTGTTTTGGGGGAGGTGGGTGTTACCACGGCGCAAAGCTCTTTCTCAAAGAACTCCAGCTGAACGTGTACCACAGATAAGTGCTCATTGTACCGGGGATAGCGACGAGAGATCAGAGAGGGAGAGGAGGAGGAGGGAAGGAAGCAAAAATTTCGAGAAAAAGAGGAAGAGTGAGAGAGAGAGAGAGGGAGAGAGAGCCTGAGAGGACTGGCACGCAATATCCAACTCTGATGGTTCAGGAGAAGTTTATCAGCTGGGTGGATGGGTATTTTGGATGGAGGAGCGACGCAAGGTCGTTATCTGCACAGAAGCTGAGGTGCAGGACCGATAGTACCGTGTGCGTCTCGGTTCAATCGAGGAGCGTCTGCCGACAGGACAGAGTCAGGGAGGCATGTGCCTGCGTGCTGTCAGGCAAATGGACCTTGATCACTTGGTTGAGGACAGGAGGACCGAATCAGAGGGCGGATAGCAATCGGGGATGTCAGGAAACGGCAAAATGCAGGTAGAATTGACATGGATCGGAAGAGGCTTGGGGGAGGGGGGGCTTGTGGCTAGCCTCCAAGGATGCCCGACGATGTTGGTTCTTCTTCGCTGATGTGCGACACAAGCGATCGTTTCTGGATGGGCTGGCTGGCTGGTTGGCAAGGCGGGTTTCTTGCTGATGCGCGCTGCATTTCTACCGAAGATTGTGGTGTAAAGTACGAGGGAGGAATGATAAGGATAAGGCTAGTGAGGCTTGCTTTATTCGCAATGGGAAGCAACTTTGGCTGGATTCCCCGTTCTCATCACAGGCATTCGCTCGCGGCAAGGCGGAACGGAACAACGTGGGATCCCGCCGAACGAAGGTTGGGAGTTGGTCTCTTCTTTTTTTTGGACTCCATGTCGCTCAACCCCCACCGCCGCACCCTGGTCCTGGTCGCCCAAGGTTCCCTTTTTTTCCCTCTCATATCATCATCGGAACCGGGTCTAAGGTAACTTGGCCATGAGCAATGAGCAGAATAAATACGTGGTGAAGCAAAAAGGGCCCCACCCCACCCGTCGACGGAGTGAGAGAGATAGCAGCAGTACCAGCAGTGCCCAGCAGGAACCCACCCACCCAGTCGATCCCAGCGACAAGGTACCAGTTACAAAACTCAAAGAGGAGGAGCAGTGGTGGTGGGAGTGTTGGTGATACGAAACCACAGTCCCTTGCTTGGATCCCTATGAGTACAGGACCTACCTGCAGCCATCCTCGAAGTGGGGTTTATCCACCCTTGCGATTTGAGATCCTGGTGGTGCAGAGGAACGGAGTACTCGTCCTTCCGGACATACCTCTCCCTTACGAGTCGATGATATTTGTTGCCACGAATGGCTGCAAGGAGTGAGATAGGAGAAAGACGGAAGTTGCCAGTGGCGCAATCCTCACAGTCCAATACAATAGGGTTATCTTGATTTTCACATGGAAATTTCAAGGGAAAAGAAAAGCCAGAGTCAGAAAGGTACCTACAGACTGACCGCTTCATAAGTAGATGTCGATACCTCTGGGAACGGGGGATATATCTCCATCCTGAGGGGACGCCTACGATTTGTCCTGGTGCAGAAGGGAGGAGCGCGAGGGCCCGGGCCTACCGCCTAGCCATCCGTGCCATTGACGGTCGAGTCAAGGAGTGCTCCCCAAGGCACAGACCCAGCTGGAGCCATTCCGAAGCATGGGGGTTTGGGGCCTTTGGGGCTCTTGGGGCGCAGATGGGGGATTGCTTGGGGTGCCCAGAAAGATGATGGTTGGTGTTGGGTAGGCTAGACTCGCAGCTTTGGAGCAGGTGGGTGGATGCAGAGGTGGGACACACTACGATAGGCTGCAGGCCATGCCCGGGATATTCCATCACCAGTCGTTACGATCATCATGACCATCATCACCACCACCGTCACCCACCCACCACTACGAACACGATTCGACAAGTACCAGTACTCGGTACTCAGCAGGGGAAGGACCAAAAGGAAAAACACAACTGCTCGAATCGTGAATTGGCGACGGAATTGGTTTATCCGGTACATCTGTATATGCGTACGTACGGTCTACAAACGATTGACCCGGGTAAGTACTCGTACGTAGACCATGTGCCTAGTACTTCTGTTGGTACCTATGTAGGCAAGTACTTCACAAGCACAAGCACTTGTCTGCGAACTCGTCCGGTTTGCCGGCAGAATGATCTCTCGTCCCTCGGAAATCACCTCTACGTTGCACAGCTTGACAGGAAAAAATTCCTCACACAGGGCACGTGGGCTGAAATTCTCGTTTTTCTCATGTAATTAATTAATTTTTCCCCCGTGGGTTGGGTTCTTTTGGGATATGCAGAGAGACTGCTAGCCCAAGCAAGCAAGATGGGGGATGTGTTGTGCTGATGACCAGTGACCACGGGGGGACGGTGGTGATGGAGGGGGAAGAAAAAGGGAGAGGAAGGGGGAGGGGATGTGCATGCGCCTTGGCCCTTCGCCCATCGAGGGTGTTCGCAGCATTGCTTGCATCACATCAACTCGAAACGCCCACACACCAAACACTCCCCAGCGCACGCCAGGGTTTTTACTTTTTTTTGGAGCTCTGCACTACCTACCTATCTAGTAATATCGAGATTCATACTTGTAAGATGTCACGGGTATTTACCTCGTGCATATGAGGCAGAAAGGGTTTAAACCATCCCCCGCCACGCTCTCCAATCTATTCTATCATGTGTACGAGGTACAAGTACCGAGTGCACATCACTCACTCCCAGTCTTCTTCTTTCACCCAGCCAGCACCCACGCGTGACTGGGGCGTGGTCGAAAAAAACAAAGAGCCGACTTTTCGGCACCTCGCGGCAAGGAAAGGCGAGTTAAGTCAAGCAGTGTGGGCTGAGTAGTCACCTACTTACTACCTATTACTACAACTGAGTGGTAAACTCTCGCCTCTCACCTCACACATTTGAGCGCCGCCTTGCCGACCGCTGCCGCCGACGGGGGCTCTCATAATCAATGACATCTGACTGCGCAACATTTTTGCTAATTCTCCTTGATGTCACTGACCTTTTCCACACGAGTGCAGCTGTGCAGCTGTTTGTTCAAAAAGTCATTCCTGAGCTGACTGCAGGTGAAAAACCAGCGAATTATTAACTTTTAAGTGATCCCTTGAACTGAGGCACACCTCCAACACCCAGTGCAGCGCAGCCTTGGCCGACTCATGTAAGAGGAGCGATCACTCAGCCTCGCCACCATCGTCACCCCGCAGAACACGCCGTCACTGCGAATCTGTTTGTGGAGGGTATTGATCGCTGAATACGACACCTTCTCCTCCTCAACAGACCGCATATTCCCTCCTCAATTACCATCACCTCCTCATTACAAGTATGCCCGACAACGCCAAATTCGAACCCCCGACCGGCCCTCCCCCAAATTCAGCACCGACCGTCCCTCCGCGAGTACATCACGACGCTGGCCCGTACTACCCGCCCGATGCACCGGTAGACAACACACGCGGTCCCGTCCCTCAGTCCTACCCTCCCGCACAAGATCCCAACGGTGGCTACGTCCCGCCGCAGGGCTGGAATCAAGGTCCCCCGGGTCCAGGTCCCTGGCCGCCGCAAGGTCCGCCTGGCCAACAACCACCATATGGATACTACGGTCCACCACAACCGGGCATGTATTATCAACCAGGACCACCGCCTGTGGGATACTATGATAGATCACCGGATCAGGCCGCGGCGGATGGGTGCTGTGCGGCATTCCTGGCTGCTCTGACTTGTTGTTGCTGTCTGGACATTTTGTTCTAAACTTCGTTCGTCCTGACCAAGATTCTCCTCACGAGATTGGGTTGGATGCTTCGGAATCGTCGCAATCAAGAGCTTCAAAGAGCAACATCTCTGTTTCGCGTTCCTTGTGCAACACACCAGACGCGGACTCTGTGGGTTGAACACTTTGGGCAGTCCGCTCGGGCAATCCGGGTTGGCAATCATCGCTTTCCTCCCAAGATCCAGCGCCCAGCGCCCAGTGCCAAGCGGTGCCAGAACGATTGGGACTGGATGAAACCTCTTATCATCATCATCACCTTTACAATGACAATAGATGCTCGTTCTAAGTGAGTGAGTGGGACAGCAGCGAATTAGCGAATTGACGAATCTTTCAATGTGTATGTCATTCAGCGGGAACGGAAGCATATGGCGTCAAAAAACGGGTCAAGTACTACTCAGTGTTTAATCATAATTCTTATTTTCCATATGCTTATCCACCTATTTCCCAATTTGCCTACCTAGTACATTGTCGTGTTGTGGTGCTGTGGCTGCTCTTGCTCTTGTGTGGGGTTTTTTTTTGTTTTTGGTTGGCAGACAACAAGCAAACATATGTCTGTCACTGAGACTCGACATTATGGTCTATATGGTATGTCACAATGTCACCGGGCAAGGCGCGGGCGCCGCCGAGCCATGACCATGAGAGATAATCTATCACTCACTCGAAACTCGAAACTCGAAACTCGACGCTTAAAACGAGAGAAAGGGTCAAGGGTAGGCAGACAGAAAGACGGACGGATAAGAGACAGCCAAATTCAGCCACATCGACTGGAAAAGGCGTGATCCGTTCTCCTCCTCCTTCTGCTTCTGCTTCTGCTTCTGCTTCTGCTTCTGCTTCCACTTCCACTCCCGCCTCCTGCTTCCGTTGACTTGATCGACTCGTTCTTGTTCGTTTGTCGATCATCAAACGACCTACAACCCCTTTTCATGTCTCTCAAGTTCTCCGTTGAACCGCCACCACCACCGCAGCCTTCCTCTCCTCTCCTCTCATCGAATCAAAGCGAATGGAAGAAGCTTCACTAGAACCAGAACCAGAACCAGATCGAGAACGAGAAACAATGACTCGGGATCACCATTCCCCTCTCGCATTCGCATTCCTCGGTATCCTCACACTATCTCTCGCAGGCATAGCCATAGCCATGGGCATGGGCATCTTGCTCGCCGCCACTGCTGCGACTGCTGCAATCTACAAGTCCTGGATGAGTATAAGTACAAGTCCAAGTCCAAGTCACAGTCACAGTCACGCTTGCAGGGAAGGTCACGGTCAAGCAAATCATTGGATTGTTGCGCCGCGAGCAACTCCCCCTCCTTCTCCTTGGCCATCACTAACCATAATACCGTTTCAGAGCGAACCCTGCCATGGGAGAGGTGACCTGCCTTTGACCGTTGTGGGGGTGATTTTGATCGTCCTGGGATTCCAACTTACATTTTGGTCCTTCTGGATTCTGGCGACGAGGCGACGGCACTGAGTATGGCTTGGACATGTCAAAACGGCGTCAGTTCGGTGGTACTGGTAAGTTCAAGAGGAATCATCTCATCTCGCGCACAAGCTCGTTCGTCGTAGCATCAGCAGCGCATGGTCACGTCGCTGATAGCTGGTATCATACAGAAAATCCCTTCCCGATCCCGGATCTGAGTACAGGTGTACATAATATCATCAACTCATTTGACTTGCCCTTCATTTCTTCACCATCAAAACCGCCCCTTCGTAAACTCTCTGCACCTCGGTGGTCATTTTTGCCACTGGTCGCGGATCTCCTCCGGCAAATAACCCAATCACAGTAGCAAGAGCTGGGCGAGCGTTTTGCTGAACAGGAGTCCAGTGCCCACTTCGTGGGAGAATTGTCACCTCGCTGTCTCTGCCCAAGTAGTCTCCGATCCCATCTAGACAGATTGGTTTGGAGCAAGCCTGGTCTTTCTCTCCCCAGAGAATGTACGTGGGTGCTTTGAGACTGCCCTTGTATTGACCGACGAACAAAGTCTGCGATATTGAAGACCGACGTCTGCCAGGAGAACTGGACTCTGACGCCGAAGTCTCCAGAGCATAGAGGTCGGTTATAGTCTCAAGCGACTTGGTCCATGGCCTCCAACCCACTCCGTCTCGATAATAACCGGTCATATTCCAAAAAGCCTCCTGAGGAGATCGAGCTCTTTGCAGCACGCTGGGGCCGTAACTGGTTGCCTGAACCTCTCCGTTGGTGGAGGCTGCCGTGCCATTGACAGTCGGAATTGAGGTCTTGCATTCTTCTGGGCCAGGGCCGAAAGAAGAGGCCATGCATTCTTGCGCATGATATTCCTTGGAACCTTTGCCGTACGATGACCAATTTGCTCCTCGTATAAACGAGTAATTCCCGGCCACGCCGAGGTATCTGACGAAGATTGAGGGCAGGTGGAATGCAAAAATGTAACCCATCAACAAAACTTGCAGTAGCAACGGCTTCAATGTATTCAAGGCCTTTGACAAACACCCGAAGTTTTGTTTCGGCGATTGCTTAAACTGCTTGAAGATCTTCGAGGCCGAGTTCAGGATCCGGTCCTTGTTGGCAAAGGCGAGTTCAACCTACACACAAGGTCAGTCAGTCATCCGCTCTGGCAGCACTGGGGTCCGATGACTTACATGTGGCGCGTTGGTCAGAATGAAGCGATCTGCAAGGCTTGGAGCCTCTGCAGCCAAACGGAATCCCAAGACGCAACCCCAGTCATGGCCCACGATGAATGTGCTAGTCTCGTCTGAAGCCTCCGCGGGTATGTACTTGTCCCTCATTGCCACGACGAATTCCGTAAGAGCCTCGAGCACTTCGGTGTCGTACTTCTTGAAACTATCACTTCCTCCGTATCCAGGCAAGTCGACGCAGATCAAAGTAGTATTGCCGGTTGGCATGGCCGGCTCTTGCATGACATGTCTCCACATCATCGAACTGTCGGGAAATCCATGAAAAAATACCACCAGATTACCCTGAGAAGGCCCATGTCGGTTGCTAATATAGTGTAGTCTGAGTCCGTTGCGGAGGGTGTAGAAGTAGTGCTTGAAGCCAGGGAGAGGTGATTTTGTCAGGTTCCAGAAGCGATCTCGTTCTGTAGACAGGAAATCAGTGGTGTTACCTGCGGGAGTTCTGCACCCTTCACTAACCAATTGCAAATTGTAGCTTGTCTTGCTCGGTATCCTTCCTGAAGAATGTTCCATTTTTCACAAACAGCCCCAGAAACAGACACCAATTGAAGAAGCCAAAGGAGTAGAAGGAAACCCGGCTCAAGACTCGGCCCAAAAAGGTTGAAGCCATGGTGAAGGGTGCTCTGGAGAGCAAGGCCGGTTCATGAGGTGCTGAAAGCGGTCAACTGTTCAATAGGCCAAGGCAAGTCGGCGAATTAAGGAGGGTCCGCAGTCTAGTACAGCCGTGAGGGTATGTAGAATTCGAGTTGGTCTGGGGTTAAGTCTGGTTCTGGTGAGACTGGCTCTGGAGGGAGACAAAGAAAAGAGATGAAACTCGTGACTGCTCAGGAAGGCATCAGCATCAAACATTCGATTTCACGCATCAACGTTCACATTCAGCATGGCGCCTGCCTGGTGATAAGCAACGAGGAATGCCGAGGTGTGATCTTTCCCATCCTTGGGGAACGCCAGCATGATCAGCCCATTATTCTCTGACAGACAGACTGGTTGCATGCTTCAGCACGCCAGTCTGTGCACAAATAATTCAGGGGAACACAGACGTAGCTCCAATAGCTGCAGACAAGTCGCGCGTTGGACTGCAGGGGGGAGGAAGGCATCACGATGGACGACTCGATACAGCAATGATGGACAAGGGAGACACGCGGAAGGGCAGCTTAGGCACCTTAGGCACCTTACCGTCAAGCAGATGCTGTGCTACCGCGGTGTGCGTGGGACAGTACTGGGGAGGGGGAGGCGGATGAGGGGCGGGTTTTGCAGAGGAGGGGCAAGTGTTTAGCCTGCCAGGCTGCGCATCAGACCAGACTGCGCTTCAACTTTCCCATCATCATGCTGTCCACCGCTGCTTCATCCAAGTAGGTACAGTAAGTATCCTCATTACTCGCTTTGCACCTTGGAGAGTCCTAGACTTTCCATCCCCCTGCGGACCTAGACCAGATGACCATCCAACGAGCCTTCGTCAACCCGCCGATCATCCTCCTCCCAGGACCACATTTGCGCACATTTCACACACCTCCCCAAAAGATCTTCGCTGCTATACCTTAGCTCTACGGGTTCTGGGCCTTCTAATGGATCCCAAGCTCACAGGCCTGTCTTCTCCATCTTCAAGGAACAGAGATCCCCAGGAGGATCTTGGAGTAGGCGAAACAATTGGCTGCTAAGCCACCGCGTGGTCGACCGAGACTCGTATGCGTCACACCTGCACCCCCGTCAGGGTTGGACGGTGGCAGTCTCTTGCACAAGATATGTCGAGTTGGCAGGCTGAATTGAGCCTCGTCGAAGATCTTCACTTTCGAGGCCGAAGGTCTTCGTCTGCGTGACCAATCGTCCAAAGCCAAAGCTACCCGACTCCTTGGCTGTGGAAAGTTTCAGCGGCTGATATTGCAAAGTCGCCACCACTACTTCCGGCAGCAGCCAGCCAGAGGTCGAAGAGAAGTCAGAGGAAAGCCTCTAGAAGACTCACACAGTAGTCAACGGCCGAGGCATGTTGTAGGGCTGGCCCTGCCTAAGCCGCTATCAATCCTCCCTTCCCAGGGATCTCCGATTCGAGGACCATGCAGCCGGCCAGTGGGTATGTCGATCATACGACAGTCCGGCAGTCGACCAAAGGGACGGATCACACCCACCAGGATATCCCGGTGACGGCATTTCTGCCTTTCTACATTGCCATTTACGCTTCACGGAGCACGCAGAGGGTTTGCCGAAAAGACCTGCTGGAGAAGTTTCCCTTGAGCTGCTTCGAAGATCAGAGGCACCTTCAGTAAAAGGGTCTCAGTCCTGTACCACTTGCGGCTGTCCTGACAAGTCTATGGGGATTCCTCCAGATTGGCATCATGTCCATGCCAGCTCAAGATGTCTCGCCATTGGCGCTGAGCTTTATGGCACCGTTATTGGTAAGCTAATCTGCAGTAGATCTTGGTGATAGCCATCGACCGGTCTCACAATCACATCCACTTCGTGACTGGAAGCAAAGGGTCAGAGATTCAATATGCTCGCCATCAGCGCCTCACAGTCTACCCTGGTGATTTGCTGGCCTATCAGGATGTGACACGGTCATGCCAGCCCTCCTTTGCTGAAGAAACCTCCTGGATGGACCGTTCGGGTTGAGTTTGTGCATGTATACCATTGCGATGACCCCGAAGATGAAGACGAAGAATACTAATGGCAGTTCCCGCGCCAGGCTTGAAACCATGGCTCCGTCTTGCAACCCCTCCGATGGCTGATGATATCGATACAACGGTTTGTGTTGATCTCACGTCGAGAGAGGCGTGCTGAGGTCAAATCGGTGGTGTTTGTTATGATGTCGTGGATGTCTGATGATGTCGCCATCAGGGCAATGTGTAGCTGTGGTCTTTACGGGAACTGACATGTGCAAAATAGATATAAATCCCTAGGAGCACTCGCTTTCACTGGTCCTGCAAACGGCAACGTCTGATCAGCAACAGTGTTGAATTCAGGTCACCTGCTTAATGCTCACCTCAGCGTTCGATAAGTGGCTAACAAGAGACGCGGCAGCCTTCGCTCCTACCACTCCAAAGGTCCTTCGACACGACGAAGCGGTTCGAAGCCCGAGTGGACGTTGCTGTTTCGCTCTCCTTGCAAGCTGTGGACCAGTCCTTGGCTCTCCTGCCAGGACGCCCACATAACCACTATGAGGCCGACGGCCCAAACGACGCCAATGAAAATCGCAAGGATCACCAATATGTCCATTGTTGCTCTTCTAGGTTCCCAGATGAGGCGCTTCAGCCACCGAATTGAGATATCTTCAGCCGTGTCTGCTGCTGAGAGATGGATTGGAGGATTGAGAACTGGATGCTCAGATCTGTTTCTTACTGGGTATCAATTTGTGAACGAAGACAAAAAAGATGTTTGAGCTCGCCGCTGAAGAAGACATTATATGGACCTCAAAGCATCACTTTGCATGTCTCCCTAGCCAAACCATGAACGAGTGCAATCTGCCTTCACAGAGACTTGCAGCTTGTCACAAGCCCGAGGGAAATATGTCCATCACGACAGATTACCTTTCGCTACAGTTGACTCGGGCTTCGTCTTTCTGTACCTTAGAATCACCCTTCTGTTCGCTCCATATGTCACCAAATACAGCTTTCTCCTTTGTTTTCACCTTGAGAGAGGCACAGTCACCGAAGCGACGAATGCGTTTGTCATGACAGGCAAGGGTGAGAGCTACGAAGGGTTGTTGTTGAAGTACAGACGGACATGTGTAACATGAAAACCCCCCAGGCAGGACGATTCTCAGCACAATATACTCGTTATATGCAGTGCACCATCGGAATCAGAGAGATATCACGAAGGCCTTCAGATGTTTATGATCACATTTCATAGAACAAGCGTTCCATTACTGTCAGCTTTCCAGCCACCTAAATGCCAAGGTGTCTCTGATATCTTCTGCCAAACGACGACCATCTCGCCCTTTTATCGATCGCTCAAGATCTCTCGAGTCAACTTCCGTTGCAAGATACTCTCTGGCGGTCCGAAGGAAGGCCTCTATACAAGTGCCCCGTCAAGGCCGTTCAAAAGAATGCTCACACGACAGACACAGGTGCAGACGCCGCGTTGGCTGCCCGTAACCATCCGCCGGGACTGCGACGAGCCTTGGCTGTGCCACCACGCCGACGTTATCCTGTCAGTGATGTCAGTCGCATGGCTCCCGCCGCGCCCATGCCTATCTGGTTGGCCTTGTCCCGTATCCAGCCGTGGCGGATGTACCGATTCCAGATGAGGGAGACGAAGAAGAAGCCGACCGCGCCGAGGAAGAAGACAATGGCCGAGTTGGAGACTCTGGAGGGGGGAGAGATCGACTTTTTGTTCAGCAGGTACGGTTGTGAAGAGATGCTCTCGCCGTCGCCACGGGGACTGCGTCGAGATGCCAGATGCTCGAACAAGCCCGTGGCCACTTTGACGGGGTCGTTTGGTGGGTATGCAGAGCTGCGAACTAGAGCACGGGCGCGGTCGGAAATCCTCGCAAAGACCTCTGCGGGCATCTCATCTTCCTCCTCCACGTGAAGCAGATTGGGGATATAAGGCGTTGCGATCGGATAGTACACGAAGCGCGTCGTCGTCGTCGTCGTCTCCACGCTCGGGAGATCGTCTTCGGGCATGGCGCGAGGGATGGGGGTGGCCGTGGCTGTGTCCGTAATTTCGACCAACACCGTGCTTGAAGTCCCGATTCGCCAGTGCTCGTTCTCAAGGACGGCACTTCCATGGAGACGCCGGTGTCGATGCTCGTGTCTGTAATGGACAGGAGCACCAGATACTGATACTGACGGCAGAGCAGAAATCAGAGCCAGTCCGAGCACGAGGACTTTGACCTTGGCGCAGACTCGGAGTAGTGCCATGCTGAGGCACGAGGATAGATTTATCACCCTGAGAGAGGCCCTGCAGGCTCCAAGGATGATCTCTATGATAGGTATCTATCTACCCGCCGCGTGAATATGGGATAGATGATAGATCGGGTGTGTCTGTGCGTGTCGAGGGAATGAATGCAGAAAAGATACGGAGACAGAAAGTATTCCTTTCCAAGCCAGAAAGGCGGAAAAAGGAAGAGCAGCGAGGGAGAAATTGATCATAGAGCAACAGACAGAGAGACAGAAAACAGCAAACAACAGTCACAAACATGTTTACAGGGACGTAGACATGGTCACAATCACAGACACAGAAACAGACACAGACACAGACACAGAAACCGACACAGACAGAGTGCGAGTCATAGAATCGTGAACGACACACACGACACACACAAGATAGAACATAGACACCACCGAAAGTCAAACACGCACCACCAAAC